TCATTATGTTATATGCATTGCACTGGGGCGGGTCATATATGGTGTGGTCATTTAATGGTTTAAATATTAAAATACGCTTTTGTAGTTAAGTTTTGCGCAAAAATTCATCAGCAAAACAATTTAAACTTTCAATTAATAATGGTTTTAATTCAGATTGAGAATTTGAATTAAATTTAAATTCAATTTGAAATTTTGAATTTTTTAAAAATTTTAAAATTTGTAATAGTTTTCTTACATTTAATTTGTAATAGTTTTCTTACACTTGGAAAAAATAAAAGAAATTAAAATTATTTTTCACAAGCAAAATTGATTCATCAGTTTCTTTTTTCATGTGTATGCATGAATGAATTATCAAATAATTTAAAATAGCTATGGAATATTGTTGTAATTCAGTTAAAATTAATTCAATAAATGCAGAATATTTGTTGAATATCGCTGATGCTTTTCAAGTAATTCAAAAATCAAATTTATTATAAGAGCAATCAAAAAAGAAGGAAGGAAAGGAAGAAATTTAAAATAATAAACAAAATAAGAAAAATGTGCTGAGTTTTTTTAGAATTAATGGATCTAAATTAATCCATATTTCGTATAAAAATTTTTTATCAATTGAAATTTCTTTCTTTATTTTTTATATCCTAAAGAAGAGTAATAGTAGAAAATGAATTCGGATAAGTAAGCAAAAAGCTTTCCATTATTGATAATATTTTGAAATACTGAAATGGAGAGATTAAAATTGGGAAATTATTACCGATTGTAAATTATTGTAATCTAAAATTGAACAGACAGATCTTTCAGTAACTTACTTGTAATAACAGATAATACATTTTTTTTTTCCTTTTTTTAAATTATAGCAAATATTTTTTCTCTTGCTTTTTTCTTTTAAATTTTAATAAACCTTTCAACTACTTTTTCTTCCTCATTTTCAATTCGATTTTAACTGAAATTTCAATAATTTTTATAATGCACTGCAGATAGGTAAATAATTGATTGCTAACATTAAACATTTTAATGACTGGTTCATTGTATGTTTATATTATTTGCTGAATTTCTTTTCCATTTATTTAAATACTTTATGCTTTTTCCTTCTGGTATTTTCCTTTATTTCAAACAGTGTATAAAGCAAGGCAAGAGAGAGAGAGAGAGAGAGAAAAAAAAGATGAAAATAGTAAAAGACAATCTTTTTTTAAATTTATGAAACATTTGAAAATTTTGCACAATTTTATTTATATTTTTTTTTTCTTGGTAAGTTTTTTTATTAATATAATTTTACTGGGCGAAGAAAAAAGAATAAGGAATAAAAGACTGTTTTGGCAAATATTGTTTATTTGCGATAATTAATTTGTCGTTGATTAATTGGTGCAATAATTTTAATATTTTTCATGACTTCCTTTTTTTTTTTTTTTCTTTAGAAGAATTAAAATAGGCAATTGGGAAAAATGAATATGAACTATATTATTAGATTAATGATATTATTATTGCTTGCTACGATGTGCCACCTGTTTACATTGGGAATCAAATGATCAATTAAATAATTTTCACCCTTTTACAAAATTTATCACGAAATGGAAAAGAGGATTACTGTAATTTGTATGAGGAATAAACAAATATTTCAAGATGTCATTCAAAATGTCATGATATGATTGATTATTTCATTTACTGATTATTTATTATTATTAATTATCTCATCTGTTAATTATATGCTACTCTTATCATTTCATTTGCTGAATTTCGCTTCTTGATTTAAAATTAAATTGAAAAAAAAATGAGAATAATTTTAATTAAATATGGTAAATGTGCAGTTATTATATATGTACAAAAAGGATTGAATTATTACAGTTTGAAAATGGAACAATTGCTATTGTCAAACATACAATTCATTTCGGCTGACTGACTAACAACATTCTTAATAATTTCAAAAGATTTTTAATTTAAAGTGACATATCTTAATAAGTACCAGAAAAATTACTTATGAGGCCATCCTATCATCTGTGGTCATCAATATCAATTATAATTTCTTAATTATTTTTCTTTCATCTATGCCATCATTATTATTTAAAATTTAAATAACTTTACTAAAACGAAAGGTCATCTTAACTTCCTTAATATTCTAATAGAGAGATAAATTACGTATTTAATTTATTTTTGTCATATTTATTGCAAATGTCAGTTCCGTCGGTTAAATCTTAAAATTTGAAGTCGAAAATTTTAAATATATGTAATATTTTATTAACCCATCAACCGATTGATTGGTTGCTATGTAAAATATATTAATGAATATTTTTTTTGTTATTAGATCCTTTTTTGAATCAGATTTATCTATCACAAAATTTGATCAGATATTTACATTTGATCGAAAAATTTAATGTCAAATTCTTAAGTGTATTATGTATCACTTTCGCTTTGTGGTCATTACGAGACAGAAATGTTATACAAGTAATACACATATACACCCAGTAGTAGTTATAAAAGATTGTGTGTAATGTATATTTGGCTTGAATGTAATACTGGCACTTGAAATGACTCCTAAACAGATACTTGAACTTGGCCTAAATTGTCGTCAAATTTGGGATTCAGTCTGAACATAACTTGTGGCTTAGAGTCGAATTGAACTTTCGTATATTCAAGAACATATCTTATTTGTTATTGTAGTTGATGTAGACTAATGCGTTTTTTTGTTATTTTTCCTTTTTTTGAATCAGATTTATCTATCACAAAAATTAGACCCATTTTAACGAATGATAGATCTATTGTAACGATTTTATTTGCTAACACCACAATATATAGGTATTAATTTAAGCAACAATACTGATAATTTCGTGAAGTATTTAATAAATTAATGGGGAAGTAAACTGAATGGTTAGTGAGAGAGTGCAGCCGAATTGTAGCTTACTGATAAAGAAAAACTGGTAAAAACTGATCAAGACAAATCTTTATACAGTGGTCATTGACTTGCAACAACAGCATGATTATTAAGTAAGGAACTATTAGATAACTTTGCTCTTCATATTGAAAGAGTTCTAATATTGTAGCTTCCCAAAGGTTGGCTATCAGTTTATAAGAATATTTTGACATTGCAAATACATTTGATTTGGAACATAGGAGTAATTTTTAACATATTAAATAATGCACCTTTTATTATCAGATGAAAATGTCTAGAAAGTAGATAAGCTCAACTACAATAGAAAGATGAGTGTTGGAATGATTGCTTACATAAAGTATAATTTGAAACAGTTTTACATTTCTAATGTTTAATTAAAACGAATTTTAGCTTTATATTATGAATTAATACAATTTATTTGATATATTTTGTAATTTAAAAAGTTATTTTGTAAGTTAAGTTATTTAAAAGTTCGCGAGATTGTTTTGACATATAAATTGGTACTTGAAATGGAAGTTCGCAACTAAATGAAGTTTAATTGGTACTTGAAAATGTAGATGGGAAGTCATAAATTTCTGTTACTGAATTAATGCCATTTCTACTTTTTTTACACTACATTAACAACTAACAGCGACAACAAAAAAATAAATAGATAATAAATAATTGTCACGGATTTTAATATCGATATATCGAGAAGCACTAAATAAATGTTAATGATGCTTAATATAGCAATCCATTGATGTCTTTTACAATTTATCGCAATGGTTTAACTGACCTTTGATTTTATATTAATTCACATACTATGAGCATCTATCATGTAATGTCTATTGTAATTACAGTAGCTACACATCATGTTGTCTAGACAACCCATTGTACTTACCTTTGTGATATCCATTGTAAAACCTATTGTTAAAGCAACTCATTACTATGTCTAGACAATTTATCCTTTGTACGAAAATTTCTAATTATAAACCACTCCCACATCTTAACACATATAATGTAAGATATGATTGTTACAATGTATAAGGGTTACCTTGTTAAAAAATTTTAGTGTGTGTAATTTGTTGCCAAGAACCAGACGAGTTCAATTTCAATTATCCTCTTTCAATGTATTGTCCTATTACTTGTGCTAATAAAGGAAATGTTATATTTCTGTTATTTTACGTATTTACATCTACATCCAGCAAATCTCTTTGCGATCAAAAACCTCTCTCAATTAGTTATAAATTGCAAGTAGATTCTCAATAATAGCTCGCATGATAAGGATTTTTTCCACAATTACTCACTTTTTGATAGTGCAATTAAAAAGTCCTAAATATTGTATTATTATTACTTTTAGACAATGGGAGTAGTGATAATGATTGTGTTAAATACTGAAAGTCTACCATTTCAAATAGTTTCAAATAGTGCAGGTATTTTACATTGCTGTATTTGCTTGGTTCGTATATTATCTTTTAAAACCTCGTTTATACTCCTTTTTACCATATTGAAAGTTTTAGAGATATAATAACTAATATTCTCTCCTTTTTCATTTTTTTCTTACCGTATTTTATATATGGGCTGACATTTTTCATGATGGTAAACATTCTTAAAATCAAATGAGTTATTATTCTTAAAGTAAGCATTCTTAAAGTGAAATGAGTTATTAAATTTAAAAGGAAGAAACGGTTTAAGTAGCCTCTCTATCTGCGGTGGATACAACGTCAAAAATCGGAAATGCAGGAACACATAAGGTGATTTTTTAAAAATTTTTGAGATGAAACTGAAGTTTCAAAACCGTCATTTTTGAAAACAAATAGTAATAAAAAACAGTTGAATAAACTTTTGAAAGGCTGGTGTTGCAATCGGGCCGCTCATTATTTTGAATGATAAATCTATTATCTCGTCAGATGAATTGTTCTGTTGTGTTATCTCATCATTGTGATCACGAAGGTTCATAATATTATATTACAGGTCGCTTTATATCCCTTCAACTTTTCTCTTTGTATGTAAATTTCCCTAAACATTTACAGTAAAATCTTTGTTGAACTTAACTGTTTAACATAAAGTTTAACATAAAAATAACATAAAGTATGCAAATAAAAGTGCCATCTGCTTTCGAAGTAATGCAGTGTCAGTTCAAATGGATTGGGTGCTGGCTGTTTTCATTTATCGAACTTTATCGATTGCTTCCTTGAGCGATCAGTTACTTTTTGACATTTACCCAAGACTAGATAAAAGCAAAATTGGCATTATTTCAACCAAGTATATTTATTATTGAAATCAACAAATATGTACAAATACGTACATTTATTATTGAAATCAACAAATATGTACAAATTGATAAATATTTCATGAGCCTTAATTTGTGTGATAGATTTATTGCAGTAAAAGAATTTAACTTCAAGCTACAAAATGGATGGCACTATCAAAGGCAGATGCTGGATTAGAATCGATCCATATCATCGAACAGCCATGCTAGATGAGCATGGAGTATGTAGAAAAATTTGTAAGAAATCAAGTAAAGAACTGAAAATACTTGAATCTATATTCTGTAAAAAGAAAGCAGTGACACAGATTAAATACGATTTCTCGGTGAGTTTTCCATTGCATCCAAATATCTTCCTTCGTTTAGGTGAGAACTGCACCTGGAGCCTTTCTTTGTATCCGTTATTCTTTGATGGATGTAAACATTCTCAGAATTTTTCCCATCACTCTGTTATTCTTTATTCCTTCTAGTATTTTCATTTTATTATTTAGGAAGATTCACAGTGCATGATATTTTCTTTCATTTTCTTCTCACAGCGTTTTTGAGGTTAATTTCTTCATTTCAAAAGTCGAAATATAAGTGTTGCTTCAGACTAGAAATTGTTCGCAAACATTCAGACAACATCAGCTGTGCCTTATTGAAAACATTAGCTACGATAATTCATCAGACGCTTTTTCCGTGCGACTTAAACTTTATCGATGTCGAGAAATGCAAACTATGTAAAAAGAAAAAATACAATTATGTTAACTTACCAATTTAACTTACAATTGGAGTGAAGTTCTTACAAAATTCTTACAAATTATAGAATTTTCATAAAAATCAATTTTAAATTTGAATTAAAAATTAGCATTAATTGTAAAAATGAATTAGATCTATGACTAATTAAAAATTTTATTATTTTCACAAGTGAAACTTTAATCAAAACTCAATTCTTAAAGTTTATTTAATTATTTATGCTGATCAAATGACCACAATGTATGTGACCAGTACCCATGCAACGCTTATAAATTAATCAATTAAGCTCAAAATATCTAATTTTCTTTACGAATTGATATTTTTAAATATTTTAGCACTTAATTAAAATAAATTTTTGACATTACTGGAATTTATTTCATAATTTATTATACAAAACCTTAAAAAAATATTGAATTTTCTTAAATTTTGATATTTAAATTTGGAATAAAAATTAATTTTAATTGTAAGAATGAATTAAAACCGTCACAAATTGAAAATTTAATTAATTTTGCTAATCAAATATGGGTTAAAACTTAATTATTAAAGATTATTTATATTATTCATGCTGATCAATTGACCAATTGTAAATACCAGTACCAATGCAATGCATAAAATTTAATCAATTAAGCTCAAAATATCTAATTTTCTTTACGAAATGATATTTTTTAATAGTTTTAACATTTTAATTAAATTGAAATTTGACAACACCGGCATTTATTTCATAGTTTAATATGCAAAAACTTTTACAAACTGCACAATTTTCTTAAATTATGGTATTTAAATTTGGAAAATAAATTAATTACAATTGCAAGAATGAAATAAAACCGTGACAAACAAAGATTTTAATTTATTTTGCTAATGAAATATTGATTAAAAGTTATTTTTTAATATTTTATGCTGACCAATTGACCGCACCGTGATTGACCAGTACCTATGCAACGCTTATAAATTAATCAATCAAGTTCAAATTATCTAATTTTCTTTACGAATTGATGTTTTTTAATATTTTAACATTTAATTAAAGTGAAATTTGGCAATGCCGGAATTTATTTCATAGTTTAATATGCAAAAACTTTTACAAACTGCACAATTTTCTTAAATTATGGTATTTAAATTTGGAAAATAAATTAATTACAATTGCAAGAATGAAATAAAACCGTGACAAACAAAGATTTTAATTTATTTTGCTAATGAAATATTGATTAAAAGTTAATTATTAAAGTTTATTTTATTATTAATGTTGGTCAAATGACTACACCGTAAATAACCAGTACTATGGAACGCTTATAAATTAATCAATTAAGATCAAATTATCTATTTTTTTTTTTTTAAAGAATTGATATTTATAATATTTTAACATTTAATTAAAATAAATTTTGACAATACAGGGATTCATCTTACTGTTTAATATACAAAACTAATTAATCATTAAATTTTCACAGAATTTGATATTTAAATTTGAAATAAAAATTAATTTGAATTGTAAGAATGAATTAAAAAATATGATAAATTAAAAATTTAATCAATTCCGCTAATCAAATATTGATTGAAACTTAATTTTTAAAGTTTATTTAGTTATTTATGCTGATCAAATGAGCAACCGTAAATGACCAGTACCTATGCAATGCACATAAATTGATCAATTAAGCTCGAAATATCTAATTTTTTTTAATGAGTATATATTTTTTAACAGTTTTAACATTTAATTAAAGTAAAATTTGATATTACTAGAAATTATTTCGTAGTCTAATATACAAAAAAGGCTTTGATTCATTGCAAATCATAAAATTTTCATAAAATTCGATCTTAAAATTTCAAACAAAAACTAATTTTAGCTGCAGAAATGAATTAAATCTACGACAAATTAAAAATCTTATTAATTTCACCTCTCAAATATTAAAAAAAAAACTTAGTTATTAAAGTTTATTCTCTTATTACGTATGCAACGCATAAAATTAAATAACTGAGTTCAAAATAACTAATTTTTTTTAAGGAATTGATATTTTTTAATAGTTTTAACATTTAATTAAAATCAAAATTGATAAAACTAGATATTTTTTCTCCCTTTAATATACCAAAGCTCTTGCAAATTATAAAATTTTCACCAAAATCAATATTTAGATTTGAAATAATGCTTAAGCCTAAGCCTAAGCCTAAGCATTATTTTATTATTTAAAATGTCAAATGACCACAATATATGTGACCAGTTCTCGCACTATGCGAATATAATGATCAATTTTTTTTTTATTCAATGATATTTTTTAATAGTTTTAACATCCTCTGAAATTAAATTTTGATAATAGTAGAACTTCTTACCTAGTTTTATATGCAAATACCCGTATAAATTATGGGATTTTTGTAAATGTATTATTTAAATTTGAAATATAAATTAATTTTAATTGTAAGAATGAATTAAAATCGTGAAAAATTAAAAATTTAATTAATTTTGCTAATAAAATTTTGATCAAAACTTAATTTTTAAAGTTTATTTTATTATTTTTGCTGGTCAAATGACCACGCCAGTACTATGGAACGCTTATAAATTAATCAATTAAGTTCAAAATATCCATTTTTTTTATAGAATTGATAGTTTTCAATAATTTAACATTTAATTAAAATTAGTTTTTGATATTGCTGGAATTTATTTTGTAGATTAATATGCAAAATTCTAGTTAATTAATGAATTTTCATAAAATTTAAATTTTAAATTTGAAATGAAAATTAATTTCAATTGTAAGAATGAAATAAAACCGTGACAAGCAAAGAATTTCATTAATTTTGCTAACAAAATATTGGTTAAAACTTAATTTCTAAAGTTTATTTTATTATTTTTGCTGGTCAAATGACCACGGTGTGTGTGACCAGTACTTATGCAACGCTTATAAATTAATAAATTAAGTTCAAGTTATATAATTTTTTCAATGGTTCGATTCTTTTCAATATTTTGAGTTCTGAATAATATTTTAGAAGCAAAATTAATTAAATTTTTAATTTGCCACTGTTCTAATTCATTCTTACAATTGAAATTAATTTTCATTTCAAATTTAAAATTTAAATTTTATGAAGATTCATTAATTAACTAGAATTTTGCATATTAATCTACAAAATAAATTCCAGCAATATCAAAAACTAATTTTAATTAAATGTTAAATTATTGAAAACTATCAATTCTATAAAAAAAATGGATATTTTGAACTTAATTGATTAATTTATAAGCGTTCCATAGTACTGGTCACTTACGGTGTGGTCATTTGACCAGCAAAAATAATAAAATCAAGTTTAGAAATTGAGTTCTGAATGATATTTTAGAAGCAAAATTAATTAAATTTTTAATTTGCCACTGTTCTAATTCGTTCTTACAATTGAAATTAATTTTTATTTCAAATTTAAATAATACATTTACAAAAATCCCATAATTTATACGGGTATTTGCATATAAAACTAGGTAAGAAGTTCTACTATTATCAAAATTTAATTTCAAAGGATGCTAAAACTATTAAAAAATATCATTTAATAAAAAAAAATTGATTATTATATACGCATAGTGCGGGAACTGGTCACATACATTGTGGTCATTTGACATCTTAAATAATAAAATAATGCTTAGGCTTAGGCTTAGGGTATATTTAGGCTTAGGCTTAAGCATTATTTCAAATCTAAAAATTGATTTTGGTGAAAATTTTATAATTTGCAAGAGCTTTTGTATATTAAAGGGTGAAAAAATCCCTAGTTTTATCAATTTTGATTTTAATTAAATGTTAAAACTATTAAAAAATATCAATTGCTTAAAAAAAATAGTTATTTTGAACTCAGTTGATTAATTTTATGCGTTGCATACGTACCTATGTCACTTACGGTGTGGTCAATTGACAACATAAATAAGAAAATAAACTTTAATAACTAAGTTTTTTTTAATATTAGAGATGTGAAATTAATTAAATTCAAATTAAAAATTAAAATTTTGTAATCAGGTTTTGCGCAAAAATTCATCAGCAAAATTAATAAAACTTTCAATAAAAACTTTCTATCGGAATGTTTTCATGTTGACTGAACGCGAGTACATACTAATCAAGCACACAGATCCAAGTACTAGATTCTAGATTATTTTTTTCTTGGTAAAACGAAGGATTAATGCTGTGGTGGCGTAGTCAACACATTATGTGGACGTGCAGAGAGTGTCATACTGTTATATTAAAAGTAGTCGGGGAGGACCCAAAAGTATGGCTGTTTAATCAGACGGTAAAAAATGTTTAAGACTAAGCTGTCATTGCTATTAATTTACTCTCATGCGCAGTATTTGCAGACAGAGTAAGTGACAATGACAAGACGAATTTGTTAACAGATTTAGTTGTGCTGCCAGCATTAGTCACGCCTCTAAACCCTGACTGTGCGACTTTAGCAGCAGCTGCAGCTATTGCACGAATAGCAATTACCGTCGGTGAAAAAAAAAAATGGACTGACATTCTTTTCCTCTGACTTACTTACTGCTCTTGTTATCGTTGCAACTGTTGGGAGGAGGACTTGTTGTGAGCATAGTTTTGTTAGACATCCAGTTGCGCTCAACCATCATGGATGAGGAGAGAAAGGGATATAAGGACTTTGCACTCTTAGATGCAGGATATGCGGATTGTGCTAATATGAATTATCAAAAAGAAAGTGAGTATTCTTCTTGTTTGCAAAATGAGTTTTGGAGAGTTTCACTGACTTAATTATCTTAAAATACCTTGTTCTCAGTGAACCATTTCTATATAAATTTCTTCTTTCCTTTAGAACCATTCGTAGTTCTTTGAATATAATCGAGAATGTTCATGATTGATTCTGGAATACTACAATGAATTGATTAGCGATAAATTTAATTCTTTTATTTCCCCCTTTTATTTCCCTAGTTTCTGCTATTACCTGAGCTCTGTCCGCTGTTAGTCATATTTTTCCTTTTACATTCTCGATTTCCTCTCGCCTAACTGATAGATAGTATCACTAATGAGACTTTATCGGATGGACGCATCATCTGAAATTTGATATTTGTTGCTTTTTGACATACATTCATAGTATTCTTGTTATTGTAGGTAGGGATTTCAACATAACCTGAAACGACGTTTGTTGTTTGAAAGGTTGGGACAAATTTTAAAAATTGGGTTGACACAATGGAGTTAATTAATATTCGCATAAATGGAAACTGGTGAATAGTTTGAATATCTCTGATGTTCAATAATCCTTTCTGCTTTGTTTCATAACGTACTGACACTGAATTATTTGCATATTGTTAAAATTTTGTAAAATTCTTGTGACGTCAGTTGATTAACAGTTGAAATTAATACAAAAAAAAAAAAAAATTAATACAAAATTTAATACATCAATGTCAGTTGCTTATATGCTATATTATGCGGCATTTATCTATCTAGAGCCGCATTCATTTATGCATCTGTCTGTTTGTTTATCATTTGTGAAGTCCCGAAAATAACTTCTCGTAAAAGATTTAAAATTAATCTAAGTATAAAGAAGGAAACGATAATGTGAGATAATGATGCGGCGGCACATCTCTCTCTACCTGCCATTACCCGCATTTTTCTCTACAAAGATGGGTGGTCTTTGTCTTCCAATATTATACATCTTATTGACATATAACAGACGGTCTCCTTGACGTCATACATGACTAAATGTGCAGGAGAGAGAGAGAAGAGGACTAGAAGACGAAGTGCCTACCAACAGTTCAACTGTGCAAGGGCTGTTCCGTTATAGATATGCTTGTCCTTTCCATTTTGTAATTCATTGCTTTTGGTTTCCCTTTCAGTTCAAACATTTTACGCTCACTCATTCACTCACTATTAGTCATATATTATTGATGTGTCAGGCAAACTTTCACCCCTCCTTTCCCTCTCTCTCTCTTCGTTATCGTTCTCTCTGTGCTTTTCTTTGTCTCTCAGTTATTTGTACATTCCTTCGGTACCGTTTGTCTTACTTATTGATGGCTAACGTACGTGGAATGAGAATATTCCCGTCCCGTCCCGTCTACATTCTCGTCTTGTCTTCCTTACTTTCATCATTGCAACACAATGGGTTATTCTCTAACATTCTGTTGGGCGAGAATTCAAATTATTTTATGAAACAAATTGCAAGCACTGTTTGATTAATCACTGAGGTATTTTCATGCAGGTGAGTTAAATTCTGGCCAATGCAGGTAGAGGTGCTTGGCCAGATGGAATAAAATTGCAGCGTCATTATGTCCTCAAGATATGATGGGTAAGGGAATAAAAGTCAAATGTTGACATTGCAGTGACTCGATGGAAGCAATGGTGGGGCTGAGGTATAGGCCTGGATTAGTTAGATCGTGATAACAGCTCTTTTTTTCCGTAGAAGAAAAAATCTGCAAATCAAAAACATCCCCAGAATTAATGTTCTTCACCAAGGAGTGATAATCATGTTCTGAATCAACTTGGAATGTTAGAGAATCATTTAAAAATAAAACCTTGAAATCAAAATTCTTTAGGGTGTGAGCATTTGAAAAAAGTACTTGCAAGAGACATGTTGGGAAATTTTATTTTTATCAACGATGAAGTAACTGTAGCCAGTTGATAGACGTAAGCTAGAGTCATGAGTTGGTCGTATGAGAAAGTTGGCTGGGACTTTTACAGGTTGTCATTCGATAGAGAACGGTCTGTTGTAGAGGAGTATTGAGCCGAGACAGCAGGTTATATGGAGGCGTTGGCTTGCAGCAGAGCACTTTACAAATGAGTGATGAACAAGCAGAGTGACTTTTTTAGAGCATTCCAGCAATGCTAGTTGCGCTTTGGAAGATTAAGTTATACAATTATTTAAGACACAATGTTAAATGGAATAATCATTGCTCTTAGGAATAAAATCTTTATTCGACAAACTTCCATCTTATAGGTTTAATACAAATTGTTTCGAATGTGATAAAATCACTTCGACTAGTTAGTAAGATTGTCATAAATTTTATAAATGAAGCATTGGTTGCAGAAAGGATATTTATCATTTGTTTTACATTTCCACCAAATGTTACTTACTTTAGTTTCCTAATCATTTTCAGGTTTTATTGCAGTGCAAAAACTGTAGAAGGATTTTTTGCATATAAATTCCTGGAAACCAAAGTATTCAGTATGACTCTCTTTGTGATTATTTTTGTCGGTCCCACTTCATACTATTATTCTTAATACTTTTGCTGTTTAGTGTCTAGGACTTCTTTGATTGCAATGGACAATATCTCGACCACTATACGTGTTTTTTTTTTTTTTTTTATTAGAAATTAGTTACATGGATGAAACTAGATTTGAATTTTATTCTGCTGTCCAATGATAGGATATTAAGAGAGGAGAAATATTGTTTTTTGAGTGAGTTAATTTTTCTTCAAATCATTAATCGGCCGTTGCATTTTTGATGTAGCGAAAACTCTTGCCGTTTGCGAAGAATGTCGAAATTGTATATCGCTTTCTGGAAATTTTTTTAAATGTTTTACGCCAAAAAAAATGATTACGAATTCGTCGCAGTTTGGCTTTGTGCACAGAATGATATGGTTTCCTTCATATCTTTCATAAAATTTGGCCAAGAGTGCAACTGAATGAATATTCCTTTCTCTATTGCCACTGTGATTCATTGGTCATCGATAGCTGCTACTACATCTGATGTCACCCTAAGCCTAACCCTAAGTTTAAATGTATTGTTCTAATCATTTTCTATTGAGTTTCATTTCATTAAATGGATATCTGATATTTATTTTGCATGTTAAGACTTAGACTAAATTACTGATATTGGCATCCTTACTTGTCATGAATGGACAACAGTTTTTTGCATACTGAACTTAAGTCAGTAAATTAATGATCAACAATTATAAAAAGTAGGCTAAAAATTTATCTTGACTTTTTTTTTTTATAATATGACTTCTTTATTTAAAATCACTTCGTAATGCCAATTTTTGTTATAAATTATTAGGTGAATACTTTCCTCTCATTTATAATGCTTTTGTCATATTAGCTTTTTGCATGACATATCGTTTATTTCAGTTTTGAGCATGTTTTACTAAATTTTAATGCTTGCTTTCGAATTTTACGTTTTGCAATCAATTGGTACGTTTACGCCATTTATATGAAATTATAGGATAAAAAAGATATGACAGTAAAAATTCAATGATAAAATGAAATTATTAATCGCCCGATTGCTACACGCCTTTTCTTATGTCTGTGAAGAATGCCCAAATTGTGTTTCGCTTTCTAGAATAAAAAATTTTTGTTGTTATATAGTGCCAAAAGAAATGATTAGCATCAGTTTGGTTTTCCGGATAAAATGATATGCTTTTCTGCATATCTTCCACGAATTAGAAAACAAAGCAGTTCGCCAAAGAGTGAAGAGGTATCCGTTTCCCTGCTGATATTTTCAATATTTGTTGGAACTACCAACATCTTTTTAAGCAGATGCTTCTCAGGTTATGGGCAACTACTACGTATTGAGTGCGAGATGTGAAAAATATACAGCATCTAATGAGTGTGTCCAATGAATTTTGTATCTGACTCAAACGGTCACAAATGCTTCACAATACACTTCACGTACATTCTATTTCAGGCTGACATAAGTTTTGCTAACTTCGAGGAGTTTCGGAATACAATTTCTTGTGAGATTTCAATGCATTCATACGGTAAAAGAATTTGCCAAGCATTCACACCGAGGACGAGGCTCATGCGTTTTCTTGTGACTGTAAAGTGATGATTTATAGTTGAATGTTCGTCCACAACCGGGCACTTTGCATTCATAGATGAAGGGCTGACCGTGTGTTTTCCTATGTGTTACATATTCTTTGTAACTTTTTGCGATCACAGCACAACCGGGATAAAGGCATTCGTAGCTTTTTCGTTCACCTAAAAAATTACTGTGTTATTTGTTTTTGCAATTTGTATTTTATTATAGTGTCTGGCAACTAATTAAGTAATCTGATACAACTAATTAAGTGAACTACTAAAAAATTACTTCCGTGAAATAATCCTAGCACATTCCATTTCAAATAATTTAGAATCACAAGAAGTTGCTTAGCTGCAACAAAAAGTGTAATTGAGAATTTCTCCTTGTATTGTCACTGAGTGGAACAAATAACACATTTCACATGCATTCTTTTTTCAGTCTGACATATCTGTTTTATCTGTTTAAAATTCTGCTAAATTTGCAAACTAACAAGACTTTGTTTGGCAACGCCTTTTGTGATTTTGTAGTCCACTCTTGCAGGTGAAGAATTTGTTACAGTACTCGCACTGAGGATGAGGTTCATGCGTTTGCTTGTGATTGCAAAATGATGCTTTGTGGTCAAATGTCCGCCCACAACCGGGCACTCTACATTCATAGGTGAAGGGTTGATGCGTTTTCCTATGTGTTACATATTCGTTGTAATTTTTCGTGACCATAGTGCATCCGGGATAGAGACATTCATAATTTTCCTCACCTAAAAAATGGAATTTGTTTTTGCAACTAACATTCTATTGTATGATTCGGTAGTTAATTAAGTAGTGTAAGGAATAATCATGAAAATATCAATAATACCATAAATATATAAAAAACTTTATCATATCACACTTTAAACTACTTAGATCATAATCTGTTTACTTATCTTCTCATATTTTTGAAGCAGAAATTATATTTTTCATGTTACTACTAATTGGAAGGATCTCGCACAACAGATAATTGTTAATTTCCTGTTGTCGCGAAACCAGTTTCGGTTTTCGATTCTTCATTGTTTATATTCTCAACTTCATGTAATCGAATAATAAAAGCCTTTTAAATATTAAAAAAAAAAATTGTGGTGACTGCATGATGTGAAAGATAAATATCGCAGTACGTATTGAATTTTGTATTATCAGTATTGATTGAATTTGTATTAACAGTCACGAATTTCCGTAACTCAGAAAATCATCAAAATATCACTACCATGAAATTATCTCATTCCAAATAGTTTATGTCACAAGAAGCTGTTTAATTATTTAATTATTAATTATCCTCGCGTATAGTTCTGCTAAATTTGCAAACTAACGAGAATTTGTTTGGCAGCACTTCTTATGCCTACGTAGAATATTCACGCTAGCGAAGAATTTGCCACAGCACTCGCACTGAGGATTAGATTCATGCGTTTGCTTGTGACTACGAAATGATGATTTATAGTTGAATGTTCGTCCACAACCGGCCACTTTGCATTCATAGATGAAGGGCTGAGCGTGTGTTTTCCTATGTGTTACATATTCTTTGTAACTTTTTGCGATCACAGCACATCCGGGATAAAGGCATTCGTAGCTTCGTTCGTCTGAAAAACTCTTATAATACTTTTTTTTGCAATTGATATTTTATTATCGTGTTTGGCAGCTAATTAAGTAATCTGGTAAACCATAATAGTATCACTGAAATACTCTTACCACATTCCATTTCAAATAATTCCGATCACAAAAAGCTGTTTAATTATTTTTGCGTATAGTTGCAACAAAAAGTTTAATTGCGAATTTTCCGTTGTCACTCAGCGCTCACAAATGTTTCATAGCACACATTTCACACGCATTCTGCATTCCATTTCAGGTTGATATATGTTTTTGATTCTGTTAAATTTACAAACTAACGAGATTTTGTTTGGCAGAGCCTCTTGTGTTTTCGCAGTGCATTCCTGTTGACGAGAAATGTGCCACAATCCTCGCACTGAGGACGAGGTTCATGCGTCTGTATGTGATTATAAAATGATGATTCATAGTCAAATATTCGCCCACAACCGGGCACTTTGCATTCATAGATGAAGGGTTGACCGTGTGTTTTTCTGTGTGTTATATATTCTTTGTAGTTTTCCGTGATCATAGTACACCCACGATAATGACAAGTATAATTTCTCTTATCTGAAAAATTCTTGTCAAAGCATTTATTTTTGCAGTTAGTAATCTATTACACCGTTTGGTAGTTGAAATAATGTGAGAAATCACAAAAATATCATTGCCATAAAAAAAATATCACATTGCATCTTGAATAACTTAGGTAAAAGTCTCACATATATAAAGCAATAACCATACTTTTAGTCGCTTTATCAATTTCATGCTGCTGATGGAAGTAAAGAACTATAAAAGATAGAACGAAAAATCGTTATACAATTTGTCATTACTTGTTTCTGATCCTTCATTGGTATTTCCCCTGTACTTGGGGACATTCAAGTTATCCGAGAAGTGCTTATTGTCCATGTTGCTCTGTTCAGCATTTCCGTGTTGACCGGATGTGCCGTCTGAGGAAAGAGTAAGTTGGTGAAAATAGATCGGAACCGCATTTTGTTGTGAACCAGGTAAGTACATACATGTGATAATGTCATCGGTGTTGACATTAAGTGCCGAAGAAGTTTCACTTTGAGCATCTAAATAACTTAGATCACAAAAGCTGTTTACTTTTCTTTTCATATATTTGAAGCAAAAGTCTCACCTCTATATCGCAGTATATCATCATTCGTTTCTAATTCTCCATTAGCATCTCTCCACACATTCCTATTTGAATCTGTATATGAACCAAGTGATGAGTCCAAATTAGTGTGGTCCAACAAATCATAGCTATCTAAAAAGCCAGGATGAGGAGCATTTGTGATCTCGGGTTTCGATTCTTTACTGCTTATATCCTCAATTTCATTCAACTGATCGAAATCAATCAACTGCGAAGGATCGGATAGAAATTCTGAGCCAAACAATGGCTCAAAATTGTTGTAATCGAAGATATCAAAGCTATCTGAGGTGCCAGAATGAGCAGTACATGTGACAATTTCATCACTTGTATCGAGGTTAATTATAGGGAAAGTTTTATTTTTCTCAGAGATGATGCAAAGCAGAAGATTGAGCCAAATAATGGGTGTCATAGGCATAGTGAAGAACATGGTGAAACACGAAATTTCGTAAAATGACAGAAATACTCAAATGGAAGCTCTTTATTTCAGATTGGTTAAAATTAAAGACCAAAGGTTCAGACAGTTTTTAATCTGTCCATTATTTGTCATATTTTTACATTCTCGCTTTCCTCTCTCCCAACTGATAGTTTATGAATGCTCGTTTGAATCCGAAAGAAGCGGTTACAATAGCTTGTACGTAAATCCGGTGCTTTGAATACTGATAGATACTGCTCTATTATTTCAATAATATGTGTAAAACCAAGTGGCATTGTCAGAAATGAAATTGCGAGCATTTTCCATTTTTCAAGCATTTAATTTTGTGCATTTAATAAATTCGCGTTGTATGCCTACTGATAGTATCACTGATAGGACTTTCTCGGGTGGACGCATCACCTGAAATTTGATAGTTGTTGCTTTTTGACATAGTATTCTTGTTACTGCAGGAAGGAATTTCAACATAAGCTGAAACGATGTTTGATGCTTGAAAGGATGGGACAAATTTTAAAAATTAACATTTGCATAAATGCATAGATGCAATTAATTAATTACGTATATTCAGCGTAGAAAGCAAGCTTGCATGAAGCGGTAATACTACCACACCTTTTTCACTACTGTTACATTTTACAAATATTTGAGTTAGTCTTTTAAACTTTATTTCAAGCAAGAAATTAGGAAGTTATGACTGGAAGGATAGGCAGGCTTTGTTAAGTGGGAAAGAGAAGAAATGGGAGGAACGCGATGAATGAACTATTCCCTACTCCCATACTTAGGGACCTCTATTGTAAGAAGAAGGATCCCAAGACTGCTACTATTCCAATTGCCATTGTCTTCGAGTGAAAACGTAACAAGGTCTGCTCCCATCCCACTTCAGTTTGTCGTCGTGTCTCCACAAGAGGCAAGTAGACGGGAGATGCTGAGAAAGGGATCCATTACAATATCTTTTTACTGTATGTTTTGTGATTATTGCAATTAAGATTAGATCACAGAACTGAATCTGCCTGTTTATAGAAAAATACCTATTATATTGATTGGTAAATGAGTCCCAATGGAGCAAAAGATTAGTAGCTGCTTTTAATTATGTTCCAGGGAAATCCAAGGATTCTGGTGAATTATTTCTCTGAATCTCAGAATTTCATTAAATTTTTGAATTTTTGAAATTTCATTAAAGAATTTCCGTAAAGAACTCCAATTAGCACATATTTGAAGTTAATTACAAATTTCACTAAACATATTAATTTACCAAATTCTGCACTATAATTTCGCTGTCATACTGAACACTAGGATGGTAAGGCGGTAAACACATGATCCATTCACAGCGCAAACATTAACATCGAAATTCGTATTTATTAAGAAAAGCACTGATTTCAAGTCAACTACTCTCACTGTTTTATGCAGTAATATTTCGACATTCTCATCCACCTCTACCTGTAAATTTACATACATATTGAATGCAAGATATGAAAATATATATATATATATACAGCTTAATGAGTGTGTCTAATGGATTTTCTATTGTCACTCAGCGGTCACAAATGCTTCATAACACACACATCTCAGGCTGACATATGTATTTAAAATTCTGCAAAATTTCCTAACTAACGAAATTGTGTTTGACAGCATTTCTCGTGTTTTTGTAGTCTACTCCTGTTGGCGAAGAACTTGCAACAGTGCTCGAACTGAGGCTGAGGTTCTCGCGCTTGCTCCTCATTGCAAAATAATGTTCACCCGCCCACAACCGGACATTCTGCATTCATAAACGAAAGGTTGATGTGTTTACATATGTGTTACATATTCGTTGTAATTCTTCGTATTCATAGGACATCTGAGACAAACGCATTCATAATTTTTCTCATCTGAAAAATTCCTGCATGACATTTGTTTTTGCAATAAGCATTCTATTACATTATTTGGTAGTTAATTAAGTAATTTAAAAATGATCACAAAATATTAGTGCCACAAAATAATCAAATCACATTGTATTTTAATAACTTAGGTAACAAGTAGCTGTTTACTTATCTGAAGCAAAAGTCACTTCTAAATGTTGCCTTTGGAAGGATCTAATACAATAGATATTGTGGACTTTCAGCTATGAATGAGATCAGTTTCGATTTTCGATTCTTTATTTCATGTAGCTGAAAGAAAATAAACAATAAAGGATAGAATGAAAAATCCTTATGTGATTCATTATCACCTGTTTCTGATTCTTTATCAGTATTTCCCTTGTCGTCAAGGATGATCAAGCTATCCGAAAAGTGCTTGTCAATTTTGCTCTTTTACCAGAGACACCTTGACCTTGAAGTGTCGTCTGAGAGCAGCTGATGAAAACAGATCGGAACGGCATTTGGTTGTGAATCAGATAAGTGAACCAGGTAAGTGCCTATATGCGACAATGTTATTATTGTCGAGATTAGTTAACGAGAATTTCATTTTTAGCAAAAGCGATGTAAAGCAGAAGATTGAACCAAATGATGAACTTTACAGATAAAGTGAAGAAGATGGTGAAACACACAATTTTGTGAAATGACAGAAATACTTATATGAATGTTTTTTTTTTTTTTTTTTTTTTTTTTTTTTTTTTTCAGATTTGTTGGAATTAAAGACTAAATGTCAAACAGATTTTGATCTATTCAATTCACATTATTTTTCACATTTTTTGTCTTACATTATCAATTTTTTCTCTCCTAGTTGATAGCTTACGAATGCCTTTTTGAGCCTTTAAGAAAGCATAACAATGTTTTTTATTGTTATTTTATCCATAATTATTATTCTCATGTTTTTTTTTTTTTTTTTTTTTTTATGTTTTTTATTATATTTTTGGTAAGTTTTGGTTTGTATTTTTATGGCAATTCTTTTAAGTTCAATTTAAAGCGTAGTGATAGTCGTATAATTGAGTTAATTTTGCAAGTTTTAGTTGTTAATTTTTTCTGTGAGCGCATTCTGTAAATCTAAATGCTTACTTCCGAATTTTAGGTTTTACCATCATTTAGTACGTTTATGCTGAAATTATGAGATAACAAAGAAAATAAAGATAAAACAGTAAAAATGCAATGATAAAATGAGATTATAAATTGGTCGCTGCATTCTGATGTCCTATTGCTACGCTCCTTTTCTTATTGTTTACGAATAATGCCCAAATTGTGTTTCGTTTTCTAGAATAAAAATTTTTAGTTGTTTTGTAGCACCAAAAGAAATGATTAGCATCAGTTTGGCTTTCTGGATGGAATGATGGCTTTTCTGTATACCCTTTATGAATTACAAAACAATATAATTTGACTAAGAGTGAACGGGAGTATCGTTTGATATTTTCAGTGTTGGTGATTCAGTGTCATTGATTGAATGAAATAAACTTTAATTGATTTGAAGAGGTTCTCGAAACTCGAAATAAGTTTTGCGAACCTCTAAATAACAAAATATATCAAATAAAATTGTATTACATCCATAAAACTAAAAATCGTCTTGTTCCACTTAGAAATTTTGTACTCATCTTTCACGAGGATTGTTTACACGGTATCAGTGTTGTTGCTTCGTTACTAATTATAAATTATGTTTGAATCTACGAAGTTAACAACCTTCGCTTAGCTAACTTCGCTTGAGGCATGTCAATTAGTAATTAGATTTGGTTGTAAACGAGTTTAGTAGTTCTTTGCTGGGCTGATCTTCCTTTCCATCGAGTTAACTTAGTGTTGGAAATCATGTACTTTGTTTTTGAATACTACTTGCTATATAAAGAGGTAACTCATGTTCAAGTGGATAGTGCTTTTATCGTGAACCAGTAGAGATCAACCAAGTGGCAGTTCGACCACAAAAAGGGATTTCCACTATTTATACCTCAATTTTTGCTCTATAAAATTTGTTATACTGTTGCTTTTCTTGATAAAAGAATTATTTTATTCCCATGCTACTCCACTTATTAACATCGATGTCCAACGAATCTCCTCGAGTTTAGTAAACTTCTTCCAAAATAATTTAAACTTCAACTATAACTTCTATAGCTTCTTGAAAATGTCAACAAGTAGAAAAGCATGAGATAACTAATAAAAATGAGATCGAAAATAACAAATATCTTTGACTTTTAAACTTAATTTTGGTATAGTGATACAATATCTTTGATTTTCTGCATTCCACGTGACAGCAGTTCAATCTTAATATCAACTCACATTCTCATTAAAATAAATAAATGGTTTGCGGGAAAAACTGTCATTGTCTTATTTCACAGATAGTACATACAATCACTGCTATTAAAATTCCTTGACGATTTATGCAGTTTGTTTTTATTAGAGATATTGTGAACAGAAAATGCAGAAGTGATTGTGATTGCATTCTAATGACAAATCTTTGTGAAATGAGAATGTTTTGAAAGTAGAAAAATAATTATCACATCATTTATCACAGTTATGATTAGTCTGAGTCAGTACAAATTCGTAGTTATCACACAATTATTTGGCATTAATGTTTGCATAAACGAGTTTGAGTCATTCATATCAGACTTTGTGACTTTCTGATTTTCCAGTAACTTTGAGTAGAATTAGTTTTTTTCTCGAAACATCCAAGAAATTAGAAAATCATGCTGATGTATGAATGATATAACATTCATTGCTCGTGTGAAGATTTAGGATTTCGGCACGATGAAAATTCGGTAAGGGATTTTATGGAAAGATTTTTTCCCTTTGACTCTGGAGTAGGCTGTTTAGTGCAATTCTAAAGGGGAATGAGAAACTAATTAAATGACTTACCTGAACGTCATTTAATTATTTTTGGCATGAAATTATTTTATTATTATAGTTTATAATAAAATAATTTTACATTCGAAATTTTCTGTAACTCATAGATCAATGCATTCTGCAATTGATTTCATCATAAAGTTATTCATGTGTGAATAGGACAAATGCATTTTGTTATGCTTCCAAAAGTATTGAATGGTTAGAAATTTATTCCGTAATTTTTTTTTTCCTTCTTAATATTTCCGTTTATTTTTGAAAATTTAGATGTAGACATTCCCATTTACAATATAAAGCATTTCAGACGATCCAGATTTCCCGATGAATCACATTTTCTACACTAAAAATTTTTACCAAGTTTGCTGTTCACCACCATTACAGCAAGCTTGCAAGATGCGAACTTTTTCTTCCACGTTATTTCTGAATATTACTCGCACAGATAATTTACAAGTACGGCGATATAATTACTAATCCAAAATGCAAGAAAAGATTGCAATAATATAACGGCAGAAGTACAACGTTTGCGATGTTCAATGGCTTGTGAGGATGCAACGATCTTTTAATAATTATGCACTTTCTTTTTGAACTAATTAGTACTGTATACACCTTGTGTTAGCAAACTGTAAGAGCGACTTCTTGCTTATCAGCGAAGTTGTAGATTTCTTGCTTATTTGATCAGTCTCTCAGGTTGCTTCGTTTGAAATACTTAATCACTTGGCACTACATAGTACTACCTGCATGCGTTTTATGAAATTAATTTATTTCATGCACTTTAGCTATTGCATTGCATACACTATTGCTTGCATGCACTACGGTTTGCTTTTTGTGTGCCTTACTTCAATACTTTTTTGCTTTTTGTGTTATTTGTTGAAGCCAGGTGTTAAAATTCTTAACCTACGCCTGGGCACCATGTTGAAGCGTTCAATATTAATGCAATAAGTGAAATTCCTATATTTCTGAATTTTAGATCAGATACGCACTTAGCGAGAGATTCAATTTCTGAAGAAGAAACAAAGCTTCTGTCTTCCTTTTTACCTGATATCCTTTTCCAATTCTTTCAAATTCAACGCAATAAAGGGACATAGATTATCAAAAGCACAGCTAAAGTTCCTTCAACAGGCATTTCCAAACCTTTCCCAAATATGGCAAGTAATATCGCCATCGTCAGAATGCAACATTTCGGGTTGATAAATTTACTTCAGAACTAAATGTGATATTCCTTCAAAAAAAAACACTTCAAATTTTTAGAGTAATCAATAACAGAAGTTAAAAAAACTGGTGGCATAATTACTTATGGAGAGATATGAAAAGCAAATGTCCTATTTATTATTTCTCTCCTGAAAAATGTTGTCTACCACAGGCGAGAAGTAAATACTATAATGCTATTGGATCTTTATTATCTTCTCTCCTTCATGAATTTGCTGTAATTCCAGAGTTTTTAATGAAGAAGTAGGAAATATAATTATCCCATGAGATTGGTATTTCAACAGATAATTACAAAATTGGTTACTAATTGTACTATTCCTGCCTTCTTTGTTTTCAATCGCATCGAATTCAACTTTTTCTGATGACTGATATTTACAGTTCCTTTGTTTTAGTAATTTATATTGCAGTACTTTTAATATTATCAAATAAATATTTTAAGAGAACAGCGATGAGTGGTACTTTATCCTCAAACATAGTAAGAAAATGAAATCAAATTATATTGGCTTCAATGTATAGTTCACTTCATCTCACTGAAACATATTCATAAAGAGTGCATCGATCTTTCGAAATAAGTTATTACTATTTTCAGAGTAGTAAGGTAATAGAACAACTTTAAATTAGCCTGCTGAATCCATCAGATATTTTAACATTTATGTAGCAAAATAGTTCATTTTGAAAACTTCCAATCTGTCTGGATGTTAAGCACTGAGCTACATCATTGACAAAATTCATTTACACTAAATAAATGAGCACTAAGCTTACTTTTGATAAACGCATCTTATACAAAGGTTAACTTGACTAAATCTAGCAAAGCATACAGTAACTATGCTCATATAAGTGATATTAACTATCCTCATTTCGTTTCATGTGAGGTCTTTCAAGGTTTCTTCCACTGCTATAACCACAACCACTTGCCCACATTTTACATCGCAAATTTTGACACATCATTTAGCAAACGGAATATAATAGCTGACGTAGAATAACTGCGAAGAAACGTGTATGGTCTGTTGACATATTTCAAATCGTGGAATCTTCTCTGTGACATCAATTAAAAATCCATCTTATTCTGGTGTGTTTTCAGGTTGTTTTCTTACTTGTGAATAGTTTAACCCCTCTTTTTTGAATGAATTGTTGTTACAAGATTATTTTGGAATTAGAAAACAGTGTTCTTGTAGAGGGGACCATGACAAAGTATGAGAAATAAATTGTCGCTATGCGTTTGTCAACTGTTTGTCATCTGTGCGAGACTTTCAATTTAGCTAGTTCTACAGGAGGATATGTTTAAATGAAGTACCCGAGTTCACCGCTCGAACGGATAGATGTAAACCTCACAAGAAACAATTTGAGAAAGAAATATATTAGCAAATTGAGAACAGTGTGACCAATCGTGTCTATCCTTGTTTTCTCATGTTACTTCTCTTCAAATAATGTAGAGAAAAAGCTTCGATTTGCAACTTTCTGCACATTTCCCGTACCTGAAACGAACGAATTTTCCACATTCAGTTAAGCCGGAATGTGACCGTATATTTTAAAGTTTACTGCAACAGAAGCAGACTTACTATACTGAAGAAGTAGTGCACGTGTGCAACAAACAAAAAAACTGCCAGCGATCTCAGCAGCAGTAATTCTCCTGCTGCACTCAGAATATTCGTCATTGAGAACAGCGCAGCCGAACAGTACAACATCACCGCTGTGTTGCACATTTGAGCGCAAGAGTCACTCATGTGTGAGACTATTAATCGACTCTGAAAGTTCCATGTAATTTGGGATGGATTCTTCCGGATTACTGAGCGAAATTCAAGAGTAACGTTTCAAAATAAAAGAATAAAAAGAGCAGAATGAGTTGTAGCATGTGGAGATGAGAGAAGAATACAATTACCGCCTTTTTATAAAATCACATCTCTTATACTTCTAGTCCTATTTAGTGTTACAGTAAGGCTTCTTCTTCAAGGTTATTTCCTTAACTTTTGGCTTGAGCATAAATAGTATAAGTAAAGTGAATAAATGTTGACAGTAATCATTCTTGACTCGAGTCATTCTCGAGTAATTTCATTATATGTAATATAAAGCCTGCAGCACAAGTGTTGAGACTCTGGCAGATAAAATGCTACTAGCAATAGCAAGGGGATAGTTCTTGGTTTAAAAAAAGAAGATTAGGGAAATTATGTTGAAGTGAAAGTAAAACTTACATTTATATTCGCATTAACTATCGCAATGGTGAACAGGAAAATAGGTAAATCTTGGGCAAGTACTTTACCCGGTGAAAATAGCGCCCATAAGAATGCAGCCACGTTCAGCTCAAGGGCTGGAATAATCGGCTGGATCCAGCAGATCATACTCTGCTGCAATTTTTTTCAAGTTAGTGAATAAGTTTCGTCTTGATTTGAAGGTATGAAAATTCACAGCAACTCGTACCTTTTCGGAGACCGGTTGCGAGTCATAGAATTGATAGATGTGATACAGCGAGAATAGGATGTTTGATATACAACACACTGAAATCAGTAAGGATTGATATGTGGAAGGGATATATTATCACTCATGATAAGTGGAAGGATTATCATTCACCTACTCATCCGTTTCACTCACTTAAATAAAAAAAATTCATTTCCTCCACTCAATTGTTTCATAGCTGGGAAAGTTAATATTACCGTTGAAAATGAGCATAATTAGATCACACACTTTCCAGTTATTGAACAAACATGCTGTTACCAAATTGTCGCCATCAAAGTAGGCCAATATGTGCAATAAATTTGAGACCTAAAAAAGCACCTCTATTTTATTATTCGATTGACTTCGAGAAATCTGCGTCATATTAACGGTGTCCAGTTAATTGAAAAAATGGCGTGTAATGAGGTGAAAGAAGAAGTTACTAACACTGTAAGTGAAGGAAACAACGTGTTATTACTTATGCTGCATAGCTCTTATGCTTAGTTCAAAAGACTTAAAAAATTCACTTACATAAAATCCTTCAAAACACCACCTAAGACACATAATTTTGGTGATGTATTGTTCCCAGAAAGCAAATGTGTGAGCAGTCAACATTTCAATTAGCAACGCTAGCGAACATAAGGATGAAATGCTGCAAGTATTGATCAATTAAAAGAAGATTAAGTCTAAGTGAGAGAAATTCAGAATCAAGGAAAAATGATCGTACCGGGAGTTACTCTCGTTGAAGGGCGCAAATAATGTTATGATGAATGGAAATACCTTGCATGCATCTAATGCGTGATCAACTGCAAGCAACAATTATTATCTCAATTTCCATTCTCAGAAAGGATGGAATAGGATGGTATATTAACTGTTCAAATGCTTAAAATATCCAAATATACTTAATGATAAAAATTGCTCCATCTTTTTCACAGTGCTCTTTCTCTGGAAACTTCGCTAAGAGTTGGACATTTTTTCACGTTTCAAGTAACTAAACTTAAAAGATAAAAACTTACAAAATTCACCAACTGGACTAACTGATGACGTTCGTCGTGCTTGTATCCCGTCAATTCCATCGTATGTGTGGCTCCAAAATGAACATATTGCGCAAATCATCCACACCCATCTCGGTATGGTACATAAAATTCAAATGTTCATTACAGTACTGAATCAACCTTTCTAATAAAAATTACTGAGAATCAACTGTTTAGAGAACCGGTGTCTCACCTGAACTGGGAACTGGACCATTAAATAGATCGTAATCATAATATAAAATGATTAAGCAAGGTAGTACGATGAGGACGAAGCTCAGCACTGTTAATACATTTGGTGCTATCCATTTTGGGTGATACTGCAAAGAAGGAAATTGTTTCTGATCGGAATGCAGGATTCTCGATTGGTGCACCAGTCATATTCTAACAATTCCTACTGGGTTACTACTACAGATAGATCAAAGTGTTTCAGGCTCATCACAAATTTTGTAGATATCCAGAATGGTCTCACTGAAATCGACTCAATACCTCAGAAATAAAAATGACACTGTGAATCAGGTTCTAGTAACAGAAATTTCTTCAAATTAGAGATAAAAGGCAAGAGTAGTATGTTGCTGATTGCAACGTTTCAGTTACTTTTACAAAAGATTGATGGCAATACCTCGATAAACCAGTTCCAAAATGGTGAATTTATATAAATGGTGATCGGCCCATTACACATTACTTTGTACTGAAAAAGAATAAAAGTGAGATATAAGCAAAGTTTTCTTATGCAAATCTCTCTACTACTCCAAACATAGTCGAACAAACTAAAAAGAAAACTTTCTTCGTGATGCGCAATTCTCTCCAACTGCTCCTCGGTTAAATTTTTCTGCTTGGAAAGACCAAATCTCATATTCGATCTGTAACTGATCTTCCGTGACTGTTATTACTGTAATAAGGGTGACATCATTGCTCATCGTCATTAAATACTTTCCAAAATAAATTAATTACAATGACTAATTCAATAAGAAGTTTAGATCATTTCACTTTCATTCTGAATGGGTGCGAAGAATGGTATATTTTTAAACGGTCATATATTGTGCAAGTGTTGCTCCTCGTCATGAAATACTTTCCAAAATAAATTAATTACTGGAGATTAGATTAGGAGTGATACTATACAATCCAATTCCTGATACCTGTCACACCGAACCAATACAAATCGACAGGTAGAGTTAAACATGTGTGAATAGCTTAGAATAAAATGCTGAAAAAGCTGTTAGCAGAATTAGCCAGCGGTCATCTGAATGCAAATGTCGTTTGCTGCTGCTCCATTCCCACTAAAGTGATAAGGTGTGGGAGGAATGCTACCAGTACCCTTACCTCTGTGCTTGTGCTCTCCAACAGAATTAGCTACACCTGGGTTGCTGCTCGAGCAAGGTAAGCCTCTCCAGGTAACTTTCATTTTATCAGTCCCGCACGAATCACTCGTTCTTGTCTTTTGATCGATGCTACTATATATTGTTAACTGTGTATTTCTCAACGTGTTCAGCTGCATTTGGCACATTACTACTACTTCTGCTTGATGGAACTTTCTTGAACGAATCTATTCTCTTTTCGTTTATTGTAAGCTAAATTATTCCTTACAAACGTTGCTGTCATGTGATAATACTATGCAATGAGCAGAGGCATATTGTAAACACAAACTTTGCATTAGCTCTGGTTTTGATCAGTTTTATCCTATCCTAATCTACTGGTCTAACTCAAAAAATTAATTCTTCAATCAGCGAAAATGAAAGAAGACAGGAACGGATGTTTGTACTGTTGCACAGAGAGTATAATGGCAAAGAAAGATTATAGTATGGAGAAATAATACAAGAAATGATGGCAGGTCGAAACTGGATTGAAAAACAATTTAAGATTACTAAATTAAATCAGATATTCTCGTTTTGTTCGAATATTGGAGAAAAATGAATAGAAATGTAGGTAAAATCACAGCAACATTCTGTTATTGATGTTGAACGTCGAGAAAAATAATTTAATATCTGAAAAAAGAACTTCAAAGCGATTAATGTCCTTTTTTTTGCCTCTTCGATAAAGATATGTCCTAATTAAAGAAGTGATCAAGTATCCTTTGTTGCTAATTGAAATTCAATGTGAATCTCGCCCGACCTCATAATCACATCGATGTTGTTCAATCTCCCAGGATTCATTCCCACCACCCTTCAGATTCAACTCATTACCATGTCATTTGCATTTATTTCTAACAAATTAAACTTGATGATAACATAATTTAGTAATAGTTCACTGAAGATTGGATCAGCGTACTTATACCCGTTTTTAGAGGCCATTTTTCCTTTCAATGCAAACATGATAAGACAGCGAACTCCACAAAACATCTCTGGTTTGATGCACTGGCAACATTCTAGCAAAGAAAAAGAAAAACCACCAAGGCCACCTTTAACTCCTTCTGATGATTCCCGTTCAAAAAGCGCTCAAATCAGGTCATATGTGAGAGAACTTTTAGTTCCCAAAAAACCGCCACTCCTAATCAAACCTGTCCCAAACAGATTACACCGCACTGATGGCAGTGGACGCTACGACCTTCATGTCTCGAAGTTATTATTTGCTACTACCGACATTTTCTCAAAACAGTGTTTATTGAATCACCTTGCATTCTTGTAAGAATTCCTGTAACATATTGCAATTTTGGCTTTATACTTTATAACAGCATAGCAGAAACAGTGTTATTGAAATATTTCCAACTTAACATGATCAGCGTGTATTTTCCTTGGTATTAGCTTCCTAATATTTAACATCAAACATTTAAGTGTAAATGTAAGCCCAAAATGCGGCACAAAAATTCTGTTCTTAATTAGACTGAAACTCTGACTCTAATTTCCACCTCAATTTTATTCAATGAAAATTACCAGTTCACTGTAAAATTCATTGCAATCGGGACTTTTCCTGTCCAGTAAGCTGTAGAAGTAATCATGATAGAAACAATCACAAGGGCTTTAAAAAACTGAAATGTAGGGAAGAAATAGCTAATGATTAATCCAATGGCACCAAGTTATTTGCCATCTAACTTCATCTACCAGCAATAAGAATAAAAAGTCACGGCCTCCACATACAGTATTGGAAAACGAGGTATAATAAATAGATCACCTGATATTCATGACGAAGAGGTAAGTTGCGAAGTAGCTTTTTATATCGATTAGCCGATTAGCTTTTTATCTATGAAAAACTATGAAACTGAGTCGACAGCTTCTCTGGCTTTTTGCCTATTCTCCTAAAACTCCATAATGTTGTCTCAATAAATTTCACATCACACATGTTGTACCAAACATGTTGGTGAAGTAAAGAGGGAAGATAATCTAATTGAAAAAGTTCCCATTCTCCAGCAGTTCACAGGATGGAACCTTATTTTCCATTATTGATATGTTCCAAAAAAATGCAACGAGAAGAAGTATAAACTACACAATGTAATGGTAGCCATTTTATTTTATGAAAGAGACCAATGGATTTGAAGTGAAGTGAGGCAAATATTGATTAAATCAATGTTCATGACTATGAATTCAAACAGCAATAAGGGATGTAGGTAGCGAAAGCCATGAACAGGTCAGCTTACGCAGCACAGCTGACAATAAAAAATGAACTATATTGAGAGATAATATTTCTAGCTCGCATCCACAATAAGATATTGACAGAAGTCGGTTGATTACTTCATATCATTGTCCTCATCGTCTATCTTTGGAGCTAAATAAAAGCGCAAATGTCCACTTTCACTTAATCCATACTCCACAACCACAGGTACACTATTGCACAAAGAAAGACGAACCTGAAATGTCAGTGGTATCACATAATCACATAATCATCATACAGTAATATATATGTATAAAACAGAAAAATAAGAGAATTCCTTAAAACAAACGAAAAAAATTACTCGGTCAGAAAGTCCTGTAGCCTTCGTGAAATGATTCATGTATTTGATAGAAAAATTGACTGTAACGGGCTCTTTAACGTCCACTGACACAGCCTATAACATGTTGTTGGGAAAAAAAAGACATGTTGTTGCTGGGAAGAAAAACAAGTTCTGCTTCTAACCTATTTCAATAATGTATCAAAATAAAAAGTGATGACAAATACTTTAAGAAATGTACCTGTTGTTCTTCTTCATCGGCACTTCTTGAGGGAGCATAAGTAACTGTGGATGAACCGGTATCACCCTTGCCGGTGAACACAATACCTGCTTTTGTTACCGTTATCATCAAGGAGTCCGAGAACATTGCCAAGTCACGACAAGTTTTCTAAAGTGAAAAAATAACTTTGAACAGTATATGATACATATGTCGAATGTTAAACTGTAAACTGAATTCCTCAAGAATACCTGGAATTCAGCAGCCGGCATGCAAACAACAGCAGAATAATCCTGTTCCGGGATGCCAAGATGCTCGCTGTCGATATCCATCATTTTGACGATCACTTCCTGACTTTTATCCTATAAATACAAAAATGAATACAGGTATTAAACAAAGACATATAATAGATACTCGCCTCTGCAATATTGCTTGTAATAAGCAATTGTCGGTAAGTAAAAAGATAAACAGATACCCGTTTCGTGTCCTCGAAAAGGAACAGTACAGAATCGTCGTTTTCCTCATATCGAATCAAGCAGGTATCTTCATTGTTAGCACACTTTAACGCCCTTGCCATACCTGCCAAGCTGAGACCAAGGTTGATGGTTCTGTCGCAACGATAGCTCTCAAACATTGCAACATCCATTTTCAGCGACACCAACGCAACATGCGACGAATCCATTGCCTGTAAGTAGCCAGCTGAGTAGGATGAAAAGAGTACTGCTAAAATCCATACTGCATTCCACTAACCTGCAGGCACATGGCAGTCTCAGTGCAGTCAAAAGGTGCATCCGTCACGAGGTCCTTGATGGCGTCCACGATTCTCTTCAACGTCGAGGCACTGCCCAACTTTGCTTCGAACATTGTCTTCAGAAGAGCTAACAAATCTAACTGCAATATACCCGACGACCATGTACATCACTTCCTTCTTTCCACTTATCCAACACAAAACAGACAAAAACAACTATGAAGATTTACCCAACCCGTACCCACATCTGTCCCAATAGGGATTCATTCACATCATGTTGGAAATTGCCGCCAACAAAACAGCGCGCAAATTTACCAGGGCGTCGCATTCAGATCAGTGTCACCCGATTGCAGCTATATTGCACCTCTTCCCCTACTTCCATCTTGATATCTTCCCGTGAATGTTAATGCGGAGTGGGAATAAGGTTTGTTGTATAATAACATGGCAATGATATGCTTACTGACCAACTTTATTATTTCATATCCAGCAATAACCAGTTTACTTCAAATCAGCAATCAGTCATGACCACTTCAACATTGAGTACAAACTACCCATTATTGAGTACAAACTACCCATAAACTATCCATGTATTATTTCATGTATACACACACACATCAGATAATATTTCTTGTCAGGAAAGGAAATTCGCTTAGCAGAGTTGAAATTATACAAATAGTGCATGTTAATATATAATGTTAGGGAACATGTCAGTTCTCTTTATTCCATTATTGTAGTAGCACTGAGCTACTGCAGACTACACTGTAATTTTGTTCAGCAAACATTCGTGACAATAAAGTTGGACAGATAATGCCAATGTATATATAAATATATATATCCATTATCCAATAATCTTTATCCAGTCAGATCTTTCGCACTACTACACTGAATACACTCTCAATGCACTTCCGCGATAATTTCCGTTTTGTACTGGTTTGAGCTAAACAATCGCGCAGTTATTTATGTTCATCAACCTGCCGAAGCGTAATATTGATGCGATTTGTATTTGCATATTTCACTATCTCTTCGGGCTGATCTTTATCCTCGAAATATGTATCTTGGAGAATCCGTGGGACTGCATGGTATATGAGTCGTTGTGGTCCGTAAATAACCAGGACATCACCTGACCGTATGTAGAACGCATCAACTGGGTCATCTAAATCAGTACCACCAGCCAGGTAAATTGCAGTTTGACCGAAACTTAGCGAAATAAGTGGTGAAGACAGACTCCGTTCCGATCTGAAATGAAATAAATGCTTCGAAGACAATTAAGAAGCTAGATAACATCACGAAAATATACATATAACAAATATACGTTATTCAATCTAAAAACATTTATGTAATAGTGCAGATGAAAGATTAAAAAATCATTAGTGAAGACATTCTTGTTCTGATCTTAACTAGATAATACGATCTTCGAGAGATGTCCTTCAATAAATTACCTATCAACATGTGGCGCCAGTGTTGACTTTCTTGAGTAGAAGTTTATAATTGCAGCATCAGCATACATCGGTCCTATGCCGAGTGCCTGAGACAGAACATCTGACAGCGACACTAACTCTTCAGGAAGTAACTCACCTGAACAAATGAATTCTAACTTTAACAAACCATTCCTACTAGCACACAGCATTCCTCGTAATCCAAACGTTCTTTTAAAATCAGTGACACGGAGAAATGCACACCTTCAAATGGATAAATCTTTGTTGCCCAATCGTAATGCAGACCAAGAGTAGACCAGCGCAATTGTCGTCCATGTTCTTTGAATACCTAAGATAACAAATTACGGTTATCGATTTAGCGAATGAATTCTTCTGTACTAATAACTTTATCCGCCAAATATAATTTAATGTATTCAAATATTCGACCAGAAACTGTCGCGCTTTCAAATATAATTCACAATTGTTGAAATTTAGCTATGTGAAAAGTTTTTTTCATTAGTTAGGAATAATAATGGAAAAAACGACATAAGAAAACTTCAGGACTTGAAATTTTGATGGCAGGCTTAGTTTTAAAACTGACATACTTCTACCTCAAGCCTTCCGGAAAGTTATGTGGATTTAACAGCTTGTCAGCGTAAAACTGATGATATACCCCCTACCCCGCTCCCCCCTCCATACACTCGTTTGTACAAAAAAAAATAGTATAAGCATTTGTAAATCCAAATATTTGAACTTACATTTCGAACATTGGGCACCTGTAGGCCGACATTGGTGAAACCAGGTGATTCAGCGTAAATAAACAGTGAGCGTTTTATCCATTGAAGATGACTGCTCGATTTAAAAATATCATTCAACATTACCATACCTGGTCGGTGAGTAATAGTTGAAGCAGTCCACTCGGACATTGGACGAAGTCCGAGCTTTTCCAGCACTATATCCGATGGTGCCACAACTGGTTCGAATTTTGAGCAAATTATTCCATGAGCAGATAAGGAAGACCGTAAATCAAAAACTTCGGAGAAATTGGGTGCCATGTCATGTCGTTTATAAAACTTGAATGTTCGCTTGAATAAAGAGTCAGAAGGTGAGCGATCACGATAACCGTTACCATCATTCACACCTATTAAATATTTGTCAGTCTGATCTGTTGACCGCTTGTCGGATACGCTCGTCATGTTTCGTTTTATAGTAGCGTAACAGTTCACTTTTGCGCAAATCCAATTCGTCCTGAAGTCCCTGCAAATGGAAATGATGCTGAAACAACGGCTCTTTGATTTATTTCTTAAACTTCTGTCCAATCAGAAATGTGCTAACCTGAAGTGGTTCATAGACAGTCGCCACACCATATGCTCCAATTGCTAGACCAACAACAGCAAAAACAATCTTCGCAGCTGCTTGTTTTGGTGTTAATCGAAGTTGCCAACTTACCATGTCACGAACTACCCTTAGAAATTTATAAATGTAACAAGTGCACAGGTCACTTCCTTAAAAATTTGCTAACATTTATTGTACCATTTTCACTATCATAGTATAATCTTCTCGCTCTTCGACTATTCATTTAAAATTAGGTCAAAGGTCAATATTTTAGAGTGGAAAATATCACCACCAAGATATAAATTTAGTATTTAGATCTGCCTATAATTAGATCTCACTCTCAAATTTCATCTTTAAATCCTTTCCAGACTAGTGCTTGGTTTTGCTCTACGTTAGAATCAAGCAAATTCAAGAAAAGTTCAAAACAACACTGTCCATTTTGTGCAAAAACTCTACACTAATCAAGCTAACTTTGAACAGCATTAATATCTCATAATGGCGATTGAATATAAGCTACAACATGAATTGAATTTTCTCATTTAATTCATAATTATAAGGTTTATTATTTTCAATATTTGATCTTAGAAGCCAGCGTGTAGCAGTGTCATTTCAAATATACTGAGTCATTTAGAAATACTGAAGTAGTTCATGGAAGTCCCAGAGCAATAACTAAATAAAATTTATGTGATTTGAAATGTTACGAAATGGGTATGCTTGGTGACAGAATACAATCGTCAAAGGGAGTTATTTAAATTATAAAAAGTTCATAACTACTAAATTTAAAACAGATCAACATAGCAGACAGCACATATAGAAGGCAAATTGAAATTTGAACAAGTATGAAGCAGAGGAAAATGTTGTTTAACATAAAAATGATCAGAAAGAAGTCTACTTATTATCGTCGTATTTCTTCAATAACCGACTCCTTTTTCAAAAAAAGACATCAATTTTAAGTTAATTACAAAAGCTAATATTTTTACTTATATATATATATATATATATATATATATATATATATATATATATATGACCAACAAGACAACCGCTTGAAAGATTGAACTTAATCATAAAAAACGCAATCTGAGAAAGGATAAATTATTTCAGTGATCGACAGCACCACTAGAGTGAGGCAAATTGAAAATTGTTCGCGGCCAGGACAGGGCAGTATCATCCGTAGCAGGCGTTTCACTTTCTCTCGTTTCCAATTTTTCATCAACCTGCTGCAAAGACATTGTGTATACGTAGTATTTGAATTAGAAATGAATTTTTTTTAAATTAAACCAACCAACATCAATGAAACTAATAAGCAAATGAGCAAAGACCAAACATATCAGAATTTGAAATGAAAATTTATGAAACAATCAATGTACATTACCATGCTTCGATGATCTGCGACCAGAAATTTCGCTCGAACTTTCTTCATTGTTAACATTCCTTTCACCAAACGTCTCCAATTTCTCAAAGCCCTTTCTTTCCGTCTCTGAAAAGAATGTCTTGTTTAAAAGGAACAAAATTCTTTGAATTTAATAAATAAACTTGTTTCACCTTCTCAGCTGCAGTTTGTTTTTTTTCGTGAAATTGTTTCCATGCTTCACGTAACACCATTTCATGCTTTTTCAAAACGATGCAACCATCAAGGCTGCAAAATTGTAAAAAAAATACAAAAAAATTGTTTTATTATGTGGTGATAAAATTTAAGTCCGAAAAAAAAATCGATTGAATAACTGAATGCAATTTACATTCATCCAATACTAACATAGGATGATTTCCCCCTTTATGAAATTCCCAGCCGACTACTGCAGGTACGCAATCAATATCAAGCTGCCGAGAAATAGCAGCAAGTCCATTTAGTCGCAGATGAACACAATCTTCCGGTACCATACTACTTTTGTAAACATATAAATTACCAAATTCATTTCGCGGTATACGCCCCTAAAACATATTCCTTGGGTTTAACAAATTGTGAGAAACAGCAGTTCGTAAACTTATTTCGCATGCAAACAGTAAAAAAAATCAAATTCTTCACGTTGACGACTTTAGGTGGCACATATGGTTCAGTTTGCCAATACCCATATAGCTCTAAGGACCGTGATTCTCTCATTTCTGATGCCGCACGATTATTCATTCTTCCCTTCACGATTTTATATGGCTTTTCACCGGCCTATAAGTTGCTTTTGTACAAGCACGCGTAAAAAAAGTATAACATCATTTACTTGTTTAGTATTTATCATTAAAAAAAAAAAACCAAACAACAAGTGGCTTTATTTCGAAAGAAATTTTTATGATAACTAAAGCATACCTTAACCATACGTGCATGTTTCATCCAATTCAGTGCGCCGTCGAGATGAAACAGAGAACTTCGCGGAAAAATATCAATACCTCGAATTCGTCCAATAGGAGCCTGATCTTCCGGGTAAATCGCCTCATATTTCAGAATGTCTTTCTTCAATACATACCTAAAGTAGAAGATTTCAGTGATGAAAAAAATCTATGGAAATCATCTTACAGTGGATGATTTTTGTATTCGGCAACCGTTGCTGGCTTTGGCTTTAAGAGGAGTTCATTGTATATTGCAATATCTTCAATGCGTTCACGTTTCCGGTTCTTGCTCTGATATATCTACAAATAAATTAGAAAAGTCAACAACCACAGAAAATCAAAAGGTCCGTACGAAATACAGCCAAGCTTAGCTAACCTTTAATGTATCAGTCCACCACGAAGCATCAACTCGAAGTCGTCGCGTTTCAGCTGATAGGAATTTTGAAGCATAACGAGCTGTTACGTCACGCATACCCATATCTGTACTAGTCATGTAATTCGTCTAGCATGAAAAGAATAGAGAATAATTACTAATAACAGGGAACTTACTATTATCGATGCAAACAACATAATGCATTGGTACAGTGGCATTCGTTTCCAAGCTTTCAGGCATATCGACAGTTCCGCACCACGGATCCATACCTAAATAAAATACAAATTGATACTTGACCAAAAGAAAGGGAAACATGAGAACATGAATGAATTCCACAAAAATCACTTGAACACCGAGATAATGAACTGATTTTGAAAAATCATAGCTGAAGTTTCTCAATTAGCAAAGTCAACAAGACCAGTCCAACGAAGGAACTATATCTCAGTGGAGATATTGCATTTGTTCATATCATGTTAAATTACTATTTATGAGGATCATCCGCCTAAACCTAGATTGATAGAAATGATTCATTTGCAACGTTTTGACATATAGGGCACCGCACATATATGTATGGTTTACATACAAGTTATGCAAATTAAATACGCAAATTCAGAAGGAAACGCACAAATCCATCGAGCATTATTATGATCCCAATATTCTACCCAGTAATTCCTTCTCGAATCCATCTTGTTTTTACTGGTTGATGCGGTATGTTCGGAATTATTTTTTTCAATTCTTTTCGACTTCTTTATATATGGTTTTTTCGTTTCTTGATACTTTTTAACACTACTTTGTTCGCTGCAGTCATCTGTATTTATTTGCACCTTCTTCGTTACTTCATATAGTTTCTCTTCCCATACTACTGAATTGTCGTCGTTATTGATATTCTTTTCAGCAAACGTTTCAGTATGCTCAGAATGCAACATGCTCACTGTCTAAACAACATGTTATGCTTCATGAATATTTGTACTGATATACGGATGAAAATATAATATGTTTTCATCAAGTAATTTTTCCAGAATCACTTAACTGTCATTATTTTAACTGAGTTATCTCACTGCTACTTTTAATGAATACTGGAAATATAATTAGCTATCTGACATACCACTTTCTGTTTTATAGGCTGGCATGAGAGACACAATCGGGTGCACTGCTTCAACGATAAAAGACACAAAAACAACAGCTGAAAGAATAAAAATGTGGAGAAATGGTTCATACGAGTTATAACATAATTATCACCTATAACCTCTCGTTATTTATGAAAAGCTTACCGATGCTAAATCTTTATCGTCTTCGTAGGCACGTTCGCCAATCAGATCTTCTAGTCTTTTTATCTAAATTTAAAACTTAATTAATATGAAATATTGAGGAAAACATTAAACAGACTTCAGCGATTCAATAACTTAATTTATTGATAAAGCAGATATTAAAACAACAGGTAAATAAACATTGCCTGAGAATCGCAAAAGCCATCTCTGGAGATGTATTTCTTTTTAGTAAATTGGAACATTGATCGAAACCATTTCATGAATCTTTCTGCTATTGCCACATCGAATTCATGTTTCGCTGCGGTTATATAACCTTCTGGTATCAACGATAAACACAGCGATGTTAACGCCTCATGTCGTGTTAAGGCGCGTGCCCAGATGCGCAAGTGTGCAATATAACAGAGAAGATGCATCTGAATTTAATCAAAGAAGTTTTGCAAGCAAGAACATCTCAAATGTCATCAATCCTAGAAAATATTTCAGTTTAGATAGATACAATCCTTTGGAAGATTGGCAAAAGTAGGCAGCTATATATTATATTCTCACATTTCACTAAAGTGATTCGAATTATAGTCATTTAAGCAAAACCTGCAGGCGTTTTTTTAAGAGACAATTTTGCTCTTTACATTCTCAATGAAACATCCTAATCTTTGACTGCTAACCTTATGACAATTAATTTGTCGTTCACGAATTTTACGATTGACCTGCTGTCTAATAAATTTCATCCACTTGCTCTCCTCCTTTTCGACAGGTTTCGAAACTCCAACTGTAACTTCAATCGTACCATCAGGATCTGCTTCATAATTAGTTTGGTCAATAAAATCAACTTCTTCCCATTCATCCTCCGAAACATTTGAATTAGTAGTGGCATCCGAACTAATACTAACTTTACGTTTCCGCGTATTCTCTTTCTTGCACGCTTTGACAGCACCTTCTTTACATTTCGAATTTCCTTAAAAAAATGACTTGATTTAAAGTTCTTGAAAAGTTATTGAGTCTTTATAGCAGTGCTGTCGCAACCTGTTCTGTTCTGTTCAACTTGCAATAGTTTTACCTTGTTTCAAATTGAAATGGTCCCTGTTCTCCACGCTAACGTTCACTTTCTTCCTGCATCCTTTTACGGTTGTCACTTTTGATTTCCGTTCCAGTTTTCTACTTTTACGCTTCCTAACACTTCCCATTCTACAGGACATGCTCTGATTTCACACAGCACTTTCTACCATCTATTCCATGCATTCGCCAATTACATTTCCACTTGCTGAGAACGAAGTATCACATTTGAGAGAGTGTCTTCAGTGTTAAATTGAACATTCCTAAGAGCACCCATAGTGCCTACCGCACTCTCAGACCCGGAGAACCATCCCTCATCTCGAATAGGACACAACTAATCCTCCTCCTGCTTCAGTAAACTTCGTACACACTAGTGGTTCGTCATCCAGGAGCTGCCGTCGTTGAGGAAGTCAGTCGGTGTGGATGGTTTGAGGAGGGCAGATGTGTTTCCGGAGTGTTGAACAGACGAGACCGGAAATGAGGACATCCTGAATTTGCGACCACCCAAAGAATATCACATGACTGCGAGGTATGTGAGACATCATTTCTATTTGTTATAGGTTGTGTGTCGTGTATCAGTTTTAAATGACGTCACCTTTATTCAGCAATTAAGGCACTACATTAATATCACACAAACAAAAAATGTACCATGGGACTTGCTGGCACAGATGATGACGAAAACAGTTACAGAAAGTATGATAGACATAATTTCTGAAATTATGAATATTGATTAGAAGAATTAAAGTGGCTAGTGAGTTTCCAAGAGATTGGAGAATTTCCGGAACTTGAAAAGGACAAAATTCTCCTTACTTTACTTCTTAAGAAGGGATTCCCTTCCAAGTCCTGTTAACTGCAAGTTGCTGATGAATAAAAAGTTATTCAGTCGAAGCACAAATTCAACGACTGTTCGTTTTGACCTTCGCTGTTCTTCACCACACACTTGTACCTATGACATGAACGATATTGTTTCATTTATCTAACTTGTTTGTCCGATAAATCACATCAATGATGGTCATTATTCAGAATATTATTATTTGCCAAAATTTATCGATGAGGATGGTTTACTTGATCAAAATTCACTGACTGGTCGATTTTCATTTCAATTAATTCGTAAAATCACCATGAATTACTAAAATTATGACCCAAAAATGTCTCACTTGGCCTGGTCCTCCTTCACTGGACCGTGTATTTCCAATAAAAACTGAAAGCCCTCTTTATCTTTATCGTCTTTTTTTGCGACTATCTTTATTCGATCCGTCGCTTTCAGTGGTTTATCATCCTTAAAAAATGAACCTGTAGACTAGGAATGATAATAAATAAATTACTCCTTTGATAGCGAGTAAGGCAAAAGCACATTAGGTATATGATATTCCGTCCCATTCTTATTAAACTACTTCATTTTTGACTTTTTCTTTAATGAATTTAGAAAGCCCAGAGATCCTTGAATTTTCATGTCCACTCTTGGTCTTGGAATAAAGATATGATACCTTGAACCATTCAGCTGTCATATCCAGATGTGATTTTGCTCGAACCTTAATTACAATAATATTACCACCATCACGCTGTACTATATGAGGCTTATCATGAAATTCTGGTGCATCTGCAAAGAAATAAGTGTCTTATAGTAATCGCTTTCATTATAAAATTTAACTAATCTATTGATGATTTCGCTTGGTAATACCGTAGATCTTGCCAACAGTGTACTCCAGTTATCACACTGTTGCACATAATATATTATCAGTCCATTACCAAATTATCGTTGCTTTCATTACTGGAGCATGTGGGCAAAAAAATAGAATTATTGGTGCGAATGATGTAAAATGTGTTATAATAATATCTGGAGTATTGGTAGGATAAATTATGTGAAATTTAATTACCATTCCAAGATGCTAATTTCCAGCTACTAATTTGATAACTATTCTAACCGATACTTAATTCCTGACAATAACTTGCTATAAATATGCCCATAAATATCGAGGAAAAAAAAATATAACTGATGAACAGTTAGATACAAATCAATAAAGCATCACTTACTTCCAGCTTTCACAGTAAATGTAGCACTATTTTCGCCATCGCTGCTGTAGAATTTCGCCTTATATGAACCCGCCAATTCCTTATCGAAATTCTTGATAAAGAAAAAGAAAACATCAATATGGGTAGATATTTACATTTTCAAATGGGTAAACAACTTAACTGCAGTTCCTAAGAAAGCGGTGCAGTATCAAGTTGCTTAAGTTGTTTACGAAGATGAATGCATGCTGTGCTGAGTTCCACTGATCAGCCTCAGCAAGCACTCATTTTGAAACATTACAGCAATGCAAGTATGAACTAACACACAAACAGTATTTTTATAATGACATTATTTTGCAACAGAAGCAACAATAATGCTTGAGTAATTATGCTAATAGCCGCTGCTTTAAGTGTCCAAAAATTGAAAGAACTTGCAGCAAATTTCATTTCCAGGTGAACCGATAACCGCAATTAATCATATTAATTTGTAATTTTAATAATTTGGTATTCCGGACAGCTTCTATTACAGATTGATTAACATTGATTACCAAAACCGCATCACCACTGATGTCAAAATAGTCAATTTTACTTAACCCGTGGAACGAAGACTTCCTCACCTTAATTTCACATCTTAACAAAGTTTTCTTTTCGCCTTCATCGTGTTCTGAGAAGACGTATGTTTTAGTTGGCTCAATTTCTTTCTCGCCCAAAAACCACTTTGTCTTTTCAGGCAAAAGACCTACAAGCAAATGAATAAATGAAGGAAGTAAGACACTATAACCGAAATGAGTAAAAAGCAGCACTAACCGGATGCGATCACTTCTAAAAAGACACTGTTTGTTGCGCTGTCCTGTACAATCTTCGGTTCCCCATGTATTACTGGCGGCGCCATTCCGGTGCAACCTGCAAATATCCTGTCACTAATTTAACTTCGTACATTCGTCATGAGTGGAGTGGAGAGAGACAATTTCCTGAGATGATCGAGAAGTCAAGAAATGAAGGCTACTGTTGCCTCTGAAGGAGTAGGCGTACTCTCGACACTGCCAACATTGCAATTTCAACAAGTTTTTTCTAGGATGAGGGAAGTCAACAACTGACTCTGATGACAGCTACTTCTACCATCTCCTCCTTTAGAACCCACCCATCAGCATTCACCAATCCAAAACTAACTGAAACCTAAGCCACAACACAGCACTCCCCCTTCCACACACACATACGAAACCACATCCGTAGCCACATCTGTCCCGCGACCACATCATCTCTACTCTGATCTTTACTTCAACTCATTCTCTTGCAGTTGGCTCACGCCACAAAGGTAGGAGAAGCGTACGGAAGATGTTCGATCACCTATCGCATAGACTGACGCAAGTAAGCCAGGTGCAGATGTCTGTGCCTAGCTTTCTGCGGAACCATTTTTCTGCTACTTACCCGGTCCTTTCCAACTTGACAATTGCGAGAAAAGCTCTCCTTAGGGCAATCCACTCACTCTCATTATAATTGCTACGTCTACTCTGTTCAATAAATGATGTTAGTCGAAGACAGAAGTGCTCCACAGTGATTACCTTAGCATGCAATGAGTAGAATTCAAATTCACATCCAAATTGTCTTTGATCTGTAAAACAAGATAGCAGGAAATGGTACTGTTGATAACTGCTGGGTAGTAAGTCTAGAGCACTGTGTTTATCTGTCCTGTATTGTCATGTAAGCCACGGTAAGCACAACTAATTATCTTATAATTATTGCTCGGTATCCACCAAGCAGTGCTCTGGCAATCGAATCGAAAAGTCAATTCGTTTCTCTGTGATCTGTGACCATTACCAAAGAGTTATAATGCTATGAAGAACAGAATTACCCCTCAATCCATCTATACTTTCGACTGATTCGGAGATAATTTATAACAGATAGTACTACAGACATATACTAGCTGCACACACACACACACACACACATGCACATGCACAGACACTTCTTGCATGCACGCACGGGAATTTAATGGATTTGGGGAAGCGATGGTAGCAGCGGGTGGATGAATGGATTTCGTTGGGAACGGACTAAGCAGACGTGCGGGAGAAGAAGGATGAGTCATCTCTCTTTAAGAACAGCTGCGATGGCTAATGTTTTTACTGCTTGTTATCATCACAAATCGAAAACTTTCAAACCTTACTTTTTCTTTTGTTGGGAAACTAAGGACAGATTAGAAAGGCAGAGAGACAGAAGTAATCAAATGACAGAGATGGGAAGATAAAGCCCGGAGGAAAAGTATAAGTGGTTGTTAAATTCTCGACTAATTATACGAAAGCACAAGACTACCACCCCTCATATAAGAAGCTGTCATCGTGTATGTGAAAGGGATTTCTCTCCACATACAATCATAATCGCCCATTCACTTGGACGAGTACCGTTTCAGTCTTCATTTGACGTCACCGAAGATTGATTCCATTTCCGACGACATCATGAATCCCTTTATGATCTTTTACATTCTGCAGTAAGATAACCTCACGCATGAATAACTGCTTTCAGTTCAATGTAAAAAATGAATTAACACAAGTCTGTGTATTTCTAAGCCAATTCTTCCAAAAAGATGCGCCCGAATGCATTATTTGACATGACGTGAGATGTCAGGAAAAGGACATTAGTGTTGTAGCGATTGCCTCCCGGATCATCGTTCATTTCAGGATTTGTAATGTCTTATTTGAAAACAACATCTAATGTAGACTTATTTATTAAATCATGTAAATTTAAATAAAACAGAACAAGTCCATCAATAGGCCGACACAACGTGAAATGACAGTGGCCATTAGAACGACAAGGACACTTCTAGTCAGAGTTATATTGTACATTGCTGAAAATGAGTGAATTTTAACATTCGTTGAGAATGGATGGATAATTGTTAGAGTTGAGAGTGATACAAGTAATACAAGTAAGCAACCACCTCGCTGCGCTTGCACGTGAGATATGAATATAAACAGTTCGGTGAGTATTCTGTACGACCATAGTAAATGTAAATGCCATATAACCGACAGGACAGCAAACACGTTTCCTGAGAAACATATGAAATATTATATTAACTCATTTCGTTCCCGACATAATCACGCCAGTCAGAAGTTATGCTCGTCCTTTAAATAAGTATGTTTCCACGACTTTCTACATTTCTTCAACTAGGAATAACCTACTAGCGAATACACTGGTCATCATCACCTGCACATTGGTCAAAGAAAGCTTTAAACACATGAAAAAGCGCCAACTGTGATGCAACAAACCATAGGATCCAATGCAAAATGTCTGCAATGTTTTGTTGACGGAAAATGTTGCGGAAATTTGAAGAGACATTAGTGCCAACACAATCACAAATGATGCCATTTCCAACAAACTTTGCAACAAACATTCGTAAAACTCCCATTCCAAATCATAGGCGTTCTCGTCACCAGACATTATCCGCCATCTTATCCATTTGCTATAGGCATTGCATAGCATAAAAATAATGCACAGCTTGTGACAGTACTGCAAGTAAAGCTCTATGCAATGGTGACACAGGATGGACAGCTGTACCAGTGGCTGTGCTGCGATGCACACTGTCAGCTTAGAATTATTTCTTGCAATCGTTTCAATTTCTTTACAAAGAAGCTCTGGAGAAACCCGACATTGCTACAGTTTACATCTTTGCACGTCAAAGCGCAGACCGATGACACAGCATGCAGTGTAATGTCGGCCTCACGTCCTCAATTCACTCACTCACTCATTCGTATTTGCATTCTGAAAAGCGTAAAGGATACGCGGTTGTTGCCGGTATTCATCAGGAAGTGTCGATACGCTTCAATATACTGCAGCATGAGGTCAATTATTACCAGCACAATGTCATATTCGATATATGCGTCCACAGCTCTGCCGCAGTTAGACTGAAACTGAACAGAAGGTCACCAGCACATCTGCTACTGTCAGAGAGGTCATCTGCTACAGCACTACCCTAATTAACGCTTAAACTCATCCGGTTAATATCGAAGCTAATATGCACTTGCAAAGTGAATCACTGGGCAACATACACATGGCGTGAGTCGGATACCATTATCACTGTACTTTAGGAAAAGACTGGATGACGGGTGACAACAATTGATGCAAATGTACTCATCCACCATTCCTCTTGTGCCTTCCACTTCGTTCCTGAAACTTATACACGTCATTTCACTGACTCAAAATTTAGACTGCACGCTCGGAATGAACACTCCACAGGCGGATATGAAAAGGGATAAAAGAACTTGAAGCAATTCAGGTTTTTCTGCTGCTGGAAATGAGGTTTAGATTCCGGAAGGGTCGACGGGAAGGGAGGAGCAAGGACGGACCGTTGCATTTTGTCACAGTATGGTTTCGACCACGTGCAAAGAGTCGCAAGCCTTCCGGTGGAGTCGGATAATTTTAATGATATCTGGAAGGGACCAGGGCTTGTCACCACTGAATGATGGCGGAACACTGGCGACATGTGTGGCAGAGCAGTGAAGTTCTCGGTAAGTTGTCCTTGTATAACTATTTCCTTGCGTCTTTCAGTCTTTCACTCACTCATTCTCTCCCTCGCTTCGGTTGTGACATCTCCAGTTTATGGTTCAAGAACACCTGCGAATTTATAATAATCTTAAATTATATGTAAACTGACAGTGATCCTTTCTTATTGATGCGTTGTTTGCTTCTCTGTATAACTTGTTTTCTACTTGTCCTCGATCCCATCCTGAAATGCTCTTTTTCGAGACATTAAAAAATAAAACCTAATGAGCTTCTTCCGTCTCACAATATCTATTTAAAATCTATTTAAATATCTATTTAAATTGAAGCAAAATTGTTGAACAGTTACAGTCCGAATAAGGATGCTGCCCTAGTAATTATTAACCTCTTCTCATAAGAAATAATCAATTCAATCTTGACAATATCACTTGTCGAAGAAATGATCTAATTATGTCTAGCAGTATGTAGCTCGGAACTTGTTCCATTGGTTTCCGTTACTTTTTCTGCAAAAAAGAAAGTACCGAGAATATATTATTCCATAGACGAAAAAGTAAGCCGGTTATGGAATGCTTTATATTTGTACGCGATCTTCACTTCCTTTATTCGCTTAAATTTACAAAGAAAAATTCTGAAGAAGAGCGTTTTTAATTTGCTTCTCGAATGCAATTATTTTCTTAATCTGAAATGTGAAGGTGGAATGGTTTTTTCTGCTCTTCTGGTCTTCCTTTTATTGACAGTTTTCTCGGGTTTCGATTTAATTGTTGGACAAACTTAAAACAGCATGTCAATTCGATAATTTTGCTCTTGACTTCTTATAAATGGCATGCATTCTCCATTGTTTGGACCTAGTACACAAGATAGCAATTTTTTAATCTTTAGCTTGTAAATGTGCTCCAGAAAACTTGGAAAGTGCAAAATTTTCTTCGTTAGTCCTTGCATCTTTTCGATTAGTAATATTTATGAGAGTATGTTCTTTATTCGGAAACTAATAAATGTCCAAAAATTTTCGGGTTGTTGGTTATTTTGTTAGTTTGCGAAAAAAACAACAGTGAAAAAACAAGAAATGGTATACATAATGGACTTTGAATCCAAATATGTTTTCTTGAACAAAATCCTTAAGGTTTTTTCTTTGGCGTTGTCACCGGAACTAAGTATGAAATATTATCGAAGAATTTTTACAAGAAATATAATCAGTGCTCGCTGTATATAACATAAAACCAATGATGCAGGTGACTATATCTCTGCACATCATTATCTATTCGAAGGATGTACAGTTCTTGAATTGGGCGCCGGTTGCACTGGAATACCGGGATTAGTTGCTGCGAAATGTGGAGCCAAATTGGTTATTTTTACAGATCATCCCGAAAGTGAAGAGGTGATCATCTTTATAACGTGTTTTTAATGATTTGTATTTGGATATGGCAATTAATAAAATGCCCTGTTTATGGACAGCAGTGCTTGTTGCCTGTTGTTATCCGGAAATTGCCTAGAAATCGAAGAAGTAAGGAGCAGGCATCTTGTCCTCGATATCTGTATTCAAAACACAAAACTTCCATTTGTTGCCTCTATTAACGAAAAGATCCTTATTCATTTGTTATTTTAGGCCTTCAAAATCTTGAAACAAAACTGTGTTGTGAATAACCTTGACGAGAATTGTTTCTTAATAAAGGTAAGCAACTTTATATAATAGAAAATGATTAATGCTATTGAATTGTTTCATTTGTTGGCAGGTCATACTACCTTTAGTTTATCAATGTTCAAATAATTTTCGATAGGAAAATGACCAGATTAAAAAATTCTTTTGCTAACATTGACAGAATTAATTTAGATGGTGTACTCTGTATTTTCTAATTTCGTGGTATTTATCGAGTAGATAGATTGTCTTGTTCTTGTCTTTATTTCCTCAAGTTTTTTTTTTTAAATATTGTAACTTATTTATGTGCATATGAATTGTTAAGTTTTGTTTTCTAGGATTTAGACTGGAATGGTTCAGACCTTAATCAGGTTATGGATGATGTTCTTGTGTTGCATTACATTTTAGCAGCAGATGTTTTCTACGATATTACAGTGTTTGAACCGTTTGTGCATACTGTTGCATTATTATTACAGCTGTATCCCAAAGCGACATGCATATTTGCTTATGAAGAGAGGAAGTATCGTTATTACATTTTTCTTTCTTAATTTAGCTTTTAATTTATGCCTTCTTGTGATAGCTCTTTTTTTGTAATATTCTTTCTTTATTTTTCAATAAATTTTTGCAACGCACCTTTTTTCTTTTTTTTTTACCTTCTTAAAATTATTTCTTTGCTTTGCAATATGAACTTCACCGAAATAAATCCATCACAGATTATTTCCAATTTTTACTTTCCAGCTGTAATCTATTTTTTGGACTAAAATCTTTTCATTCAGTTTAGGTATAACTGATCTTTCTTTCTGTTATCATAAGACCAAGGTGTACACTTTCATCAGCTCTATTTCATGTAGTCATCATGACCTTTCCATCTTATTCTGTCCAGTTGCGAAACATTTAGAAAGATTTTGCTGTCAGCGAGCTTTCAAGTTAAAGTCTAACCTGTGTGGTTTGATGTAATTTATACCGACAAGAAAGTAAAACTAATAGCCTTCAAATATAAATTTTCATTTTTCTTATTAAGCTTTCGTTGTTAATTCCTATAATGAATGTCCTTTAAATTTGTAATATTATTTAACTGATTTATTGAGCATTATTCATCCGTTTTTTTTTTTCTTTGTTCCGAATACTATTTCATAGCAAAAGCTTTAATATTGAAAGATCTCCCTTCACTTTTTATCTGTTACATTTCTGAATAGGAGAAAATAATGGATAATCATCCATTTTTAGTGGAAATCAAGAACAAAAGTATCAGTCATGGTTGAAGAAATCATGAAGAATGAAGTAGTTATTAATCGTTCGATGCTTCTATTCTTCTTTCATCCATGAAACATCTAATCTCACTTCACTTCACCAGGCAGCATTGAGAGATGCTTTTCTTCATTAGTAGCAACCATCCTTTCAGATTTCTTAATGGCCTGCAACCTTCGTAAATTCTTCAATAGAAGCTTCTCTGTCAGTTACATTTGCTTGATGGAGATGCACTTATAGTGGAAAGCAGTGTAGTGCAGAAAGTTTTCTTTGAGAGGAGAATAGATTCAAATTCATCTTCTTCCGTACATGAGTTATTATGTTTAGTTACAATCTTACTTAGTTTTCCTTTGAAATTTCTCATTTTAATCATGGTGGATGTTCCATAAAGCGTAACAATATATTTCCATTGACCCTTATTGACGGACAAACTAGACCGGTTTGAAATATCCGTTCTGGAACTCATTTTTTTTCTAATCGTATTTTTCAAATATTTATAATAATGGATGATGTGCTCATTAGGTTTTATGAAGTGAAAAAGGCTGTTGTATGTTTGGGAGTGTTTATCTTTTTCCACTTATTTATTTGCTTGATAGTTGATTAGACTTTTTTTGATAAATTCTAGCAGATTAATAAATTAGCAAATATGGCTACATAAATTTGAAAAGCTAAATCATTTTTTAATGATGAATAAACTTCTGCAGTGTTATAAGATATGGTACCGTAAAGCTGATGCTTCTGTTTTCTTACTATTTTCAAGTATAATTTTTTTCAGCAGCAATTGGTCGATCGAGGATTTGCTTCTACTAAACAAGTTATGTTGTAGACGTGTGCGCGTTGTTCACACCGATCTTCATACAATTCACATTGGGATCATTTTCAATAAAACAGGTAAACTAGTAAAATAGTGAATTGATAGCTGAACTCTTGTGCTGTATATTGTGTTGGTCTCTCTCATAACAATATATTATGTTTGTCCGTAAAGATATCGACTAAGTTACTAGATTGCAAATGTTTTGTGGTTTTGTTGTCCTTTTGTTTTATTTTGTTATATGCAGTAGTTGGGTTCAGACTCAGTGAGTGTAACACCGCGGACTTCTTTACATTTTTGTAGTTTTTACATAATTTCGCTGTAGTTCCGGTTTTTCGATGAACACATATATCACATGTATTTTTTCGAATGCCTAATTCAAATTTTACGAGAAGTACCACTGATGACAATACTTGCATTACTTTTTCTTCATTGATTTTATTTCCCGTGTGATGAGCAGTTGACGGATTGTTTTGCTTATAGTGTCGATGTTTGTTTTCTTAGTTGTGGAATTAATTGCATTATCTTACAAACATACGGATTTCTTAAATTGTAGTGATGTTTTACATGTTGATTTAGAGATGTTATCAAGACTCTCTTTATTATATTACCATTGCTTTATTTTCTGCTTCGAAAGTACATGTACCTTATGGCAGCACACTACAAAATTTCAGTGTGCAATGTTACAATGTCCATGTACACATGTATTTGTTTTCCTGCAATGTGTTTTCATTTGCTTTGAATCGATTTTTCCCTCTCGCAACCTTCGTTAATCTATGTTTTCCTGCAGATCCATTCCTGTACGTCAATTGCAAGTGTCTGCTAAATGTGTTCAATTTGGTTGAATAATGCTGCTTGTGCATGTTTATTTTATGAGCTTATTTTTAGAACTATCAAAAGGATTTCCAGTTTTATTTAAAATAGTGAAAGCTTTTCTGCCTTTCCAGTTCTATTCCTTGCCAAAATTGTTTGAGTCCTTAATAAGATGAAAGTCCAAATTCGCATTCGGTTGACATTTTCTTGGTAATGTTCATGATTCACGTGAGGAGTTCTTATGAGCGAATCATTTTTGATATTTTGTGCAGCTCCTTATTGTAAATAATAAGCGTACTAGATGGTGCCTATTAATAATGGGAAGCTGAAATTATCTTGCATAGTAGATATAACAACAGAATTTAAAGCATGATCTGACACATTTTTTTTTTTGTTCTTGCGACATTGCCGAATGAAAGTATGAATGAAAAATCATGATTCGTACACGAAAGGCTTCTAATTTTCTGAGTTAGAGGTGAAACATGATGAATACAAAACTAATAGGGGATAAGATTTTGAATATTTTTATAATTTGTAATTGTAAAAATATAAGACGAGTGCTGTAGAAGTTTTTTTTTTTTTTTTTTAATGTTTGATAGTAATCGTTGCAGATTTTATGGAAGCGTCGAGAATATTTGCTGGAATCGAAGGGTATTATTTTAAATTACTAGTTTGTTTCTAGATGGGTTGAACATATTATTAACCTATTTGTCATTTATGTTCCAACAATCCTTCACATTGTTGATTTTTGGTACAGCTATAGATTCCAGTGGTGCAACGCAGTCTCGACTTCTTTTTATTGATGAAGCTGGCAAGCGATATGGCGAGTGGAGTCGGACTGGCCTAAATTGCTGTCTTGATGGATTCGATGTGGTTGCGGACAGAATAGCAAAATGGATTCAAATGGCTAAAAAAGAAGTTGGGATCGTTGGTCCTCTTGCAGCTGTGGTAATGAATTTTTTAAGCTAAACCAGGCATTTCGTTTCGCGGTGTGATTGATTTTAAGAATAAAAGTTAGCTTAATTAGAACTTGAAGTTTGTTCCGTATTCGTTTGAGGTGATCTGCACATTTTGGTGATTATAGGTTTCAGTCTTCAACCATATTAAGGGAATGGGCCTCTCGGGAGCTGAAGATGAAAAAAGCAACCAAAGACTGATTAACTTTTTGAAAGATCAACATGGGGATATTGCAGTCGAGTTTTCGCTGTCCTCTGATGCTGTTGTTGCAGCTGCTGCTTCATTCCAGAACGGTGAGAATATGCTGTGTTAAACTGATTTTAAAATTTAAAATTTTAAGTATCATTTTGATCTACCCTAGGACGGAGTAGAATATATGTATAGGTGGTGCGGTAATCGTAGCAGGGACCGGTTCAGCTTGTCGATTATTAAAGGCTGACAGTAGCGTGTATGGTGTTGGCGGTTGGGGACATCAAATTGGTGATGGTGGTAGCGCATTTTGGATCGCAAGGAGGTATTGTGCTGATTGCATATTTCTTGTATTGTTAAAAACTGTCCTTGTATTGAGCTGGTTTTTTTATCTTTGCATTTTTCGATTTGCTGTTTTCTTATGAAACTTAATATTACTTCAAATTTTGTTAACTATATAGAAGAAAGATTAAAGATTAATTCAATGTATATTTGACGAGGAAGATGGACTTCATCCGTCACCTCATTCGATTTCAAAAACAAAACGATTGTTTCTCGAATTTTTTGATTTGTCTGACAAAGCCGGTATTTTGGACATTTTATATACTAATTTCGATAAATCCAGAATTGCATCTTTCGCCGCTCACGTTGCTAAAGGTTTTTATTCTTTTCGGGTCTGTTTTGAGACATTTTTATCCCTGATGTGGCAGTTACCTGTTTTCAGAACTCAATTTTATGGAAGTTAGATTCATCTTCTTTCAGAAGCAAATGATGATCCTCTTGTTCGGCTAGTTTTTCGCGATGCTGGTGAGCAACTTGGCTTACACGTACGAGCAATTTCAAGAAATTTCGATGAGGTTGGACTTTATTCTTGTCTCAGTTCAAGCGTTAGTCTCATCCAGGATTCATTAGACGATAATACTAGCTGCTCTTCCTGTTCAGTGATCTTGTGTATTATAGGAAATGCTCCACAATGCTCCGCTTCTACTGATTGGTTCTGTATGGCGAAGTTGGGAATTGTTAAAGGATGGTAAGATTGCTATTTGACTGATAAAGTGATTAATTTATTATATTCTAAGGAGATTTTTCAAGTAGAAGTGATTTCAATTTGAACTTTTTTCCTAATTCATATTGTGTTTTTGTAGGTTTTGTACACGGACTCAAAAGTAATGGCAGTCGAATTGGAAAGGTAACACTCTACACTCTTCTGGAAACACCTGCTTTAGGAGCTGCTCTATTAGCAGCCAGAAAAATTGGTAAAAAAGTAGCGTGCGAGCAGAGAACTGCTATACTTGAGGTCCTCATCTTGTGATATTTCAGTGACATACTTGCTGTCTTATAATCACAATGCTCCATAGTTATTATGTGCTGTTATCATTACAGTTTCTGGAAGCTATGAGATACCTCAAAAACTATTAAATATCTCCTAGCAGATCTGTGACTTGTACTTTATCTGCTATTTTGTTCCTCTGTGATGACCATTTACGGAAAAAATTAGATTTGAATCCAAATCTCAAATAAAATTCATCGATATCTGCATGACTTAAAATGCTTCTAACAACTCTGCGGTATTTTTCGTAATACCCATCTTCATCTATTCGTTTGCATGAAGAAAGTTATATGTATTTCAGGATTTGTTGAGCTGCTTTTTTTACATAAATTATTTGTTATATTCTTTTTCTTGTAGCAATTATTGACTACGTTTTGATGTGTTAACCCAGTCAGGTTATATAGATGTTACACTTGTATTCGATTTTTTTTTTTTCTTTGCTTTTGTAAATATGTGGTATAAAAAAAATATCATTACATACCCTAAATTAAGATTTCACTATTATTTCATCGTTTCTCAACATCATTAGAATGTATTGTTAATAATAATGAAATGTTCTGCGCAAATATCGAAATTCATCATGATTGAATGATTCATTTTTTTCTCTCACATTTGTCATGAGGTATTCGATAAGTTGCAGAAAGTGATATCGGTAATAATCGTAAACATCTAATGCAGTGAGGTGTTCTTAATTCTTCCTTCAGCAAAATTTAATTCTTTTTCATGAAATGTCGGACAACGATGATGCCATACCAGGACAACGTTGGATTATGTGTAATGTCTGTTGCCGTTCAGCGTCGATCTCGTCTCCAAACATTGCATTCTTTTTGACAAAATGTGGCCACATATTCTGCAACAAATGTTTAATTGGTATTGCATCTTCCCAAGGTTAGTCGTTGTTGTGATGTTCGTTTAACCAGTGATGCTGTGGTTCTTTTCTGTAGGCGACAAAAATATTATAGATAAGGCTTCCATGCTTCTACATGTGAACATTCTGGAGTGAAATGGTCACTTCCTTGTAGTCAACATTTCGGTCCACTCTTTAGTAAGTGTTACAGATGTGGCTCATGTATGTCTCTACTGCAAGAAGAAGATTACAATTTGCAAGATCAGCCGTGATATGCCTGAAACGGTTCGTTTTTTAGTTGCAGCACGAGATTCCATAAGTGACTGGTGCTAATATCGTCCTTTTACCTCTTATTCTGGACAATTTTTTTTTTTCAGGTTCGAAGTTACTTCCGATGTCCTAGAGAATTATTGACTGATTCAATGGTTGAAGTTATGCAAGTAATCAAATTTCAAACAATGCATGCTGCATGTTTGATGAAACGCTTTAATATAATGGTTAGCTCGTGATGTTTTTTCATTCTTTCTGGTCATTTATCAGCCGAATTTATTTGTTTTGAATAACTATCAAAATTTAATGAAAGAGTGTGATAGATTAATGATTACTGAAATAGATAGTTCATGTGTTATTTCGTGAAATTTTTCTAAATGTTTTTTTTTTTTTTTTTATTGGCTGCCTATTGATTTTTTAATTGTTTCATGCTTTTCCATGTATTCTGTTTTGAAGAATCAGTATATTATTTTTTCGAATTCTAGAGAACTAATTATGAAAAACTTCGTCGATTTTGTTGCGAAGTTCTACACAAGAAAACAATTTTGGAAAGGTATGATTTGCTTCTGGGAATTTATGTTCAGCGAAAAAGCTAGAAGTGCCTTCATTCTTCTTCTGTGCTTTTGAGTGCAAAAATTTGCAGAGAGTTGATGAATAAAGTTGGACTTCCACAGCATAATAATATATCAGTTAAGTAAGTCATTGCTTATTTCTCATCCTGCTTATTTGTCATCCTGTAAAATTCGAGTTGAAGTTTTTTCACAAGATTGGGTGCAGAATAATGTACCGTCCTGCAAAGTTCAATTAATCTAACAGAGTACTACCATGATTCATAAATAAAATTCGAGAGCCAAAAGCTTAATAAGTTATATCAATAAAGGGTTGAAGAAAACCTATAAAATCTATGATTAGTCACATCCAGTATGAAGTCAGTATTTAAAATGGAAGCACAGTGCTGGTAATTTAATTCCGTGAAGGTATATAGTTGCTTATTGTTGATGGCAAAAGATGGATCATTACCTTCCCATTCTTTTTAGTGACATGAACACTCCTCTATTGCAATTAAATACGTCGGCCGAGAAGTTGCATTCAATGCATAATATGGAAGCGTCGAAAACATCAATCATCTCCGGTTTATATATTAATATATCCTTTTTCTTTAAAGAAGAAATTCTTAGAAAAAAAGCCATAAAATTTATGCTTATTCACATCTGTAGAATTCATCGCTGTGATACAATTTATAATGAAACAGCATGATTTTACTTTTATTTAACATTCTTAATTTTACTATATTATTTATCTAACATAAGTTCCCTTATTGTGAAAAACTCTGAACATGTGATGAATATCCATGATGAAATTTCATTTTTAACAATTATCTGCAGAAAGCATATCGAAATCGGGTACAGAGTCATCAATTATTGAAAATTCGACCTGCTCACTTAATGTCACTGGTAAAATTTCTGGATGTTTCTTTTATCATTTCTATATATAGCTGTAATTTTCCAAAAATTACTGGTTTCCTTAATGAAGTGTGATTTGCAAAAATGATGTATTGAAAAATTGAGATGTTGAGGTTGTTGATATGGCGAAAATATCAGTAAAGAATTCAGTGGCTCTTCGGATATCGTGAAACCGTTACCTTGATGAGTGGTCAGTATTATTTTCAAGAGGTGTTTACTAAATTATATTATACTTTCTGCGACAGCAAATGTTTACTGGAAAAGAAATAGAAAAAAATTGAGGTTTCTACTATTGAGTCATATGAAAAATTACAGAATGATGTGACAACCAAGTTAGAGAAAGTTATTAAAAAATTAAAATTCCCATCAACTGCGCTTTTTGCAAGGTCGTTGACACAGAAGAATGTTTAAATAAAACAAAAGCTCTTCGTTATATTTTAATTAGTACCTATGCTCGCCAAAGATAGATTAAACTGTCCTGCTAGTTGGGAGAAATTTTGATTCGGAAATGAGAATGATATCATGGACTCGAAACATTCCTGCTGATCTCCTTGCGGTAATACATGTTGCATCCTTACTTTGATTCTTCGAAACCAATGTTTTATTCCAGGGAAATATCTGATTCACGAGGAATATTTAACGAATGTCGCTGTTCCCAAGAAGAGAAGTAACTTTCACTACTGAGAGTACACTTTTTCAAATATTTTATTTTATTACTCACTGTGCGATCTCCATTGTATGGTTTGATAAATATTCTTTATGCGTTATATATTTATTGACAAATTTCGTTAAGGTCTTTTGCCTTGATTTTCAAATTCCTATCTATTACGTAAAGTTGTCATGTCACAGTTCATATTTTGCTACTAAAAGTGAACCCCTATAAGGATAAGGGAGAGGCAGGCGTTCCTGACTTTTCATGGAAATGCATAATAACACAGTTAAAAATTGCTGCATGTTGATTTTATTTTTTTGTATGGATTTGTCAAAGGATTTCAATGGAGATGCAAGCGGATGAGGATAATGGTAGTAACAGTAAGTATATCATTTGCGATGTGGCTTTATCAAAAATCATATCATTTGAAAACGTCAAGCGGTCGTTAGTCAATCGTACGGCAGGAACACTGCTACGACCGGTTAGTTGCACTGTTTAGATAGGATTTTGTGATTGACTATGTAGAATCATGAGAATTTGAATGCAAATAATTAGTAGATTGTTATTGATGGACCGTTGATTGGCGTCAGCTACGATGAAAAGTACGCAATGAACGATGATATGTATTTTGAGAACTACGTTGGACAGATGAAAGCAACCGGAAAGACACGTACAGGATTCAAGATTATGAAACCATACCCGGTGCAAGCTCTGGTGAAGATTTTGTTTTATTTTATTGCCCGTGGACATAAGACGACTGCTTTTTTACCGGTCTTTTTTGACGAACGGTTAGATGAATCGTGTTGCAATCGATGTGCGTTGGTTAGTAATGTGGAGCAGTTCCGTGAGCTTGTGCTCTTGAAACTGATTAAATTCCTACCACATAAAGATTTTGCAAATGAAATAAAGCATTATGCTGCCGACTGTCATGGAATTTTGGTTACTAACCCGGAGGCATTCTATTTTAACAATTTTAATTTGCATCGAAATGATCACTCGGAACAGGGCATCACATCTGCCAGTGCAACAAACACTTCATGTGATTTGATGTGTAGCACCGCGATATTCGAAATATTGTCCGATAAGAACAAAGTGCCAGTAATTATACCTCTTTTCCGACCTTACAACCACCGACTGGTCATCTCCTTAGATGTTACTTGGAAGAAGGTATTGCAAGTTGAAAAGCCAGAAGTCAGTGCTTCTGATTACAGGTTGTTAGTTAATGAACAATTGATGCTTCAGACGCAATTTAGATTGCTGAGCAAGTTAGTCTCCATGATGGATGATCAATTTCCGTGTGGTCCATCTGATGCTGACATTGTTCCACTTTTTCAGTATACACTAGGATTTACTGATGAAGCAATATCTTCAGCGAGTTTATTTAAAGATTGTGGTGATGGAGAATAAATTCGGGCGGAAATACCGGTAAAATTGTTGGAAGCTGGCTCGATGCACTCAGGGCCTTCTTAATCAAAATTTCAACTGGTCAGGAGAATCTGGATTTGTGAAGTATTTACTGTAAACAAACTTTATGATTTTAAAGATATTTACCTCGATGAGTGAATGGATTTGAAAGCTGACCGTGCGCGACTACAGGCGGGATGCAGCACTGACGAATATTTGAAGGAACTGATCATTTGTTATCTTATGCTCTTTTATCTTCGTCAAAATGACCTTTTTCTACCCAGCATCATTCCCGCAAGAGTTAGTTTAGTATTGTTTTGCAGTACGCCCTAACCGGAAATTAGCAGTTTTTCCAAGAGATACCAAATTTATATGACACACATCTTAGTTGCTCTTTATACTCTCTGTAGTACTGGTTCCTTATTATTAATAAATATTTTGTGTGTTATCTGCACAGGAGGTCGCATGACTCTTTGCAACGATATTTGCGACCTATTTCTACGACGGTAGTCCGTACAGTTTGGACCGCGATTGCCACGAACATTATCGATGAAGTTCCTTATATTGTAACTGACAATTTCTACACACCAAATTTTATTAGGCCTCGGAAACCGCACTTGAAAATACCGAGGTATAGGAGGTTGAGTTTGAATATTTTCGTAAACCATTGTGTTCTACACTTCTTAATACACATGGTATGACAATAAACAGCTGTGAGCAACTTTCATATACTTTTTTTCCTAGTGATAATTTCAAAACAAAATTATTTCATCATTGAAGAGCATTTTTTAGTTACAACAGGAGGAGGAATAGATGTACTGAAAAATAAGTTTTGCCCTGTCTTAACTACACATTTCTGTTGCATAGTGCATCCTGGGAACAAGGTCGTCCACTATCCTTTAGCATCAATTGCGACTATATATGAGTAACTGTTCGTTCTATCTAATTTCCTATCCAATATAAAGGAACTTAGTCGGCATAAGAGAAATTTGTACAGAGAGATGGGTTTTAGTGAAAGATCAGATAATGCTACCTTTCGGCTGGCAGTACGATATTTTTTAAAACGATCAAGGAATATAGTTGCAATACCAGGGAATAGCGTTAATGTAGGAATTCTCGACGGAGACAATCAAAGAAAGAAATAGCAATTACAGCGAAACAAATAATGAAGTGAATACTAACAGTGATAGCATTGCTTATTGAGCATTATTACAGAAAATTTAACATGTTCCCACTAGCTGCTTTATCATCATAATGCTTCATTACGCATTGCTTGAATTCCAGGAATATGTAGCGTACAAGATAGATTTGGAATGTGCAAGGTTTTCCCATCACAACACCGTCTTTTTTGCTTTTTCTTTCCTGTGTGCCTTTGTATTACAAACCAGCAAAGAGAATTTTCATATTGCACCGCTAAAACTATGTTAACATCGTATCAGCTCACAGAACAACGCAGTACTCGTCATTTGCAGGGACATGTCTACCATCTGCATGCGCCATTCCCTGTTTACGACAAGAACCGCATTTTAGGCCTGTTACACAAAAAGGATCTAAGATAGTGGCACCGCGCACTGATCCCTTATGTACAATTGTGTCCCGTATCACCTAAAAATGGGACTTCTCCGATATGAGATTGCACGGTTACTAAAGAGACAATAATAAAGTAAACAATTCCAAAAATTATCTAGAGTATAAATTTAGAGTATAAAATTGGAATCATATGCTAAGTATGAACAGTCGTAGGCTCTATTTTATTCTATTTTACAGAACTAAAACAAGGTTTACCTGGACACGGCACCTATTATAGTCGGCTTTCCGCATACGTTGTATTCCATTAGTGAATTCATCACTAGGAGTTCTGTTCGGAAGTAATGATGTCCTGTTTACAAATGTTTCTTCCTAAACAATGTGTTTTTATGGAAACACATCCAATTTTTTCATTTTATTGACTTTTCTTTATTTGTGGCGAAAACAATCAGTCCGTTTGCTTTTTAGCAACCGTACCTTTTACTCCCCACTTATTAATGAATCTTCAGCGAAAATGATAATTATTGAAAATCTTACAGAATATTTACTAGCAGATAACCCTACTGAAAAGGGTTGTTGTATGACCACATCATTGCCTTGCTGCAGCATAAAGCTGGCAAAATTGCCTGAAAAATACAGTTCTGAACTACTTAATATTAATTTAATTTCAGTTCAGCATGTCCTTGACGGATGGCTCCGTGGTAGTATCCTATGTTTTGTAGAAACTTACTGTCGCTTTTCCAGCGTTCGAAAGTAAGCTCGTTAATATTACGACTTAAAATCCCTTTGTCTACGGATAAGGAGAAATCTTTGGCTCGCCTATTGTCCACAGAACTGGGACTGAGTAGTGTTTCGTTCGAAAAAGTTGACCGACATCGACGTGAAGTGAATTTCTTAAAAAAAAAAAATCTTTCGGAATGAATGTTTTCTCTAACTTCTCGCTAATGGTTCAAATAAGCTTAAATCTGTAAAAACTAATTGAAAATGACAAAGTTAAATTTCTTACAAGGTATGTGGAAACAAACGAGCGTTATATTCGAACATACAAAGCAATAATATTCATTTAGCATAGATCAAATCTACCTGATCCTTATTTTTGAAGGCCATCGACATTTGACCTTTCAGCACACAGTGCTCACCGATGTGATCAGTTTTGTCACGTTGTCCAACTACAGCTGCTGTTAAGCCTGTTGATGATGATGATGATGATGATGATGATGGCAGTAATGGATCAAATGTGGCACAATGTCTCATCCACGATGTATTCGTTGATGAAATGGGAAGTGACGCACTGCGACGAATAATTCTGAATTTTTATTTATAAAAACTCAATATAGATTATTTTAAAGATGTTAAATAGCCATGTTTCTGTTCAACTGTTTAAGAGCCTTAGGAAATGATTCAATGTGAACAGCTGGTAACTTACTTTGAAATCCTTCTAGGATGACCATACTTCTTTGTATTGGTTGCTTGCTCATTGCTGTGAATCGAGAAGGTGCTGCAAAGAAATTTCAATCAGTTTATGACTGCAAAACAAATAATAAATTTAACGGTGAAATAGTTACGGATCCTTACAATTTTTCCTATCTAAACAAATAGTGCTTCATCAGCCCCAACATACCTATAATCCGCAAAATTACTGTCATAATTGGTTGTGTTTATACTGATGTCAACTGACTCCTTCACATCCAAAACAACACTTCTTCTTCGACCACTCGCTTCAGGAAAAGCTAACTTACGGGTCCTTTTATAAATTTCGTGGGCAATGAACGGGTTCCCCGTGTCCAAAAATATCTAAAAAAGACAGAGTCGCTTCAGTCACATCTCATGTGGAGATTTATAAACATTCTAAATAAAGTTCAAACTAAAAGACTGTTCACTAGGAGTAGAAGCAAATGTTTATGAATTTTGTTCAATAAGAAAGTTTAAGCAGAAATTTCTTAAGTTTTATTGACTTTTAAATTGTCACATTTTCCTTGACTTTTTTTTCTATATTTCAGCTATGCCATTTTTTGTTCTTAAAAAAAAAAAGAAATAGCTTACGCATTGAAAGAATTAGATATTACAACTATAAACTATAAGAATTAGATATTATAACTATTTAGCCACTTAAATATTGATTTTTTAAGGAAGCAGAATACCTCATCAGAAAGTTCATCCACGGCAACACTTCTTGCAAGCTCCTCCATCCGAGACTTGTTTCTCATCTCTTCATCCTTATCTGTATGATTTAAATCTTCGCATGGCATACTTTCTTGAAGTACCAGAAGAGGAACTGCATTCACTGATTTGCACTCACTATAAATATATTAAACAAGTAATGAAACAATATGTTTAAAGTTCCATTTAAAACTGTAAAATGTCAGCAGATAATCTAGAATTACATGCAGTATGGTGGAGAGAACGAATGACTATTCCGAGCCCTCAAGCAAAATAATTAAATTACCTTTGGCTTCCACCGCTTTGCTCTTTTCGATTTAAAACAGATGGAAATAACTCCGAATGTTTCGATTTCCAATATTTCAAAGTTGCATCTGACAAAGAGCGCTCCAATCCTATAAGACTAACTACCTGTTAATTTCAGTAATAAGGAGATTTCAAAAAGAATGGTAAGGAACAATGTGACTTTAAGTGTGAGCAAAAATCTCGCGAATACTAACGCCCATCGCTTCCAACCAGCCTCGATGAAGATTGATCACAGTCCTTATGTCGAGGAAATCGGAAGTTAGTGAAGAAATCACAGATAGACACAAAACTGGGCCGAGCAGCTGGATCCATCTACAATGAACATTAATGAATTAGTGTAAATGCAAGAAACAGCAAAGTTGCGAACAAACAAAAGCACATAGCAGGTGGTACTATAACGTCAACAAATCAAATTTTGAGCTTAACATCTTACCAAACAACACTGAAATGCTAAGTTCAGAATATCCAAAGGAGTGTCAGTTGGACAGTGGGCTGTGAAGCGAACATAATCCAAACCAAAATTGTGAGTTCGGTAAAGTCCTGCCTCTGGATCGGCGTCAATCCTAGCTATCATCTGGCATAATATTATTCCAAAGGAGAAAACATCTGCCTAAATAATTACTTGAAATTATTTGACTACCTCTCATTAAAGAATCCACATAATAATATTTGCGACGCAAAGAATAAACACAGTGAATATCTCTTTATCTTAATTTACAAGCATAAAATGAACCTTCTCATCATAAAACTCTTCTTTAAGACATTCAGGAGCCATCCAAAATGGAGTACCCACTTGAGTCAGCTTCTCAACAATTCGCGGGATTCTGCACGACAAACCGAAATCAGCTACCACCGCTTTTAAATTGCCATTTGCAACTTTTTGCAGCAAAACGTTCTATGAAAGAAAAAAAAAACTTTATAAATAAAAGATTCGTCCAGCCATCCCTCAATCCCTTGTTCCGATCTTTATTTATGCTTCTCTTAGCAATTCTCATATTCAAAATTTACACAAATACGAAAGCAGCTGCACAAACCATGCTAGTGAGATCGCGATGCATGATACCCCTTGAATGCACAAAATCCATAGCGTATGAAATATCACGTGCTAAACTGCATCGCAAACTCCATCGGAAATATTTTTGATGGTCACATATCAAGCGACTTAAGCTGCCCCCATCACAGAAATCCATAAGTATATGCAAATTCCACGATTTCTCTGCCAAATCAACACACACACCTCTAAAAAAGATACTATCATTCAATAACGATTGTAGGTGTCTTTTAGCTTAGTCACCACTAATGTCAAATAATTCCAGTTAAATCACAACATACTTAAATCGATACAGTGATGGGAAAAATGGACGCATTACCGAAACGCCAACAGATTGGGATGCGACGTCAACTGATTTAACATATTAACTTCTTTCAGCACATTTGCTTTAATGCGTATTCGATTTTCCCGTTCTCGTTCTTTACCGACTTTCAGCACCATAATCTCTCCGGTGAATCGATGTTGTACCTAGAAAGACTGTTATTTGTCCTTCACAATAACTTTTTCTTTTCATAAAACTTTGCACAGATATCAGGAATCTCATCCTCTAACAAAAATGTTTCATTAATGCATATTCAATTTTTTTTCCAAGTTCATTAAGGACGAACCTTATACACATCACCAAAAAAGCCTTCGCCTAAGCTTTCCAGCACATCGAAATCGTCTCGAGCATATAATCGTTTCAAAGCCATTTCCAGGAACACACAAGAGGTACGACCAGGCGCTAAGTGAGAATGCTGATAAGTACATTGATCAGAAATGTCATAACTCCAGAATAATCTGCCATTCTAAAATCGGATGAACCAAACTCATGAAGGATAGATCAGTAAAATAATAATAAACTGAATCGAACTATCATGTAAGGCAATCAAATAAGTTTCGAGAATTTAGAGAATGGATAGTGTAATCTCAACATACTTTTTGCTCTTCTTCAAATTCTTCGGAACACAATGAGCTGCATGATGCTTGTGAAATCTCTCCAACATATCTGTAAAACTTCCAAACATTGCTTAAAAGTAGGTAAGAAATATTTTATTTTTCCAAGGAATGGAAAGTAAAATAATACAAGGTAAAATAACGTTTCCGATGGAGAACTCGAAATCATAATTTAACTATACCACTTTGAGTCATAATGGCACGAAAATGAAGCGTGAAAAAATGACGTTTCTGGCAATTATAATTCTTGAAATTTAACATGTCTTTCGCAAAAATTGAAAATTACCGAGTTTTTGCGACGTAGATATCATCACTAGTTTCATGCAAAGTATTCGATGCAACTGCCCCACAACCGTGAAATAATGTTTGTGACGAAGAACTAGAAAATGCACAAATATTAACGGTTAATAAACAGGAAGGAAAGAATGAGGAATAAATAGACAAAAGGACAGTTACTTTGAGGAATAAAGACTTGCCTAGGAATGAAATAAAGGCCTGGCAAGTGCGAGTTTTATCTTATTAAATATTGCAATAAAGAATTGAGAGTTTTTAGGAAGCCAAAATATTGCAAATAGCTCTATAGCTACAATCTCAGAATGCACTTACAAATTATCCACTGTATTCTTTGTCTGAAGTGGGTCACTACCGTTGATATCCATAATCATTGTCATTTCTCTGGATCAACCACGATCAACCACTGTTTGGAACAAATAAATAAGTATATAAGTTAAGCAAAACTGTGACACTATCAACAACGATACAATCCTTGCATAGCTATATTCTGAAACTTAAAATTTTATTTGTATGATGATTTTCTGAAAAAAAAAACGTCATTTCGACAGAACAAATTAAAACGAAAAATTAACCAGCGATAATTATTTATAAGATCAGCAGAAATTTCACAGTAGGTCTATTAATCCGTGACCAAAGAAAATACTAAGATAATCTGATCCGTATTGATATTACCCATGAAATACTCACTGCACAATTCATAAAAGCAATTGTTTTGATAAAAACACTTCAATAAACGAACACAAACTGATGAAAACATTGAGCAGTGTGACATTATTACCACAACTCAATCAACAAGTTCATCAGTAAGCTAATTAAAAATTTCGGTATATTTTCTTCCCTTTGTGCTATCTATGCTGTCCAACTACATTAAACACATAGGTCCACACAACAACTGGTCTACTGATTCCCTTAACTAACTTGCCAGATACATTTCCCGACCTCAAATGAATCTGATTTCAGGAATACTACAGGTAAGCACGAAAAATGCAAGTTGTGAAACAAAACACAGGACGACGAAGTGTGTGACTGTCTCAACAATCCAGGGACGGAAACAATTCTTTCAAAACATCAGTAGTCTTTCCTGTTATAACAAGACGCTGGTCACACACGGAGCACACGGGCGTGTCACTCGTGTGTCCCCTTTGTCCATCCTCATCCTATGAAAATCGGCACAGTACTGTACTACTTGTGTGCATGTGTACATTTGTGTGTGGCGGTGCGCCGTGTGCAGTATGGCGGGTCTGTCCAGCGATATAAGTGGCAAAGAGATGTAAGTCGCAGCATGCACTTAACACTGCCAATGAGAATGCCCCTTATCAGCATGTGCTACCTCGCACACAGGAGACACCTTACATCGTATCACTCACCACTACTGCATCCATCTTCACACGACACACAGTGGTCATTCGTTGCAATACATCTGCCACATTACAACTCTGAAAAGGTCAAGCTTTAAAATGTCAACCATCTATTCGTCTCGTTGACAAATAATTCCAGATTTAAAATGGATCCCCATTAGCTAACTTCAGTAGCTAAGGGACAATGCAGAAAACACCACAGTCTCTACGGCTCCCCTGTACTTCCTTCGCAGCGGATCTAGCAACCAACCAGTAGAAATACCAGAACATAGGGTTCTCATACAAATATCTCCGCCATGTAAATGTATCGGCGCTCAAACCGCACTTTCTCACCAACGAAATTCGATGTCTCAATGGCCACTGACTGGCTTGGCCTCACTGCTAGCTATAAGTCTCCGCTGAATCGAATGTGCCACCTGTAGCAATTGTAAAGTCCTTCAAGAAGTGCAAATGCAACTGCAGCAGTTACTTATAGATCACATTTATTCAGACAGATTTTTAACTTCTTTCTTGATTGAAAGGATTAACGAAATTGTGAATGAATCCATTCATTTATGACATGCCAAGTACCCTCCATTCATTTCTCCACCTCACGGCAACAACCGTAAGCTAATTCATCGCTTTTCACAGCTTAATCACAGGTAATCCCTCCAACAAATCAGACACATCAATCCCATCTACAAAGTGAAAACAAGAAGTGATCGATAAAGGTCAACAGAAATAATCAGATAATATTAATTATATTTAACAAATAAAGATGAACTGTCCCACGACAACGCAACAATATACTTAATTCTCTAACAAGTATTACAGAAAAAGCTTCGGAATTTACGGAATGTTTCACAAGGTTAAACTTTGGTTAATCAGAAACTGTCAAATAAAGACAACTATCCAATTCCAACTCCGAATGCATCTTTCCGTTTAAATTGAAGAAGTAACGACTTTAAGTGGCACAGGAGGATATGTCATCTTCCGTTTGCATTCCTGATACAGCGTTCTACTATGGCAGGTCAGTTCGTGCAGCATCACTTCCGGAGCAAGAACATAATGGCAACCGTTATATTTACATCTGAAACTGTGCAACTACCAGAAAGATACCGTCATTTTACCACCAACCAAGTCATTTTACCTTTTCAGTTCTGTCTTAACACCATATCTTTTGTAGTATAAACGACGACATTTAGCCAAGTGTAATGGCATGTCGCAAACAGGTACTGTGTGAGAGTGACCTTCGGCGTAAGGACATGTGACTGTCCTGTCTTCTTTCTTCTCTAACTGCATCTCTCTCTTGAAATTCTGAAAAAGAATACTGTCAACTTGTAAAGACCGTCACGACTCGTACTCAACGAGCAGCAGCAACATGCAGCCCGCAGACGGGAATCTCGAGCTGAGTAGTTTCTGTTGGGCTCGGATTCAGCTTGCCACGAGATTTCCAGTTCTGTTCTGCTTCGGAATGAATGAGTTAGTGTCATATTTCTTCGAACAGTCAGGATGAGTAGGCAAGACAACTCTTCTCTTACTTGTCACTTGTTTTTTCACCTAGGTGTTGTAGCAGCAACGGTGAAGTAATCAGTGCTGAAAGAGAGAACTCTGCAGAAGCCGTTCCGGACCACACTAGACCGGATAAAACGAAGCTGATATGCTTCTGGCATAGTGGTCGTTCAGCAGCAAGTTTTTGCGTGACATTTTCGCTTTACTTGAAATTGCTCTAGTTTTGATTGTAGACTGAGTAATCGATGGTATATTTGATTTGGAAAATTTTGGTAAGACTTGAAATTTACGGAAAAAAGAAAAGATTAAGCAGTTGCTGAATGTATTATGAAGCGAACAAACTTGAATGATTTCTGAATAGGTGGTGATGTGAGTAGTGCTATTAGGAAAAGCTGCAAGTGAAATCTTTCATGATTTCGAGACACTGGAAAGATTAAAGTACTCATGCCTGTCACACGAATTGACAAATGTTGCAAGCTTTGTTTTGGAATGTCATACCTGCAGTCTAATAAATGTCAAACATTGTACAAGTTTTTTAAGTATGAAACAAAATATAGGAGAAACTGGTTAGGCATTGGCTAGAAAGCCTGGAGCTTGAAAGTTTGCTTTGTTCTTTCATTCATTCAATCGATAAAAGTGTTCATGTTGTGATTTAATCAAAATCAACAGAACTGGTCGCATCTTTATTGGTAGTTATAATATTCAAATTTAGTAGTGATGATTTATTCAGCGAAATTATTGATTACTTTGTGTTTTGCTCTCGAAGGACCAATATCGCTGTGAAATCAGTGGACAGTGGAGGAACTGACTTTTGGTATTGAAATAAATTCTGTTCATTGCTTGCTGCATAGAATCTAAAACCTACATTCAGAATGCAAGTTAATGCAAGACGAATCCGTGGCAGAATTGAGTGAAAAGACTGCTCTTCATTCAGTTTTCATCTAATATTCTGAAATAGTAAAACAACTAGCTAGAACTGCCAAGTTATGTGGAATGCCAAAATAGATGAGAACTCTTTCGTTTGGAAGAATTTTTGATCAAGGAATTTCCTTTCCTTTTGTATTGACAATATACTTTAGTAAGAGATAATTATCTTTAGCGGAGTTTAGGAAGTGATCAAATCTTTAAGCTGTTTTTGTGAATACTAAAATAAGTAATTATCCCTTGCCAATTAATGCAAAGCATGAATCGATTAAAAAACCTGACCAGAAACATAAGATAGTCCAGAATAATATGAAGCCTATTTCTATTTCCTGTAGTAACCTACCTAACAAGCATCTGTCATGGCTTCAACCGAAAGGGAGTCTACGTAGAACTAACTCTGTTTTTCCATTATTGCAAAAACATATTTCTGATTAGCATAGATATAATTCAGCGTACTTCTGTAAGCCGCATATCGCAGTTCATGGATAGCGTCACGGCCTATTTTCCATATTAAGGGTCAAAAGTCAAAAGGTCAAGGTGGTGAGTGTTATGTAACTCTTGATGAGTTTCTTGACGAAATTAAAAGAAATGTTCCTAACTAAGTGCTCAATAGCTATTTCTTTGGCAGCTTTAGTGGCAAATCGATGGAAAGCTACCAATTTAACAAACGATCAAAATGACGTTTAAACATATCTCTGTTGTTCTACCTCGCAATTTATCGATTTTCATGCTTTAGCCAAGTGACAGCTTCGGTGTCTTCTGGCCAGACATTTCTTTGGGACAGTGCCTAGATATATAATTGCTTTGGCTATATAACAAGGTACCAATTTGGAAGGAAATCATAGAAAGTGCAGTGCTGCTGCAGAGTGTGCTTATTGAACAGCATAGCCGGGTAATACTCCCAAAATAAACACCTGGATTAGCTAGCTATTCCTGACCGGAAATTGCCCTAATTTAACTGGAATGCCTCAATCTTTTCTGTTGGTCGTATCCTCTGTCTCTCCAGACAGTCTGCTCCGTTATAAAGTTAAACTAGCGTGTCGCATTGAATAGTGCTTCAGGAAGTTTATTTCTGAGCAGCATGCCGGAGGAGATTGGTTGGATAAGGGCTGCGTGTGGAATTCTTGCACGATGCCGTAATGTCCTTATAGACGATATTTTAGAACGGAAGCGAATTTTACTGGTATTCCATATCTTCCACCTTCAGAAGTAGCTACTTCGGATGCTAATTGGTGATGCTATGACATTAGCATTAGCATTGTATGTGTGAAGATGAAGGTTCAGAGTTCGCTCTGCAAGTGGAAAGTGGGCAGTTACCTGTGGATGGTCGTGGCGATGGGTATATTCCACCTGAAACTGCTGTATGCCATCACCTGTCCGGTGCACTCGCTGCTTACCAAAGGATTCAAGGCTACCATTTACTCCGATGGAGAGATGCGTCTGCCACGCTTCTCTTTTTGCAAAGTTCGTGGCCAGGTCTACTTATGTTCATTTCCACTTTCTTTTCCTTTTCCTTCCATTTATGTCTTCTAAACATGCATTCCTTCTCCTTACCAAACTAATGTAGAGTGAGACAAGTTTGGCTTCACTTAGAAAAATGTGTCATTCCATCTTTGCCGTAGTTATTCTAGTCAAATATTCCAGGCGACAATGGTATTGTTCGCCCTTTCAGCAATTTGGCATTGCTTCACATGGCCTAACCCGATGACTGCTCTACAGTGGAATTTTAGTGTTCGACCACAAGTGAATTTCAAGCCACAAATGGTACTTATTTATTTCCATTTGCTATATTAAAATTAGTTCCATCAGAGCTTTATTGATAAAAGAATCCATTAAATTTGATTTTAAAGTTTAAATTTAATCTTTGTAACTTTCGGTGAATTGTGCAGTCTTTGGTTGCAAAAAGCCATTCGGCACCACAGGTAAGATCAACTTCCTGCCCGGATCAAATCACAATTACTCGATCTCAATCCGAAACAACGCAATGCAAAATGAGTGGAAAAGTGGATTTAGGCGTTGACATACGCCTTAAAAATATTATTCTAGATCCCATTTTAACTGTTTATGAAACCATTATCAATTCTCTATCGTTAGCGAGTGAAATCGCTGCTAGTATACTCGAGTGAATTGATTTGTAGATGAATTTAATTGAGATTATTCCCGAGTCTAATTAAACATATAAGCCAGCATTTTTGCTGTTTAACTTCTCAAAATTATCAATAAAGCATGCTTTTATATTTTTATGTTTGTGAATGAATCATCCCGCGACTTACCGACAGTTTTTCATTCGAGTTTGTTTAGCACCAAAAGTTCAACCACTAAATTTCAATCTTCATCATAGCCGAAACTTTCGGTACACAGCAAAGACTGTCATCTGTCAACTTCTGACAATGGACAACCTTCCATTGGTGATAAACATCAAATGAACTTTGACACAGCAAAGAATAGTGGGAATTACACTCCTAGTAATATCATTGCCTACCCAACCGCTCACACAAATTCCACTTAGGGCAGTTTTCCTCCGACATGCACCACTCAACAGTGATAATTTTGTGCCACATTTAGGCATGGCACTTTTTACTTTGCAGTTGGCCATTAGCATATTTCTGACACCTCTCAAACTCAAAGTGTGTTACATATTATGATAATCCAAAAGTCCAAAAGGAATGTCAGCAGACTATCGATGACACGCTTGTCCTGAAGCCATATCGCCACTGAATCAGTTAGAGAATACCAAAAATCCTTCCCAAGAATCTCTCTTTCCAACTTTACTTGCATAAAATTTGAAAAAATATTTGCTATTCTCATTGCTTACTTTGATCACTGTCCAATGCTTCATCCCACTACAAACAACAAAGGCACTTATTATCTGGAAGGTTTTGAAAAGATTCAGATTATGCAGTCGCCTTTCTCCTAACACAGTAATGCTCATATGGAGTCCAAAGAGACTCGAAACGCAGGTCTGACTGATCTCAATCCAATACCTTTGAATACTGAAGAATGATAACAGCTACTATACCACTCCATGCAGATTACTAATAGACATGTTCGTCAGTCAACTCGAGATTTCCAGGCAGGCAGACATTCCTTACCAAATTTTATAATTGCTAAATAAAGTCAACGAGGTTGTCCACCTCAAACAACGAACAGGTTGACAGCAAACTACGGTAGAGTCATTAATTGACTGGGAATTGTTCAATCCTTCCAGTGTTTAATAGCTTAATGAAGAGTAGATAACAGTAAGCTGATAATGTGGATTCCACGTGTCAGTATAGTCAGACCTGGCCTTCACTCCCAGTGCACTTCTTTCTAACTTCCCTGTCGTACACGTGTGACACAAGCAGCGAACGATGTGACACAGCAGTTGGAAAATACCTGCTTACGAACAAACATTTTTCATCGCGCTCCTCACGGATGGCCGCTTCTATTTTAGGACTCGTCCGTCGGTACTGTGAAACACGGCGTGCCCAATAAGAGGACGTTTGAGGTTCACGCAAATATGAGTAATCGAACGTTTACGCTTGCCTTAATAGTTGCTGAAGTGAATGGTATTTCTGTTACAGTGTTATTTCGACGCACTTAATAAATAAATATTCTCACAGGCATTTGATGCTGCTAAGCGAAAGGGATGAAAGTGAAGTCAAATTCGAACGGTCGATTAAAGGTTTGTTTACTTCCGTTTTCTTTCCAATATATTGTATATTATCATCATTCTTTATTACCACCACTCACTATTATGCGTCTTCATAAACTTTCAAGAATTGTTCATTGTAATCCTTGCTACCCTTCTTCAATTGAATGATGAATCTTACAAGTCCTCTTCTGAACTGGAGTTTGACCCTGTGCACACAGATAATCCATAATATATATAAATATATCAAATGAACCCACTCGTCATATACAATATGAGTAACTTCACGGAGTGATACGTTTTGCTTCTCTGTTTATACATTAGTGTATTGTGTTAGTGTTGTAAGAAACGTGGGAGGGACATACTTCTAAGAGATCATAGCGGAAGAAAATTTGCATTTATCCCCAAAACTTTTATTTGCATTATTGAAGGCTACCAATGAAAAGCTATTCATATAACTTATAATGTTAACAGAAACTCTGACAAAAGGATTTTACGTGATTATTTCTAGTGAAAGAAAAGATATGGTATAACGTTTGTCAGTGAATTAGAATTTCAGTATGTATCATTCACGGATCAGATCGCCAAAGTGAGTGTAGATATTGCTCGATGGCATTCTTCTATAACAGCTGTTACTTCGGCGGAAAATGAAACTTATTTTAACGATACAGTTACCAAATATCGAGATTTGGACTACGGCTCATATTTTGGTGAGATTTACGCTGAGAATTATGTTTTTAATGAGGTAGTTTAACGTTTTCAGCTTTACAGAAGTAAGATGCAAGTTTATTTAATACTTTTACATGTAATTTTCACGAAAGAATTTTTACTGTCTGACATAAGGAGAATTTATAATTTCAGAAAACTTCTTGAATGATATTCCATATTTTGATGGTGAATTACGGACATATGCACAACTTCTCCATCGGAAAGATATCGTGGCAAAGGCTCTAATTAATCATTTGAATATTTCTGAAAGTACCTCATTGGTCACGTTACTAAAGTAAGTTATCAGTTCGGTTCATTTGTTTTTGGTACTTTTTTCACGAAATTTTTTTAGCGAACTTAGCTAGAACTTATCATGAACTTAGAATTTTCATATTTTTTAAAGGAAGTTATCTCTCTTTCTCTACTTTTTCACTTTTAAAATCGGAGTTTAATATCAGAAAGCTATTCTAGATTGACAACCGCATTCGTGCAAGATATTAGGGAAGACTTTCGGAGCTACATATGGGACTTTATAGAAGCTACAATAAGCATATTGGAAAGGTCGCACGAGGATAAAGAAATTCTCGAGACCGTTTTTTTCACATTAGCGAAGATTTTTTGGTTACAACGGCGACATCTTGTTTGTGAGTTATATGAAGTTTTCAGGTCAGTTATTTCCTATCGAAGTTTGATGTGTTGCATATTTAGTTCGTCCTACATCTTTGTTTTATATATATAGGATTTGTTTATTATATCAGTTTCTAGACGTTTCAAACGGATTTTTTGCTGTAAACGATCCTATTTACGCCGATTTACTGCCGAAGCCCTTGCATTTTTATTACGGAAGTCGAGTGCAGTAGGAAATCTTGTCGTATTTTTGGCCGAAACAGCATACAATGTAAAAATTTTATTTGTTGTTAGTTGCAAGGAAGGTAAATAGATCGATATTTTTAAACCGTCTGAAATTTCAATATTAAAACTGAAATATTGCTCAAATGCAGGAGATCAACAACTCATTACTTATTGATGGCATATCTCGACTATATTTCAATGCTCTGAAGATTACCAGAGGACAGTTCCATAGTGCATCGCCGCAGGTAAGTTCTAACGAGACTGATTTATTTCTTTTTGTGTTTTCATACGCAGATGATGCAGGAAATGCATGAATTTTGACTATTTTATACTTTGATGTTGATTGAATTATAGCTGTTATCGGAAATTTTGCAAGCATCACTCGAAATTGAGGAAAATGGTGTCCGAAATATTGCAATCCAGATTTTGGTAGATACGATACGTCAGTGTAGCAGCTACACATCAAAGGAATGTAGTGAATTGCTTGTGGATGTTATTTTGGTAACTCTCGCTATCTTGGAAGACTTTTTTAAATTTTAAACACTTTATTTTTATAGCTTTTTGCTTCTTATATTCAGTTTGGTAATTTGTGGAAAGTTTCTACTAATTTTTTTTTTTTTTTTTATATTACACCACAAAAGCCAAAAGAGGAAACCAGAAATTTCTTGTAATGAAAAGAAGGATGAAATTAAAGTTAATGGAAGCTTATTGTAGTTTTATTTTTTATTTGAAGCTGAAGTCGAAAAAATAGAGTTTCGGTTTTTTTTTTGTAAATATTTTGATTTTTTAGGATTAAAATAAACTTTTTAGAGACAATACAAGTCAGCTGTAGCATCATTCGACACAGTGAAAAGTTCGGCATTGGCCAACTTTTTGAATGCTTGGATAAGTCAAAAAATGGGCAGATCACTGCATAAGCCATCGTCTCTATTTCAAGTTATAATAGATGGTATGAAAAGTAGAGCCGGAAAAGTGGAAAGAGAGACTGTCGAATTGCTGACCAGTGCTATCATGAGGTCAGTTTGATGGTGTGCTTTTATTTTTTAGAGTTTCAACTGCTTTTATTCTGGAAAATATTGATTTATAATAATAGGAAACTAAGATTATGTTCTTTAATTTGATGTCATTTAGCTGGTATTTCTGCAGTTTTATTAACTAACCATATCCTGCCTTTCCATAATCTGAGAGTCGATTTCCCTAAATTTTCTTCACTAAATTATTTTTTAAAATGCATACTTCAAATATTGCCAAAAAACTATTCATCAGTGATACTCTTACTCTCAGAATTACCTTCATTTTTTTATTTATTTAAATTAAAATCATTTTCACAAATTTGAGTTCTGAAAGAGACATTTGAATATTTTTAGGTATCATGGCGAAAGTGAATTACATGCGTTAATTACTGCAGCAATACGCCTACTTATGAGTGACGAGCAGAGGTTTATTTTATATATGTATATATTCTCGAGCTAATGATAATTGAATTTCTGTATAGGATTTTTTGTATGAACTTTATGATTACTATGTTTAAGATGTTTTCTTATCATTTTCAGTTGTGATTTCGATGTGATATTAGATTTTCTTTACAACATTTCCGATATTCCATTGTTTGATATTTGGATAATGCCTATTGTTGGTGCATTTATGTCACGGCTGGTTGTACAAGAGAACGCTCAGGTCATTAACAGAATTTTTAGATTCTATGCAGATATATGCAATAAACGAAGACCGATTTGGAAACATAAAGGTAAGAATTGAAGAGTCAACAGGAATGAAACTGTAATAGTTAAAAGTGTTGAGAAAATATATATTTTTTTCTCAGGGAGACGAAACTGTTTCTTCGACACGTCCAATCATTTGGAAGTGCGCAGTCGACTTATTAATATCCTGAAATCGTCAAATAACTTCGATACAGAAATTGTGGGTTGCTGTTTGATGGCATATCCTTGGTTGTGGACTCAGTCCGAAAATCCGAAAGGTACGACAGGAAAATTAAACAGAACGTAGATGTTAATGTGCATAGTATAGGATCATCATTTTACGTTTTGCTTCACATATTTTGAATTTAATATTTTCTATATTAAGAGGAGATGGATAAGATGACAGTAAGCTTTTAATTAAATGCATTTTCTGTTTCAGAAATTGCTGCTGTATTCAGGATTCTCGTAGCATCAATGAGCAGCTTAGGCAACGTTGATGCTCGTTTATCACTTCTTGCTGCAAATGCTTGCTTCCTATTTGATCCTAGTTTATTCAGACAATTTACTCTCGATAGTCTACTGAAGTTTTACAAAAATATGGGCAATAACGAAGCAGCTCTCCGTACTTTGGCTTTGATACTGCCATTTGTTGAAGATTTCGAGAAATTGAAAAATATTTCTGCTATGAGCAAGGTTACAGAGTTTTGTCGGAGATTTTGTGAAATGGCAGCATATGATGTGTTAGGACGGTGTTAGTGTTCTGATAATTTATGGAGAAACTTGTTCACCGTCGTCGTTATTCATTTTTGAAAACTTTTCTGACAAAAGAAATTTAGCATTCTGTTCATGATTATTTAAATTACTCTTTTCTGGAATTTGTGTTGATTCCTACAGGTTGCAAATGAAATTTTGCCAATGTTTGGTCATTGGAGCAGTCATGTACGGCAAATCGCTCTGGAAGTTTTGATTTATTTTAATATTCCAATGAATAATACGAAAAACGACAGCGAAACAACTGTAACTTTATCTCATATTCTTTTCATTAGCAGATAGATTGATAATAGTAAACTTAGTTGACTTGGAATTTCAGTTCAGTTTTAACTTAGAATTAGATTGATTCAGCGAAATTTTTTTTCCCTTTTTTGATCCAAATTTTAATGTGATGAATGTGTGGACTTTGGACTTTGCAAAAGTATATTTTTCAGGTTGAAATTGAAAGTGTTTTTGATCTTCTTCTACGAGCTGAAAGAACACCATGGACTTTGGGAGAATATAGGACGCGTTTAATGATTCTGCGCCAGTTAGCTTACGGCGCACATGCAAAACATATGCCGCAAGGTTTTGATATAGTAATTGAGACGGTAAGTTATTTTCATTTAGTTATATGCGCAGTATAATCTTGGCTGAAAATTCCAATACATAACTACTGATGAAGAATATAAACGATGTGAAACCAAAAAGAAACATTTTTCATTAGAAATGTTATATTTCAGTAGAAATATATGTGCTATTTAGATTCCTTTGCGTGTTATTATTGGGAATCTCTATGAACCATTTTCAATTGCATGGAAAGAATTAAAAAGTATTATCCAAGATTATGCTTATGGATTAAATATTGATGCATTCTTCTCATTGTTCTTGCCTTTTCTTGATCATATGGAGTTAAAGAATCAGTATGGTTGGTGTTTTATTAATATTTATGATTTAAACATCTCAATATTCGCTTATGCTTTGATTATTTTTCTGTTCTGAAGTAATGCCAAGTTGTGTTCTGATGATATTTTTATATATTGCTGCAATCTTCCTGTTCTGAGTTTTTTCTGTGATTGAATTTGGTTATGGTATTTTATTTCTCGTTGCAGTTATATCTGACGATGATGGTAGTTTAAACTGTAGTATGCTTGACAAAATGACAACTATCGGTGACAAAAGTCCGCAGAATTACGGAGCTTTTCGATTGGAGATGTTCGGGATTCTCAATTGCATAAGTGATTTATGCGAACGTCGAACTAAACTGCTCAGTCCTCTCTTCATTCGTTTTTTCAGGTAAACAGATTTTGAAATCACGCAAAGTTAATGAAAGAAACTTGCTCCAATTTTTTTGATTTTAGATACATGAAAATTGCTTCCTTTAACGTCACGAGATGCATTGCTTCAACATATTTTTACTAAATGCAGGCTTTAGTAAGTAGTTATTATAGATGAACTGTAATAGTGTTGAATGTTGCTGAGGAAATTTCACGTTTCATCTGTTTCTGATGAAAATACTGGAATTGTCAAAAAGTATTATTAGTATAATCAGCGCGTAGCTTAAACATAGCATATTCGTTATATGGTCATGGAATTATGTTTTGCGTTCAGCACATTAATTTTTTAAATTCGGCTTTAGAAATGAATATCAACAAGGAAATTTGTCAGAAAGACGAGAAAGCATCATAGTGGCTTCATCCAATCTTCCTTGTTCTACAGATAAGGATGAATGGAAAGATGAGTCGAACAACGATCCAAAACTGTTAGTTTATAGAATGAATAAAGCAGAAAGAGTTTTTGTTTTTTTTTTTTTTTTTTTTTTTTTTTTTTGTTTTATACTGAAACAATGTAAATGATTGATATCATCACAGGTATGACAGTGAAGAATTCGAATATGAACGCAAAATGATAGAAGAAGACAAATGCATTGGACGAAAATTGATTAGGGATAGCTTGATTACTCTTCTGGATTTGTTTGCAAATTTTACTTCACCAAAAACTATTTACATGGCGAATGAAATCCGAGATTTATACAATGAGGTAATTAACGACTCATTCTCCGCAATTGTTTTGTCTTTAATGTTTGTTAGCGAATGTATCGGATTAGTTCTCACATATATTGCGATAACATGCCATTGACAAAATTCCTCATCATTTTTAATAGTAACTATATTCTGTTGTTTAGCTTTTGATAATTGCTGATGAAACAGTGCAACAGCGGGCGTTGAAATGCATATTCACCTATAATTACAAATACGTCACGCCATACAGGTTTGTATTCGCGCTTTACTAATTTTGTATTTCAGAACTTAAAATGGTACTCATTAAAGAATTCGGACACTAGATTAGACAATTGAAAGATTTTTTTTCTTTTATTTAGAGGATTTTGAGAAATTTAGATGAAATCGTTTTTACACTATTTTGTTTTGAGGGAGGTTTTATGAAAAATTACTTATTACAGAGAACATCTAGAATGTTTAGTGCAGGAACGAACGTTAATCACTGCTTTGGTGAGGTTTTCGATTGACTATCATAATTCCGTGATTGACAGTAGTCATCGTGTTGATGTTATGCCGATTATATTGAGGTTAGTGTTTTGGTAATTTTCCGCCAATTCTAGTAATTCCGACACTTCGTTTCTTTCCCCTTTATACTTCTGAATTACTACAAAAGCTGAGCTATACGAGTGAATGTCAGCTTTGTTTGCATACGCTACTCTTTCAGGCTTCTGTACGGGAAATGCAGTATACACTGTAAGAGAGATATAACGGAACGGCGAGCAGCTATATTTCGGTTTCTTGCTGGGACCACGTCGGATGAATTGGATTTCTTTTTCAAGCTCCTTTTTGCACCTTTATTAAAAGTTATCGGTTAGTGATAGCTTACATAAGGAACTTTGACTTAATTTAAACATAAAGAGGTAAATATCAATTCCAAACTTGTAGGTCAAGAGCAGTCACTAGAAATATTTTGCAAGCGAACAGTTTCAACTTTTGATGCTTCTTCAATGATTTCGTTACAAATTATCAAAGGGTTTGTTTTTCCTTTCATAAAATAACTGCTTTTGATAAGGGGAAAATAGAGAAGAGATCAAGGTAACATCCACGCTCATACTGTTGAAGAACATCTGTGCAGCTGTTTGGCAGTTTATTTCAGGAATGAGTAATTATTTCCGTTTTAGAGAGTAGCGAACTATTATCCTTAGCTTTCCATTTTGCGAAATTGAAGTGGTTAAAATTTTTTGTTTTTGGAAATTTCTGTAACTACTGTAATTAATTGGAAATTGTCAGGAAAAGTAGAAATAAAAGATTAAAGAAAATACGAATTGAATTACAACTGCCAGTAGCACTGTCCGTTGTGCATGCTATATAATTTGTTGAAGTGTAAGCATTGTGAAGCGTTGCACCGCTACCAATTTGATTAGCACAACGTGTATCATTGAGAGGTTGTTCGTAGGCTGCGTTAACGCTTTGATAGTATTCAACCCACTCACCGATCCAGTTTAATCGGCAGTCGCATATAATTGGGTTACCCTGAAAGTTACATTTTGTTTTAAAAACATTGGAGAACTTGACAAATTTATGAAATGCTGTGGTGAGACTTTTTTATGATTAATAAGAGTTTTACTTAAAAACAACATTACCGATGGGAACGATTGTTCTAGTTGCTCTATTTTTAGTATTATTTGCTTTGTTTTCCATCATAGCTGCATCTTACAAGAAATCCTCATTGGCTCAGTTTGTTCTTAAAGTTTATAGGGAGGGAAGCACCATTCATCAAATTTTAATTTACTCTTTTGATGAAAAAATCATTGTAAAAAATGATGTGTAGTAATGATTTGTTTCTTGAAAGCCTACCGTTAGCTGTAAATTGTGCAGTATGGTGCCGTGTTGGTTGAGTACTGGTGGTTTGGTATGTGGAAATGGTTCAAAAGTTTGTAAACGGTTGTTCGGTAGTGAAAGTGACAAGTAACTAATAGCAGTTAGGGTATTGAATATCGATGATGGAAATACTTTGATTCCGGTGTCGCGTACCGTTATGTCTACTTTATAACCACGTAGCTGCGCAAATGCACCAGTATCGATCTGAAGAGTATTCATTCAGCTGCAGTCTTCAATTCGGATTTTTGAAAAAAAATGTCATCTCTAAAACATTTTATATAGATTAGATTATTTGTAATTTGAGGAAATTAGGTTTTCTCAAATTTGGATCCCAATAAGTTCTAGGGTTTGTGGCATACTGCTTGTGTTTAGTTCTTGCAAGAATTTTTAGATTAAACTGACGGAAACGTTTGCAAATTTTTGGTGTCATACTTGAAATAACTGTTTTCCGGTGATTACAATCTTTCGTAGTAATCTAAGATCAGCGCTATACATCTGAGTTGCCAAATGTGTTTCTTTGATTTCTATAGCCAAAGTGCGTAATGGAGGTAAATATTTCAGAATAGCTGATATGTCGTAAGTCTGTACACGGGGAAGGTTGTAAAGCTGAAATTATTAGATTTAAATTTTTTGAATAAAACATTAGATTTTAAATGAAAAAAGATTATTTTTTTTTTGTGGAGGAAAATTGCACACGTGGTACATAGGTGTAGAATATGCATCAAGTGGTGTGAATATGTTAGATAATTACATAAAGATTGCGTAGATGGCGTAAATTCCGAAACGAATATGGTTCCGGTAGATGAAGTAGTTCCTTCATATTGCATAATTTGAGCGATTCAAGCTGAAATACTATGACGAAGCATTCAATTGTCCCCAGATGATGGAACAACAACTTAATTATGATAGCAAAGAATACTTTTTCAATTCTATAAGAAGTAATTAGTTTAAAAAATGCTTACATTGTATAGATTTCGAAGATGTCTATCCGTGATTTTGTTGACTGGATTCCCGGTAATGTTCAAATGTTTTAATTCAACAAGTTCGGCAAACATCTCCGGATCAAGTTCTTTAAAATTATTATAAGAAATATCAAATGTTGCCAATTTTCGATTGTTAATTAGATGTACTCTGTTGACTTCGTGAATTTTATTGCTGGAATGAAATTTTTTTTATATTTTTGAAATCAAATTACGTTTAATAGAGTGAGAGTAGGGTTGCTAGAGTTATTAATATTAAAGTTGAATATTAAATGCAAATTTGTTAGTTGTTTTTCGAGCAATTATTATTCAAGCATTCAAAGATGGCATTCACTTAAATAGTGGAGGGGCGTTTGAAGGGAATTGTGTGAACTCTTCGAAAGACAAAATTGTGGTCCATTGCTTACTTGCTGATATTTAGAAGTCGAAGTCCATGATTATCAATTTTTGGTAGTGAAAATAAGCCTGTATTTGCTAAATCAAGTGTTTCCATAGCGTTACTCAGGTCCTGAAAAGTTCTTGGAGATATATATTTTCTTAGGATATTTCAAATTAAAGTCAGACTAAATAGGGTTTTTTCCGTACTTCTTTCAATGCATCTTAGACAAATTTTAACACTAAGTTTTGAAATTAATATTGAAATAATCATTGGAAAATTTTACTCGAAATGCGTGTGGATGCCATGATGTGATGGGATTATGACTAATATCCAGTTTCATTAGTTTCTTCATTCTTGAAAATGCCGCTTCTTCAATAATCTCGATATAGTTATCGGCCAAAATTAGTTCCATTAGGTTCTGCATACCATCGAAATCATCTGCACTTATAGATCGGATTTGATTGCCCTTAATTATTCTATACTCGAATTGGCCAAAAAATGTCATTATTGTAGTATTAAACAGTCTATCTTATCCCGCTAATTATAATACCAAATTCGTCTTTCAAATTACTCAAGCATCCTGCAGCCAGAAAATGAAATATTTTAACATGGCATTCTGTAACTTTAGATAGAGTGAGTAACATTTTGGACAAGAGAAATGAAACTAGCAGTGTGTTTTTCTTTGAACCAATAGTTCTTAAGAGTTTGATTATTATGATAAAATGAATAAAAAACTGAAAATCGATTAAATACTCTTAGATTCAGGTTAGTAAGGCTGTTTTGGATGGAATTGAATGCGTGTTGGGGTATTTTCTTGAGTTCATTATAAGCGAGATCAAGTTTGTTGACATTATTGTTTCCAAATGTATCTGTGTCCAAGCTGCTGATGGCATTACTTCGCAATACAAGACTGTCGTAAATATTCTGTAAATTTATTCAGCAGTGAAATTTATTTTAAGTGGACGGTATTATGATTAGCTCCGTTGAAGAATCCGGTAATACTTCTAATCGTTTACATTTAATTGGAAATTCAAATTGCTTAAAATAGGTACATCTCTACGACTGAGTTTTGTAAAATGCTGTCTCTCACTGTTCCTAATCTTATATCATACCACATACATTATGTTGCATTAGAACGATTTAAAAATAGAAATACAAATTTTGAGTAGTTTTTGAAACCTTTTATGTACCTGCTCTGCAAAGGTGCCTTTGTGTAGTATCCTCAGATGGTTATAGGATAAATCGAGTTCGTTTAGCCATCTACAAGTTGCGAATGCATTGCTTTGTACTTCAATAAGTTCGTTATGATTTAGTTTGAGGACTTTTAGCTGACTAAGATCATTCAACAAATTTTTCCCGATTGATTGTAATTGATTATATGCCAGGTTGAGATACGTTAATGTTCGCTTTGCTGAATGCAGATCAATTCTGCAACTAATTCCAGATTTATTCAAAAAAGTTGTTGTCTTTAATATTCTTGACAATCTGTTCTTTGAAACGAAATTGCAATCCGTAAATGGACTGATGGAGTTATCTAAGTTTTCTTTTCATATTTTAGCTTCAAATCAATTATGTATTTGGTGGAAACAACTTACGTAATGATACGGTTGTGTGATAGGTCAAGGTGTTTGACATTTACCAGACTTTGGGCTAGGAATGTAAAGTCAAATGTCTGAAGCTGATTGTAACTTAGATCGAGTTGCTCCAGATTATTTAAATTAACGAATGTTGCTTTGCTTAGCTGTTGCAGACGGTTCCGAGCTAACGATAAATTCTCTAGAGTTGGTATGTCACTTATCGACCGTTCCATTGTTATGTTGATCGCATTTCCTGCCAAACTGAGCTGGCGTAGATTACGTAGTGACGAAAATGTCTGCATAAATAATTTTTTATTTCGTCGAATTTTCATCGAAAAAAAAAAAAAATTTATAGAAATAACTGATTTTTTTCTCGAAGTTTCATCGAAATAAGTTGAGGATGTTTGCAATTGTTTATGCCAAGCATTTTATCAGTAGTTAGCAGTGGGTTATTCTTATTCCATACCAGGAATTGTTAGTTGCAAATCATAAATCAGCTTTGCTCAACATTTATTATACACACTACCTTACTAGCTTATTCCAGCTCTCATTCAACATTAGGACTGTCTCTTTTTTAATAAATTTCTTGCTAAAAAATCAAATTTTCTTCACTTTTTCTGCTTAAACTATTGGATAATTCGAAACTTACTAGTGTTTGAATACTTGTCAATTTATTGTCGTTAAGTGCCAGCTGTTCCAAACTATCCATATTATTAAATGCTGCAGTAGAAATATAGTCAATACGGTTGAAAGCCAAATTCAGAGAACGTAAATTTGGTGCAGAATGCCCAGAGAATGTACGATCTGTGATGTGCTGAAGTCTTGTACGAGTGAACGACAACCGTTGTAGATGTGGGAGAGTGCTTAGGACATAGTCAGGTAGAACCCGTATCGGATTATCATCCAAAAGTAGATAACGTAAGCGTTTCATGTTAGCCAGGGCAGTAATGGGAAACTGATTGAGTTGATTGCCCTGAAGTGGAGCATATTTTTTGCAAATGAAGAGATATACTTATTAATATAAAAGAAATAGATAATATTTATTGTTATTTTATGCTTAACACTGACAAAATGTTTCATTACTATACTGTTTCTACTGGCAGTTTTACCTGTAGAAAGAGGGACTCGACACCTTCGAGTCGTTCAAAGGCATTATCATTAAGGTAGTTGATGAGGTTGTGCGACAAATCCAAGTATACGAGTGAACTCATGTAGAGAAAAGCACCAGAGTCAGTAATATTTTCGATTAAATTTCCAGCCAGATTCAACTTCAATAAATTTGTTCCAGTACCATCAAGTTTTCCGAAAGCTAAGCGTCGCACATATCGAATCCTATTCTTTGACAAATCGAGATGTCGTAATCGACTCATCCCATTCAGTACTTGACTTGGTATCTCGATTAGCCGATTAAATGCTAGCAGAAGCTCGGTTAAAACTGGTTTCACGTTATTAATTGTGTTGGTATCCAATCTGTAGCAGTTTGAGATAAGGTAATGAATTGGATTGATTTAAGATCCCGTCAAAGAAGTATGGCCGGTTATGTCAGATTCTACAAAATATTGATTTATAAAAGATTATCGACTTCTGTCAACTTACTGTGTCGCTTGTGAGGCGGAGCCAGTTTTTTCATTAAGCGAAATTTATTCTTTGCTTTTCACCTCTTAAGTATTCGAGGAAGAAAATTAACTCACGCAGTCAATTTATTGCCATTCATATTGAGAATCTCTAGTGTCCGTAACGGCTGCAAAGCATTTGGTAGTTGATGTAATTGATTCTCTTCCAAATTTATCCATTTCAACGATTTGGCCACATTTTTGAATGTATCTACTGGTATACGTACTATTCTGTTATAGCTTAAGTCGATTTGTCGTATTTGACTGATTGAATTGAAGGCAGCTCCAGATATTGTTGAAATCTAAAAGTTAGAAGTAACTTTCTGGATCTTTGCTGTAGTTTTATATCTTCTTTGCATTGTATTTCTGGTTTAAGTCTCCTGGCTGTCCAGTAATCCAGTTTGTGTTAATTGCTTCATTTACGAACGTTTTATGTTAAAGAGTGCTATCTTACCATTAGGCTTAACCTCTTATCTATTTCTTGATTGATTTCTGGAATTGTAATATGAAGGTTCACCTGGTTATAGCTTAAATCTAATCGACCAAACTTTTGAAAGCTATCAAAAGCGTTGTCTTTAATATGTCTGATTCGATTATTGCTTAGTTTTAGATCTATTTCCGAAATAAATTTCACTTCGGGGTTGTTAGTCACTTCAGTGATATTATTACTTTCCAAGTCTAAAGTGCGTAGTTGTTTCAACTCTCGTAGCGCGAGATATGGTATCTGAAAATTTTGGAATCTATGATTGGCACATTTTGCATTATTACACCTGTTTTTGTCATTTGTTGGTTTACATAACTATCATTGTACACGAATTTGATGTCGCAATAGTATATTGCTCATTGTTATATATTGATAAGTATCATGTCACTGTAAAGCACGTTGTTTCGGATGTTTGAAATTTAATAGCTTCTTAGTCGAATATTTGAGAAATAGTTGGAAGTAATTTGTTGCTAATATTCTAATCAATTTCAATGTGAGCCCGCAATTTCTGGGTCTTTGTAACAGCTTTAATCAATACCCCAAATCCTTTTATCCATTATTATACGCTTCTTAAATTTATTGCTTCAAATTTCTGTTTCTCGCTTCCTTTGAAATTTTTTTTTTTTTTTTGAAATAACTATTACCATTATCACATCTGTTGCTTCTTCATTTAAAGCAAGTACAATTTCTATGCCATCACACTTCCTCATCCTCCCAAACGTACAGGAATTTTTTTCAATTGATGAGTATGAATTCTTCCCAGAATTCTAAATATTTTTCAGACGAGAGATATGAAAATTCCCCTTGTTCGCAGAGTATTTAGAAATTTGAGCATCTTGTAATGAAATTTTTTATTTCCTGAGAAACCATTTTTTATCACCCAAAAGGGAGTCTAAAATTTTTTGCTGTTTTGTGAAACCTCTACATTTTCGTCAAAATATTATTCAATTAAGTCGTAAACCACAAATTTTTAGTAATTTGTTTTTTGGAGTTTTTAAGTACGATCTGTGATCTTTGTAAAAACTTAATGGCTAGGTACCTCGGGAATGAGATTGCTTTTCAAGTCCAAGAACCAAATTGTCGTTGGTAGTGCTAATTTTTCAATCTCAATGATCCGATTATTTGAAAGCGTCAGCACTTGTAGTGGCAGTCGTAAAAGCGATTTTTTCGGTAGCATACTTATCTGTAAGTAATGTTTTTTCAGTATTTGAAGGATAGTAGTTCCTCTAATATTTTGAAATTCTAAAAAAAGTGGATCAGTCTCACTTGAGTGCACATCGATAGCAGGACTGAAACAATCTTGGTAACCTGATTATAGTCGAGGTGTAAGTAATGAAGATTTTTGAGTTGAGTTTCATCGAATGTATCTGATTTAATTTCGGATATCATATTATGAACCAAGTGCAGATACCGTAGCTGGTAAAGGTAGGTCATCGCCGAAGATGGTATTGACGTTAGGCTATTCTGATTCAACGTTAATTGATAAAGTTTGTTCTGGAAGAAAAAAGCGATGAAAAGATCTTGTCGCTATTCTTGAATTAATCAATTTCTGACATTCACTGAAACCGCAACTATTCTTTCCTGATGTTAGAATTAAAAAATTTTTTGGTTTAGTCTTTTGTCAACTGCTAAATGGAGTAAATGATGGACTGTTCTACCTCAAGACCGCGAAATGCGTTAACGTTGATTGCTTCGATGTGATTATTGGTGAGGTCGAGTATTTGAATGTTGTGATGTTTTAGTGCATCCTGTTTGATAAGCGTCACACTACTATGCTTAACTGACAGTGCAACAATGTTGTAAACCGTGTCCTGAAATGGGTGCATATCATTTGTTTACTATCTTATTCATTTTTGTCATAGTCAAGTGCTATAAAGAAGTGATGATGAAGTTGGAAATTAGATTAACATTATGAGAGAAAAGTGATCGGTTATCATATGGAATGGTTGGTATGATTGTCCATGGTTGACGGCTACATTTTACGTGGATGTTACCTTCACCATCAAAATTTTCGCAACTGCATGCTTTCCATTTGGAGTGTGGCGTTGGGTCAAATCTGCAAATATTTATGATTAACTCAAACTTTGTTCTTTCATTTGCAGCAGCACTTAACTAAGACAAAAAGAAATGAGAGTGTTGAAATAATTAGGGAAAAGCTAGGTAAGTTTGTTGAATTGTTGCAAGGGAACCAATTATAGTTTAGAGATAACAAAAGCGTAAATTTTTCTTACACAATAGCTGTATGGTAGTAGTAGTAAATTTAGTTTTTGGATGAGGAAAAAAAATAAGGCATTGTACAGATAAAATTTACAGGCATTCTTGTTCGGTAAATATTCCTAATGATTGTACGAAGATAATTCGTGCAGCGATGATAATACTGAATAGAGACATGCATACTGGCTTCTTGCTTGATTCTCGTAAATCCAGTAAACCTACAGGCATGATTGATCATCTTTTACATGGGATGTGAATTATGCTTAGTTTCTTCTCAACTCAACCCATTAGTTTTTTTTTTTGTGTATAATGTTTTAACTCTAAAATCTGAAATGCATTAGTTTCAGTTAAAGATAAATTGGAAAATATTAGGTTTGTGAGAAATCAAAAAAGCTAGTAAATGAGACATCGCGAACAATAAAAAGTGCATTGTAATAACACAAATCGAATAGTTGGATGTTGAGTGTTATCCTAGTGATGGCCAAACCTCATCATTAGGATAGTTTCGAGCAAGCCAAAATAGAATCGAAAAACTAAAATGCCTAAAAAAGTCAATAAATTGTAATCGTCCTAATAGGTATTCAGTGAAGCGTAGCAGTGACTTAGTTTATAGCACGGTGATAGCAAGGGTTAAGTAATGAATCGTTATACTAAAAAGAGTAATTTGATAAAGTTGGTGTGATTTGATAACATAGTCGATGGTTGCTGTAGTTGTAATTCGAACTCATCCCTCTGTGGCCCTTCCTCATGCCACAGAGCAGTTTTGCTGATTGCAGTGAAATGAACAGTTGTGTTGCTGAGTGTGTGTGTGTGTGTGTGTGTGTATGTGTGTGTATGTGTATGTGTATATATATATATATATATGCATATATAACAACATTATGCTTAAGTATTTTCTTAACCTCATTGTCTTCTAGAGGAGAGCTAATGCTTTGAACACTAAAAGAAGAAAAGAAACAGTCGTAATAATTAATAAGTAATAGCAAATGATTTTAGTAATTCTCTTGCACATTTCAATTTTTACTTTATGATCCATTTCGTACAAGATGATTTACTCGCTGTAATACATAGTTTTTTTTTTCTCAAAAAAAAAAAAAAAAGACACGTATATGAATGATCTTAAGATACATATTGTGTTCACTCACTCATCGTTATTTACTAAGAATTTGATCAAACACTTAGATAAGAATTTGATATCAATCTGATCTGTGCATTTGAGATCTGATCACGTTCAAGGCAAGTATTTTCATTTTCGGTTTCTTATGTGAATATAATACAATAAGTATGAATATATTATGAGAGGAATCAGTTGAGTTTTCATTTTGAATCAGTTCTTTGCTCATTAAAACGACTTCAAATTTCATATTTTTTTGCTTGGAAAAAAGTTTTTCTAATAGGAGCTGTAGATGATTGGCTTTCACATAAATAGTTTCCTCCATTTTGACATCGAATACATTCATTCGTCGTTAAAGAATGAATGATGAGTGCAGAATATATATCGTCGCTGTATTCGTAATATTCTGAATTACAATTTAATAGGTTGGTGCAATTTATGATTCCAAAGATATCTTTATTTCATAATTTTCAAACAAAAAAGAAATTGTCGTAGTTTGCTCTAAATTACTTAGATTTTTGGGAATTCAGAAACACCGATTTAAAGTAGGGTATGAGTGGAATTATTTAAAATTTTTTATCTTTTTATCCTGAAAATCACCACTTCTCACACTTCCCAGTAAGAAGTCAATGCACAGCTGACATTATTCTTAAGAGTGTGTATTGAATGCACTAAATCCATCTGCAAATTCGATAGGAGAAAAAGCTGTTGTGAGCACGAAACGGTAAAACATGCTCGTGTAGCTTTGATCAGCAGTAATCTTTGCTTATTTCATTCCATTTTCCGTAATTTGCAATTTAAATAGAAGCAAAGGAATAGTTGGTCATGTTGGAAATTCGATCATGCAACTGTCTTTTTATTATCATGTCAAATTTATACCTTCAGATAATTAAATTATGAGAGATTATAATGAATTGTTAGGAATGTAGCGGTAAGTTCAGGCTTTGGTTTATTTGTAGTTGTTTTTGACAAAGCCGTTTTGGAATTTTTTTTGAAACTGGAGTTCTTCAGCGAAAACTGTCTTTTTCATTGGGGCTCAATGAGATTCAGGAAGGAATACTGTTCTCGTAATTTAATTGAAATTGGTCGTAACTGTTTGGAACATAATTTGATTAGCATTGATGAGTGAATGAGCACGTCAAGAGAATGAGTAAGTAGACGGAGTGAGTTTCTGTCTTCTAAATTCGGATTAGATGTGTGAATGATTTTTTAACAGTAATCAAAATATCTTAATTCTTGTTGTTTAGATAAAAGTCAGCTAGCAAAAAATGTAGTTCTGTTGAAGTATAGATTACAGTTCTGTTAAAGAGGAACCAATATGTTCGAATTTCTTAGCACATTTCCGATTTCAGCTCCTTTCGTAGTATCTCATTGATAGCAACCGTGCTTTCACCAGTGCTAACAAATGCCCAAAAACAGTTATTGTTTCGGGTTTGCTTGGCTGCAGCCCTGCTTTCTCGTTTGGCAATGGAGAATTTGCTTCTGGATCAGCCGTATCTCGTCAAACGACTAAGGGAATTGCGTCGACTTGCCTGTAGTGCTTTTAAAGAAGTTCGTTTGGTTCTTATATCTCGGTTGTTAATTGTTTGTCTTGTTACATTAAAAAGAAAAAAGAAGAAAAAAACTTTTAATTTAAAATTTTTATCATAACTTTAGGTTTTCCATATATGTCAAAATCGCATGTTTGAAGCCGATGAGATCAATGCATTTTTGGTGTACATTATTGTCCCACAATGTATATTTCATGATGATGGTTCTCCAGAAGTTCCCCTTAATTTTCTGCGACTATTTCTTTCATGGACATCGATTCCGAAGTAAATATTATATGACTTTTGTCTCGAAACGATCTTTTCTTTTATATAAATTGAGTTCACAGCTTACAGTTTCCAGTACAATGTGCTTAATTCTCTAAATCCACTTTAGTAATTAATTGCTGAAAGCTTAAAAATTTAATACTTTCCAGACTGTTCTACCTTTTACGTCTCCAAGTTCCATCAACCAGCGGTACGGTGTCACACTCAGTGCTTTCGATCGTATGCAGCATGCTCGCATCGAAAAGTGTTAGCAAGTTGATGAAAGAGAAAATCATTGATGGTTTGCTCAGTTTGCTTACTTTGGCAGATGAGGTTATGTCTGGTCCAGTGGTAGATATCAACCTAGCTAAACTTCCGGAAATTCCTGGTAAGTGGAGCTTATTTCTGTCTGTCCCACCATGAACATCAAGTTTCCAATTTGCTTTGTGGTCGTTTATATCATCATTTAGAATGATAGCAAGTCTTATTTGCCATATTACATGGTATCGTGTATGTTTTGAACTAAAATTTCTTGTGTAATGAGTGATGTTTCTCTCTCTGCTAAATCTAGCTTCAAAATCAATGCCTCAAAAACGATTCTATAAATTCAGATTTGTGTTTATTGTTTTCTACATTTGTCCTGTTACCCGTATTATGCAGTGTTATATTTTTGCTACTCTTTGATGTTTCATGCAGTACTATTTCAGGTTTAAACAGTGGAACCTCCATGGTTCTTCCTGAATTGCCGAAACTTTTAGTATTTATTTTTGACTCCTTACCTGTACAAGGTGAAAGTCGTAAACTCAATACGAAACATTTGGAAGTTTTGAACAGGTCGGCAGCCTTTCTTCTCATTTAGACTATTTTTGAAAGCGTATGGTCTTTTTCATTAATTTGTTAATCCGTTTCAAATGCAAACTACTGAGAGGGTGCACAAGGATTTGAAATAACAACCATGAAAGATTTATAGTTTCTAAAATGTGCTCAATATTTTAGAATAAGTGAGTTCATTCGGGATGAAGAAATGATTAGACGATATGTTTCAATCCTACTAACATTTTTGGAATCAGGAATTGTACGTTCCGATGATGCTGTTCAATCTTCGCTTCTAACTGTTTTACGGATGGTTACAGTAGCAACTGATCCGACTCAGTTTTTAAAGTAATTGTTTAAAACTTCAACTAGAACTTTCTTTAAAATTTGCAATTTTCAGACGGATGATTAGCTTCTAAATTTGCGTGAAGCTAATAATAATTTCTAGTACGGAACATTCATAACTTTGGATTCTCTTTTAAAAAAAATAAAAATAAATAATGTTCGACATCCATTGCAAGACCTATGTTATAAATATCTGAAAGACACCGCTAGACATTGGAGTTATCTGCATCGTGAAGAATTTCTGTACTTGGTCATCTGTTATATAGATGTACAACCATAATATATCATATGTTAATATTGAACATGGAACTTTATTAATAAAGAAATTCTTGATAAGTAAACGCAAATAAGAAAATTTTTCAGAAATCTTACAAATGTGCAGTCCTTATTAAAGGAGCGTTCGCATCGTGAAACTCTGCAAAAAATTGAACAAGCTATTGTAATGAAACTGATGGAAAACGATAAAAGGAAAGCGGAATTATTGAGCTATGTGGCAAGTTTAGATGCATGGGATGGAAGACGAATTGATGAGCCTGATTATGATAAACGACACTGCGCTTATCTAAATCTCCTTAAGGTTTGTGCCCTCTCTTTTATATGAAATTGTTTTTAGTCTTGACCGTTATTTCTCAGTGCAAGACTATTCAGAGTGATTAGAAGCTTTTTTGTTCGAAATTTCCAGGCTTTAACAACAGACGAAGTAATTGAACCAATATTACTCTATCTGATATTGCATAACGATTATTATGTTATTGTTCAGGTACTTATGATTTTTTAAAGGGCCGCTTTGTAGCTATGTGAAGCTAAGAGTTTAACGCAAAAACATCACGATTTATCTCATTTTTTATGAAAAATTTTTAAAAAGAAATTCTATTTGTCGAAGAGTTAATTCATGTTTTTTTTTTCTTTTTTGTGATGCAGGTGAATGATATTTCATTGCGTTCAGCTGCAACCAAAAATTTTCATAGTATAATTGAATACTTTGGAAAATGTAATATGAATGGACGTGAGAAACAAAATGGAGTTGATTCTCATATGTTACCTCTTATTCTAAGGGGCTTACATGATGCAAAGGAGGTATTCTCTAATTTCTTTCTTATTGATATTTGATCTAAACTTTGTCGATACGAAGAGGAAAGTTTCATTTTGTATTTATTCACAACGAGTTGTATAAATGATTGGTAGACAAATCTGTTAAAATTTTAGGTAATACGCCATGATTTTGCTAATCTCTTGGTTTCGATGATTATATATTTCCCGACACACAAACATCTTCGCCATCTTGAATCACTTAGGAATACTGCAGAAGTTGATTTAGACTTCTTCGAGAACGTTACTCATATGCAAATTCATCGGCGACAGCGTGCGTTTTACAAACTTGCTCAAAGTTTGCAGTCGGAGAAAGTTAGTATTTGTTATTTATAATCCATTTTGCACAAAATTTAGAAATTTCGCTTTTGTGTAGTAATTTTACATAGCATCACTTGTGCCTAAAAAACTTGCATTACAACTTGCATTAACTTGCATTACAGATCCGTATTCCAAACGGAGTATTGCTTCGTTTCCTGCTGCCCTTTTTGCAACCTTACATGGTGAATTTATCTAGTAGTACATCAGCCCTTAGCGATGCTTCTCTAGCACTTTTTACGCAAATAATGCGTGGTGCACCGTGGAAAAAGTAAGTTGAGAAAAGTTTGTAGTTATCATTATTCCCTTATCATTAGTTCTTTATTTTCATTATTTTAGAAACTTCACTTTTGTAGTTTATAAGCTTGCGGAATAATGAACTGGCATTATTGACGAATAAACAAACATGAGAACTTTTCAGTTTCCCATGATTCGTAACCACAGTTCATGCAACTTGTGAAAGTTTTGGTACATCCCTGAAAATATATTGATTCCGCTAATAAACGATATTAATGTTTCAGATACTTTCCAATGTTGGATTTCTATATGAAGCGTTTGAAAAAAGAAAGTGTTAATGTTAATCACAAAGCAATTATAAGGTACGTTTTTTTTTTTTTTTTTTTTTTTTTTTTTTTTTTGAGTTATGATCTTTAATTTAACACTGGATTAATGTTTTATTCTGAAAAAGAAATAGATAATTTTCAATTAAAAATAAACTGGTGAGGGTCTATTACGATTATTTGCTCTCTCGATCATTATCGTTTTTTAGGAAATTTTAGATTCAAATTTAATTATAGTTATAACTTTATTTGGTCGTAAGTAATCGGCTTTTAAAGTTTACTGGAACCCTCGAATTTTTCTCTTTTTTGCTTTTCAACTAATCAGAACTTTTAAAGTTGTGGCATAGTTAAGTTTTGATTGATGTAAAAATCTGGCTGATTTTTGCTTTTTAAATAAGGACTAGAAGTGAAACATATAGAAGAATTACTTCAGTTTCATTTTGCTATAAAATCTTATTGACATCTTTCACTTAGTCCTTCTGTCAATTAATTATTCATTAGCATAAGCTCTTTCTCAAAATCTAAGTTTTATATATAACTTTGGCTGAATAAGTTTTATAAGCTTTCGGAATAATTTTTGTTTCTTTCCTGATATTACTAGTCAGATTGACCAGACTGTTTTCCTCCTTCCGAGTTGTATCACTCCAATGACAAACATTTTAATTTGTGGAATCCATATTAAAAACTGCTTCATAAATTTTTGCGTCCATTTTTTAAACCTCCATTTTTACCTATCGAATGCTGTTTCAAGGTTCCGCACTACTACTGCTATAATATCGTTAAGAGCTTTTCACACTGTATTTCCCAACCAGTTGAAAATTTTCAAGTTGAATTTCAGCAAAAGTAAGGTTAACTGAATATTTTGTAACATTTCTGTGGAATTGAATGATTACTTGTTGGTTTGATGTCCATCACAACCATAACTTTGTTAATCGGTCACCTTTCTCTGATTAGTCGAAGTTAAGTTCATATGCTAACTGGAAGCTTGTGTCATGAGTTAAATCTATACCTTTTGAGATAGTTATTTGTTTAAGACAAGTCAAATACACCTTTTTAAAAATAAAGATTACACACAAAATAGATAGAATCGTCGTCTCTTCTAATCAGAGAAGACTTCAATGCTACTGTAGATAATGTGATGCTCATTTTTCGGTTAAAGAGTTGTGTGATTTCAGGATCATTGTTGCTCTCGTAGACGCTTTTCACTTTAATGTTTCCGAAGGAGAGCAGCATGAATCTGTTATAAAAAAGAGAAGAACGAATGACGACTTAGAAAGTGAAATAAATGATAAATCTGAAGATTGGACAGAAGCTAGGATTGAAGATGGCACAGCTGAAGTGAACCCTGGTAATACATTAAAAGAGAGCACTTCATCAATACATCAGAAGGTTGTCGGGTATTTGATACCACGACTGAAAGACTGCGCCACCAGTAAAGTAAGCAAGCTTTCACTATGATTTTAAATAGCACCCAATAATTAGTGCTCTCTCATACTGTTAAACAAATAAACGAGTCGGTTCTTGCAGGACTTAGTATCTCATCGAAAAGCCCAGTCCGGGAAATATTATAAAGAAGATGATGACATACAGAGGGCTCCTGTTGCGTTGGCTACCATCAAGCTACTTCAGAAAATGCCGCAAAAAATTATGGACTATAATTTGCCTGGGTAATTCGCATATTTAATTTGTGTCAATCCTGGTGTTAAAACATAAGTTTTTGGTTTTGCGTATAGTGCAATTGATTAAGAACTAATTTTTTCCAGATTTCTTTGGTTCAAATATTTTATTTTTTTTTACAGTGTGATAATCAAGGTCTGCTCTTTGTTGATGTCACGATCAACTAGTGTACGGGAAGCAGCGGGTAAGACTGTTATCGAAATTGCTAAAATATTGGGTCCTAAATATATTCGTTTCATAATACGAGAAATGAAGCAGACCATGAGAAAAGGTTATCAGGTATACTTTTTATCACATCATAATTCTCCGCCACTTAAATATGGAGTGATTTTATTTTTTTATTTTTTTTTTTTGTCAACAGTTTACTTAAATGTTTACTCAGCACTTGGTAGGGTGTTGTTAGTATTAATAGCTTATATCTCAGTTGTCTTTCATATTTGATCCACTGTTTTGTTAATATTAGCGATACTTTTTTCTGTTACTTCAGTAGATATTTTGAATGAGATCATATTCTGGTATTCTTCTCTATCAACTCTGATGGCTTTGATAGCTTCCTTTATCCACCTCTTTCATATTATTAAGTGTCTTAAAGCGCTTATGTTTGCGACCTCAAAACTTCTTGACATTATGTCATTATCTATTTATTAGAACCATCTCCTGTCCTACTTTCTATATCGACTTAAAGATCCACAAAAACTGTTTCTCAAAGTTAAAATAAACTTTTAATTTAATTGAAAGAAATAGCTACTCATTTTAGCTTCATGTGATGATTTTCTATGTGCACAAACTATTGTCAGCTATGGAGGAACAGCTTTGTACTGGTGACTTAAACTCATGTCTAATGGATATCATCGATGTAAGCATTTCAGTACTTTGGTAGTTGTCGTTTTGATAGAATTTCCTTAAAGCATTGAAATATGTGAAAAAATTGAATTCGAATTTCGGCTATAGCTAAAACTTGGACTTGAATAAACTATCAGTTGACCTTAGATTTGCACCATGGATTTATTTGGCGATACAGCTGAAGAAAAGACTGTATCTGGCATTACCAAGGATGTACCGGAAGCAAAAATACAACGAGCATATGAGACATATAGATTACTTGGTCGATATATAAGCTCTCAATGTCTTGGCAGTGCGCTAGTAGTCTTGAAAAAGGTTTTCCTACTAGATTTTGGAAGTCTAAAGTGTTATTTTTTTTGTTCGTATTTCTTTCTTGAATGGTGAATGGTATGTTTATATCCTTTTCGTTGTTCATTTGTATGCTCATATTTTAGATCATAGAATCTGCACCAGATGCAAAAACAGTGCGAAAGGTAAGTCGTTTATTGTGGCAGTATTCATTGGGAATATCGGCCAATGAAGGAATTAAGCCTGAAGTTGCGTTGATATTTGCATATCAACTGTTAAACGATCAAATAATAGAAAATCTGGAGAACAGGACCGGTGTTCAACTAGATGCGAAACAAGCAAAGGAAGGGAAACGTCCAGAAAGTTGTTTGGTATTGGAAAATGAACCCAGTCGGTAATTTATTTTTATACTTAGGAACATTTTCAAAATTCGAGAATCAACTTTGTATTTGGTATTAATCTGGAGCAGAAGTTGTAAAATTAGATAAAATAAAATCCATTTTCAGGTAGATTTTGTCACTTTTTCCATAAAAATACTTAACTTGGTTATTATCCTTCTAGTAATGAAGACATAAAAAACATGAATGGAGATAATAGGGATGGAAAGATCGAGTGAGGAGGTTGTTTTTTTCAAAGAATAAAAAGTACTTGTAATTAATTCTTAGTCGAAATTTAAGATAACTTTATGACTGTAATCCACTATGCTATTGTAATGTCCCCCTTAATGCGATATAGTTGTCTGCAGCGAATGGCATATTTGGGTAATTTCAGTGTAGGAGTGGTTGTTAAAGTGGCCATAAGGAGTAGAATGCACATTTTTGTTGAATTTGGCCTCTCTGAGCTGTATTTGATATTGAAAAAGAAGACTTTTGATGTGGAATCCAAGGACGACATTGCGCGATTAGATCCATTTGTTGATATTATTTTAAAATGTCTAACTCTAAAATATGATAAGGTAAGGATGTTAAGCACTTATTATGAATTCGTTAGCATTTGTCAGATGATCCTAAAAACACTGATTTCTGTATTTTGTGTTCTTCGTTGCTTTTGCTCGTGACTTCTCCTGCTGTAGTCGGCTCAAAGAATTATTTAGACGTTTTGAAGTAATGATGAAATGTGAAACAATATATGGAGTTAGATTTAATGCATTGTAGTTGAAATACTGTGAAGATAAAATTCTTTTGCTGTAATCATTCTAAGTTATAAAATTATATTAATGTAATTCTTATTTTCAACTAGTTTAGATCCTTGTTAATTCTTTGCGTTGCTTCCTGATATTACTGAGATTCCCTCTTCCTTCACTGCGGTCGATTATGACTCAGTTCCTGAACCGTTTATTCATCCTGTTAGCTGATTATACAACTTCGAGTGCAACTGGCAATACCCAAGAGTATGTCCGGAAATCTGCGGAAGTTTCTCAGCTAGTGTTTAAGGTAGATTTGTTTTTCTCAATATTTTCATGCAGCATTTGGTTTCTCTTTATTTAAAGATTAACAGGTTAATGTTACTAAAGAACAGCTTCATAAGACTTCAGGAAAAGCAGTAACGAATTATTCTTTTTAATTTCTATTACTTTTCTCTTCCTCTAATAACCTCGAAAGTAGATTTAGAGTTTTTTTTTCGTAAAACTCAACTTTTTCCAAAATTTCCTGTATTTCGGAACAATTTTTGAAGGCTATTACGCAAGTAATAAAGGATGCACCCTCTCTTGTGCTTACATCGAAACGTTTGCAATTACTTCTAACCTATGTTGAGACTGATATTATTGATAATCAGAAGCAGGCAGTAGCATTCCCACTTATCAAAGCAGTGATTATCCGCAAACTTCAAGATCCAAAGGTAAACTTAATTGAAAATAGAATTGTTATGTGTTAAAAGGCAGCTACAATCGCCAGTAATATAGTGGTGTGCAGTGAGATTGGGAAAGTCAGTTTAGCTACGTAAATTAAAATAAAAAATTACAGACATTGGTATCTTACATTAATTATTTCTATTGGTACTAAAAAGCAATTCTACATTATGTTTAGATTAAATTTTGAGAAGTTAGATATAAACTTATTCAGATCATCGAAATCATTCAGTATCTCGCAGAAACTGCTATTATATCAGAAATCTCGCATATTCGAGAACAATGCAGGCAGGTTAGCCCTTGTTTAAATCATACAATTTTTTTTTTTTTCTCTTTCAGCTTTTAGAATTTAATTCCGCACAAGTAAGCATCGAAAGCTCATTTTGTCAAATTAAGGTTCTCACTGTTCAAAAAAATGGAGGATTTAAGATTCATAATTGTATCTCCGTATTAGTGCTGGGGAGAAATGATATCTGAAATCAACATATCAAGAGTTATTTTATGTTATTATACAAAGCTCATATCACTACATGAATGTTATTAGTTTGATTTGCTTCACTTTGAAACAATTTTCGTTGTCTTCTGTGGCTCATTTGCGTGCTTCTTTACCCATTTTCATGATCAGTGCTCATCTGAACTTACTAAGACAAGTGCTTGAATAATTTATTGACACAAAAGAACTCGTCGAAAATAGCTTAGTTGATGTCCATTAAATGGTATATTAATTTAGTTAATATATTTGGTTACGAAAGTGTGATTATTGGCAAATGTCCTTATCTTTGCATAAATGAAATAATATTGCTGGTAATGATAAAGGTAATCCGAGGAAAACTTGGAATAAATTTTGTGTGACATGGTTGGTATTCTTTTTTTTTGGTCTTAAAAAAAATACATTTCCGAGAATTGAGTTTTGGTTCAGGTGATTGCCCTATTTGTTGGAAGCCACCCGCAATGTAAAAAGCCGTCGAAATATGTTGAATTCTTCCTGGAACAACTTGATTATCAGCACGAAGACGGCAGAAAATCTGCAGTTGAAATGCTGAACATATTTTTTGAAAAGCTCACAAAAGTTTGTCTGTTATTTTTGCATTTCTGAAAGTTAGTAATACATTAATTTGTGACCAGGCTTTGTTAATGAATAGCTCATTAATGTACTGATGTATCATTACTGATCAATCATTCATAACTGATTTGTTTGTATGTATTGTGTTTTTTGAAAAATTCAGTTGATGAGACTGCTTTTTAACTTTGAAAAAGCTTTGGTTGTATGCACAGTACTGTTTACTTACAGGAAATTAATGATGATTATGCTTTATTAGCGTTTGTAAAACTAGCAGCCCGATTAATGAACGATGAAAGTGCAGAATGTCGTCGGATGGTTGTTTTGGCTATACAGAAGTTGGTAGTATCTGTATCAGAATCTAAGCGAGATGATCTCTACTTAGCAACAAGGGATTGGCTGGAAAGTAAAAAGGCTAGTTTAATCATGATAACTGCTCAAAAACTAGTTGAGAATTGTTTTTTATTAATGTGTATTTGAAAAATAGTTAACCATTAAGTTAATACATATTCAGATATATTATTTTCAGGAAGTATACATTTGTATTGCCGTGCAAGCACTAGTAATATTTAGTAGGTTGGAAGGTAGAAAATTTGAAAATATTCTCCGAGAATTATCACCTAAACTGTCGGAAATCGTTCGTGCTGATATCTTATATTCATATGCTGAAGAAAGCATTGGTACAATTATTGATAGTCTGAATTCGTTGATAAGCGAGCACAAAAACCAAACGATCCAGTTTGCTGAAGAAGGATTGCTAGATTCTATATTAAGTAAGTATTCATAAATTTAGCTACAGTTATTATTTAGATCAGTTCACGATTATTTTTAGGAGAAATGGGTCCTTTTGCGCGATGCAGCAAATCACCAACTGTTCAGCTATCTGCAGCTCGATTTCTTGGCTCATTATTTTCCATTCTGAATAAAGATTACATGTTGTCACGAAGTGATCCATCTGTCCGAGAGTTCTTGCAGTGGACACTGGCGCAGATGAAAACTTACCAACTAACCAACGAACTAGCTGAACAGGTTGGATTTCTGAAATCATAAAAATTTTCTTTTTTCTTTAATTGATCCATTATCTATTTTATACCATCAGCTAGTTCCACTGATGTTTTTAAACTTTATTTATATGTATGTTGCTGTTTCAGGTAGCGAAGAACTTGGTATACCTTTTTGATGTAGTTGCTCAATCAGATAATGATCTTCGGTGGCTATGTCACAGATTAAGTGTGTTGTGTAATTTTGAGTTAGTCAAGCTGCCAGCTGAAAATATTCGAGTGAGACTTCTTTTACATATTCTCTTGCTTTTGAACTGTGGATTTTTTTTTTTTTTTTTTCTTCCAAATTGAAAGTATTTTCACGTAAATTTGCTTATTCAGCGACAGAAGATATCAACTTTATTTCAACTGTGTAATTTCACATTGCAGAGAATCAATGTTTTTAAAGTGACAGCAGTCATCGTCTTGAAAATTGATCCTAGCCGAAGCAATATTGTGATACAATCATTATTGCCTTCTCTCTGTCGTGAAATGCAAGGCAAATCAACACAAAGTACATTTTATGAAATCATCATTAATTAAAAAAACTACTGCTAAGTTCCTATAGCTTCCAAATATTAGGGCTGAAGTGCCATTATATCGGATGTATGGATCATAATCATAATCTGTTCAAGGCACTGAAATATTGCAAAAGGTCGCAGTAGAAGTAGCGGATACAATAAAAGGAAGGATTGGTGACGAGGAATTTACAAAACAGGTAGCTGAATGCAATAAATTGTTCGCCGCTAAACTTGAAGGAAGGAAACGAAGAAGAAAGGTTGGCTGATTGTTGTGGAATTCTTTTATCATTCTCTTTCGAAACTGCTAACGTCGTTTGTTTGAAACATTCGAACAGAAATTATGCGTTAACGTTAACATCATTTTCTACAATTGATTTCAAAATTATAGGAAGAGGCTGTTTTGGACCCGACTAGCGCGGCACGAAAGAAAATTCGAAAAAATAAGTTGAAACGAAAGGTGAAAAAAAGACGAACAGCTGACTGAATATAATTTCATAGTTTATTCCTTCAGATGCATTTGTGGTTGAATAGATTTGCTACATACACACCTCCGAGAAGCTTTCCAGTTTGCCAGTTTTGCTAATTTTGTTATTTGTTGTATTGACATTCATTGTTGTGTAACATAAACTGAACTCAAACATGTCTCTATGGGGATCAGTCAATTTACATTAAAATTATGTATTATCAAGTAGTATAGAAGAAGGAGTACAGATAATTTTTAAATCTAGAAACACTGAAGTATGAAGTTTCTGCTTAGAAGTGCTGTTTGTCAGTCCATCATCTTCCCTGCTCTATGTTCGATCATTTTTGCATTAGTTGTTTATATAACGTTCAATAGTAAAAAAGATCGGAAAGTAGTGAGGACGAGTAGAACTGCAAAGAAGGCTTTTACTAAAAAATGCTTACGCTATAGACTGAAGTGCAGAAGTGGAAGACTTTGCTTTAAAACATGAAATAAGTAGTGCAAAAGACATGTTTCGTTAATCGGATTAATTGTGAGTAAGGGTTGTTTGGACATTATCACGATGAGAACAAACATGACGTAATAAGTAATGATGGAAAAATGGTGTGGGAGGAAGGACGCTTCTGTATGACGCGAAAAAGCAGATTGTTTCCTCTTTAGCAAAAACCGGAGCAGCGGTGCAGCTTCGACTAATGATCTCGACCAACTCCAGAAGATGATGTCATTAGCAGTATTTAGAAATTCGTCTGGAATGATGCAGTTAGAGAGCAATTTACACAGATGGAATTTCTCCTCCAAGGTCAAATCACGGTAGCTTTTGGTGGACTTCATTTTAAACAAGTTAGTCAGACTGAGTAACGAAGTCAAGAAAAAACATCATGGAAGGTTGCTTCCCTTCTTATCCTTGGTTGTCGTCTTTAGACGTATCACTAATTTCGTAGTGTTTTATCACAGCGATAAAATCAGGTGTTGGTGATCGGTGATCGGTAATCTTGCTAGTATTGGTACTTCTGAAAGTAATGTTATTTCTACTTTCTGTTACCTTATTTGATAAGAGAGAGAGAGAGAGAGAGGGCCATCGAATGTATTACAATTTGTTTACAGCAGCAATGCATATATAGTTCTATAGTATTCCTCTATTTAATGGAAAAACAAATAGGTGGGAAGTTGAAATGTGACGAAGAGTTCCGGTTTTGCTGGTGAAAAAAATAATTAAAGCTAGAAAACAAGTAAGGGTGGAAGAGTAATGAGAAGAGAGTTGAAATGATTCAGCTCTGAATACCCACCTGTTTCAGTTTCTCAGAAAGATCATGCTGAGTCTTGCTTTCTCTGTTTTACTTTTACTTTTCTATCCAACTCTGTTCAAGTTTGCTGTAGGTTAGATTTTCCCTTCCTTCCGTTTCTTCCCATTTCGAGTTTTGCATCTGAAAATATTGCAGCGGCGTGATCACATAGAAGATCATTTCGGTTTTGCATGATTTTTTGCGAGATTTACTAATTACCTGCGATACTGTTACCTTGCTCGAACTACTCTTAGTAATGATGCATTCATTACAAGAAGCAATGATGGCAGCAATTTATTGAGATAAGGGTCACTGATTTTGTGATGTGGACAGAAGGTCATCATCCCTCACGAGAGTATCACGAGAGCCTTTGGGATAAAGAAGCATTTCCTTTCCTATTGTGAGTCTCATATCAGAAGGAGAGAAGAGAAGTGAAACCAGGAATGATTATTACCATCTTTTCTTGTTTTTGTTGATTGCCCGCAAATGCATCCTTGTGGACTGATCTCTGAGAGAAAACAGAAAGCAAAAGAAGAACTTTTCATAATTTCTTAACCTCTAAATGGAATAAACCTCTCTCTCTCCTCAGCTTCAATAGTCTTAATTAACACCTCTTCCTTCTGCTGCTGTTGCTGCTGTTACTATTAAGAAACACATGCTAATTCAATATTTAGAATTTAAAGCAGCAGCACTTCCTGCCAGATTCCCGACTGCTACAACATGGAAATTTTATTCCACACAACAAACATGTCGACAGTCTTATAAACTAGGGTAGCAAACATCTGACACTGACGACAGCTGACAACAGCACCAGTCAAGAATATACCCGAGTAATACTGGTCACCTCTCAGAGATGCTTTAAGAGAGAGATTTGCTAGCGTCGCAGTAAAATATCGTTACTTGCGCATTTGTCTCCGCTTCATATGCTAACAGAGCACAGTTCAATATTTCAATAAAATGATGATGTTTAGGAGACGCACTAGGAGACTCACTTACCTCATTTGAAATTCGATGTTCCTCTCTTTCTGCTCTTCACTGCTACTATGCTACGTGCTAATGCAAACAGGTCGAACTGATCTTTTGCGTGCTGTAAGTTTTCTTTTTCCTTGCTAGCTTGAGTGATGTGATGCAAGCTTCAGTAAAATTAGAAGAGTGCTCAGCTTCTTATAAAATTTCTTGTTGGGAACAATCATTTCTGTGAATTGAAGACAATGCATAGGAATAAATAAAGCAAATGACTGCTCTCTGGCGGAGAAAGAAATACTGCGAATAGCTACCCGAGATATCTGAGATAACTCGGGTGAATTCTATAGTCTAAAATTTGCTTCTGTTTCTTTTCCTCTGCAAATCTTAACTCTTTCCTAGGGAAGCATGCAATCAACGCTCACGAATGAGACTATCAGAGAGTGCTGGTGTGAGGAAGAAGACATTTGCATGAAGGACGTTGAGTTGAAGTTGCAGAAGTGTCTCGACAGATGCTGGGCTCGAGATGCCACCAAGGTCAATACAAGTTTTCTTCTCGTCTTCCTTACTCCATTCTCTCTCTCTCTCTCCCTCTGGTTACTTTATTGGAGTGAATAAACTCTTCTAAATTGTTAAAAGCTCGATGGTTAGCACTGGCCAGTAAAAAAGGTTATATTTAGGTGACGTTAAGGCCTGATGACCTACGGCAATGTTTTATTCAGCAAAAACCGATCGTTGATCACTTGGTTACTTGTGTTAAATCCAATATGAAATGGTCTGTTTATTGTGCTATCCAATTTTTGATGACTTCTGATGTAATCGTCTAATTTTCAAATTATTAAAATTTATCGAAATTGATAGCGGAATGATTTTTTTTTTCCTTTTACAATGAATTTTTCCTCACTTTATCATGTAATTTTAAATTTGCACTGAGAGGCGATTATTTCATTGCTAAATTTCATATGAAGAATGATAAATTATAAAAGAAGAAGACACTTTCTTTTCTTCCATTGGTTGATGAGAAGAAGAAGCGGAAGTGGTCATCAATAACAGTATCAGAAGTGGTAGTTTGTCAACTGTTCATATCAGTAGCAGAGTTTCATATACTTTTTCAGTTGCGCTGACTCAAAGTATGGACCTCAGATACCGAAGCAGGACATTGGGAAAATTATTAATCTGACAGGAGAAAAGCTGGAGGAAGCAGAAAGTAAAATTATTACAAATCCTACGCTTCAGCCAATTCAAAAAGTGCTTGATGCTGTAATCGAAATCGGGAAATGTGTCAAAGATTGCGCCATGGAAGGCGACGGTCTCGAAGAGTGCTTTGAGAGCTATACGTTAGTCCACCGATTTCACTACCTGATTTATCGCGCAAAACGTAGCGTTGCTTCTTTGCAGATGCCAGCCATGCGTACACGTGAATCGAATGCAAGGAACAGTCCGGAGATGTTTCAAGCACGTAGACTGGAGAAGGGCTGTCGGAGAACTGTGTAATTGTACCGTAGAATCCGGTGTTAGGTAACACTTCCTGGACCACAGAAACTGTATTATTGTTTGTATTATCATTTGTGTAGGTCGAAAAAATTGCTAGGCCAATCACTAGGCTTATTTCTAGGCACTCCCTGCTACTCATTCTACCTATGCCTATACTGAACTTCTGTTGTTGTGGTCGTTCAAACGCATTTTAATGTGCCAAATTCGAGAGATCAATAATTTTTGCTTTACTTTTTTCCCATCAAATATTTTGGGTCTTGGGTTGATGATCTCTTCAATCCTTGTTGAACATTTTCTCAGACCTTGTATTCTCTTTTGACCGTTTCAATTACTTCCACTTCCTTGGCTTTCCATTTCATATTTTAGTGCACAGTTTTATTTTCAGTGGATTAAAGAATTTTTGTCCATTGCTCAATTTGGCGTCAATAAAATAAAAATGATTGGCCTCAAAAGATGAAGAAGCAAAGTGATATATGATAGGGACGCCAGCAGACTGTGGTCGAAACGACAGATTTTCGTTGTCACAATTATCACTGTGCTTATCATATCACTAAAGCAACGATTATCAAATCCTCAAGTCTTCAAATTAGTAAACGCATCTTTCTTCCTTTCTTTTGAAATTTCAAAAATTAAAGTTCCTTTCCTTACTTTCCGTTTTATCGTGGCTAGCTTATCTCTGCACTATAAATCATATATCGAACTTCTGTAAAATTAATTTCCGTTGTAACTTTCGATATTTCACCGCCATCGAACTATTATCATTTCTTCACAATGTCATTCAAAATATTTCTTTCTTTGAAACCATAAAAATTGCTTATGCTTGCACACTGCTGCATCACATCACTGTCAAACTCGTGAATATTTATTTCCAAGTGCTGATGTGGATGCGCAAGTGTCGCAGATCTTCCCAAACAGACCATCAGTTATTCAGGTAAACAGTAAGGTGTTTTAATTAATACTCGCAATTTGAGCAACCAATAAATATAAGTAAATGAGTAGACGAATGGCTACGCTTAATTTCAAAAAATGATTAGAGAGAATGAGATATGAATACATTTCATCCATTCCTTTGCACATTTTCAGAATCTCCTTTAAAAAAATTTGTGGTATTAAAAAGGTCAAGTAAGGTCACATCACGTTTATTGCTTTCTTCAGAAACTACCGAATTAAGGACGATAAAAGCGCTAATACTATGACAGAACGTTTTCAAATTTTAGATTCAGTAAAATATTATGTTACTTTAAAAAGTAAAATATTATGTTACTTTAAACTAGCACGCGCTGTTTTTTGCGTGCTGTAGAAAGGCGACAATTCGGCGAGACACTTTGTCATATCATTTTGTTTAAGCGCCTGCTAAAGAAAATTACTGAAAATATTTTAGTTACAGTCAAGGGATGGTATCATATGAGTTCATCAAGCTTCTCTTGGCTGTGACTTCTGAATTAGCAAATTAATGTAAGCTACTGGCAATTAATTATTTCAAGTAACATGTCTAAGTTGAAATCAAAGATTTAATATACATTACATTCCATACATAATTAATAACACAATCATCTTTGCTGAGAGCAACATCCATTATTCGGGGACAAGGAGCAATTTCAAATATACCGCTGACCAACATATCTTATCTTTGTTTACTTTATAACAAACAATTAGTCTAACGTCTAAATTAAACATGTCAAAGTTGAAAGTTGCTGATAAAATCGCAAACTATGACTATGACAGTTTCAGCTGCTCACTGAATTTATATGTTAACACTAACAAATACAAATACAAACAATTCCTGAAATGATACATTTGAACTAATGCTCTGCGGAGGTCTCGTCCTATCGATCAGTTCCGTCACAAGCACAGGCACTTCCTGTCCCTATTCTAAAAACTTTGCACAAACGGAGCTCAGTTCCAACTCTCAACAATGCAACGAGCTATATTCCTGTCCGCTGCGGCACATTTCAAATTTCCGTAGCAGCAACAAATCAAAAAGTTGATTTGCCGTTGTTACTTCAACAGTGCTGTGAAAATGTATTAAAGCATCGGTACATTTAAGCCATACAACAAATGCAATGACAAAGAGAATGAGCAAAGCAATATGTACAAACAACATTCAGGTATGCTGAAGAGATCACAGGTATTCAATATTGACTATTTTGTCGTATCGCTTGCTGATACTTCGATTTCTACCGTCCAAATCTTTCTTCGTCAAACTTTGCACTAACCTTTTGTCAGTTCTCGAAAATGTTCGATGTAACTGGAAATAAAATGACTCTTCTTGGACATTGTTGTCACACTGACAGCTCCTTCCTTCATCTCTCTCATTCATGCAAATATTTTTTCAATTATTCGACGACAGAAAAGGCAATCTGTCGGCGTTGTACGACTTCAAACCTCAAAGAGATAAATTGCTGCTGCCAAGATAAGATAGTGTTGGATTTTCGGGCATTACTAAATGTTACCTCCAGCGGTAAACTGTTGGCTGTATATGATAGCACAGAGCGATACACTGGAGTAAGCTGAATACTGTTCGAACGTAATTCACCTTCTTCTATCATTATCTGACCTAAAATCAGCACTTGGTGTGTATGCCGTGGCAAACGTAACATAGTTTCACGTACGACTATTGCGGATACAACGTTCTCAAGCTAATTAATCTTGGCCTTAGTAAACAGAGCACTTCAAAATGTAGCGTTAGATTCTTCATCACAAAGATGACTGTCAACATCGTAGCAATATTTAAACAACGGAAATATAAATTGAAAGTTAGGTTTTTGCTTTCTTACCGAGATTACTTGCTGTGATAAGTGCCACCAGAGGTTTGCCTTCCGGATTCGGACTAATTGTAAAGAAACCGTAGTGTATGTGCTGATCAGTACTGTCATTCCTGTTTATTGCTATCGATCTGAACATTTTAAGCAATCAAAAGAATTGGGAATTGAAGAGTAGTTATTATTCGGAAATCTATCGAAGTAACTGGGTTATCCGATGAATGCATAGGTAAGAAAGAAAATATCGTAAATACCGTTTAAGGTTGAATCTATGTAAATAGTAGATTGGAAGCAATAAATGATTCTCACTTTAAAAAAAATTATCATTTTGGCAGAATAATACCTTACTAACACTTAAATTTCAAATAAATTCAGGTTGAGTGAGATCAGACTTAAGCCAGCAATAGATTATGTGAAACATCAGTTTTGACGTGAATGATATTCTTGTGTCAACATACGTGAAATTGATGCTCGGCTTGCCAAATACCAATACATCAGCGACAGTAATTGTAAGAATTTCCGTGTAAGATATTCCTTCGAAATCTGTCACGTAGTCTATAGTACGTGAACGTGTACCTAAATGGACGACAGAATGTGTTGTTTTCACTTGAAGCATTCTAGCTATTTTACAGCTAAAGTTATCAGAATAAAGTGGACATAACACTGACCAACAGCTGATTTATTTATAACTTACCATTTACTTCAGCCTTCCATATGCCAATCATCCAAGATAGTGGAAGTAAAATTGGAGCAAGCGGTTTTGTCGTTTTCACTGAAATTTACTTCTGAAAATCTCAAGGTAATGAGAGCTAATTCTGAGGAAGTTAATTCCCAATGGATGCAAACTGACTAGCTGTTCTTCCCTTCCTCAAAGCAAAACCGTTTGCGCTAATTGCTGAATTGCTGAATACATTAAGGAATGCTATGCTAAAAAGCAAACCAGTCTCGTTGGAATAAGTGCACTGCCCACAAGATGCAGCGCAATTGTCATCGAAAAATCGCGTATGATCACGCATCTGCTCACATTGACCCTGCTGCTTCCACTGATCGCAACTGCCGTAAATATCTTGACAAGGCCCTTAACACTCACCTCGTTTAACAGAAAAGAAAATGCTGACCATGCTATGTCACTGCATTCATCTTCATCTTAAATAGTACAATATGACAAATGCGCCTAGTTAAATTTTGTTGGAACTAACGATCGCAGTCTTTCCCCATCCATCCTGGCCGGCAGATACAGGAATAATCGTTCCATTTATCAGTGCATTTCGCACCGTTTTTACAGCGTCGAAAGTTGCATTCATTGATTTCTGCAAAAAAATAAACGTTACACATCAAAATGGACACTATGAGGCTCGTGGAGAGTAGAGCCCAGTCCAGTACTGTTGGCTCTGGACTAGAAGAACTCAGACTAGAAGAACCAGCACACTGATTGTTCTCTGGGTGAGGTAGAGAGAAGGATTTTAAATTAATAAAGCTACCGCGTTCACAGTATCTTCCAGAAGCGCCGGGTGGACATTTACAGCCCAGCTCACCGCTACTCTTTTCCACACAAGTGCCATTTCTCCTGCACAGGTTAGGATCACATTTTCCTGCAAATGTTGCTCACAGCCCTTTCACGAAGATTAATTAATTATATGTCATCATTTGAAATTAACGAATTTCAGTGAAGAATGTCATTGCATCAAAGTGTCCGGTCCTGTCCATCCGAGAGAGGTGTATAAGATATGAAAGAATAGAATATGCGTAATGTAGAAGATTGTAAGCCATGATGATTTTAAGATGAACTGGAGACATACTAATTTCAATAGCCTTCCAATAGCAATCAATCAAAACCGGAAAATTCCCACAGTTTTTCGGAAAATGCAAATTGGGAATGAAATGCTTCATCAAATTTGTACATGAGTAAGTATTTTAAGTGTATCGATTTGTTCAAAGTTTATCTTTCAAGTAGCACACTCTTGCTAAATTTGATAAAACCACCTGCAGGAACGGAAAGGTCATCATCAATCAAATTGCAAGCATTCCATCTTCCTGGATAAAGTGGTTATCTCTTATTGCTTCAATAAAGACTTCCTTTGCAGAAAGGCCTGTATATAAGGTCGGGTCGCAATTGACATTCTCATTGATAACTGAGTGATTAGTTCATCTTATGTTTGATAACTTTTTAAATTGGATCAGTGTCTACTCGAAATTAAATGCAACGAAATGATTAAACAAATATTAAGAGATGCGGAAACGCACGTGTGCAGAATTTGCCGGCGTAGTCCTTCCAACAGACGCACTGATAAGAGTCCTTCATGTTGACACATTTCCCCGATACGCAGCTATGTCCGACACAATGATCTTTCGCTGAAGTGAATTAAATTGAGGAATTGAAGTTGATGGAATTTTTATTCATTTGGAATAATATTTGCAGGGGTATAATACTGTTCCGGAAGATTGTGTCTTCTACACGTAGAAATGATCCGGAAAGTGACCATTGAGCTTGCTACTAATTAGAAGGAAAGAAAGGATAAATTCCAACTTTGGCACAGTGGACCAGTCCATCCTTCCTTGCAGGAGCAAGTAAAGCCCACTTCCGCGCCAGTGTCCAAACGACATCGCCCGCCGTTTTCGCACGGGTTCTCGATGCATTTATCTGAAAAGCATTTTAATCACTGCTTGTCAACATCCTGTATAAATTTTCAGACGGATGCATGTCAGCCATAAGTCTAAATTCGATATTGGTCAGATAGATAGATGGTGATGCGAACTTACCCATTCCTGTAATTGTCGTCATTTTCAGTTTTGTTTTGGTCGGTACATTTCCCATAAAGATTTTCGGGAAGCGACCCTCATAAACATGTTCAAACCCATCCAACTTTTCAGTCTGTGGCTTCCACGATACAGAGGTGCGGGTCAACGGAAATCTTGTCGGTGTGGGATTACCAGATTCCTCTAAGGGAGCAGTGAACGGTATATGAGTTGATGGCTCTTTCTCGTTTATTTCTTCTTCAACTTCATTTTCATGACGATAAGCCAAATCTCGTAATGTTTCCGGAATCGACGGTCTTTAAAGCATAAATTTAGACAATAATCAGCTTAGATTGGAGTTAGAGTTGGCACTTTGATGTGTCCGAGATAATATTTTTACATTTTTAGGACGGAACCAACAACATTCAGGAAGTTGAAGATGATCTCTGACCTGATGAAAATAAAGCGAATACTTTCACTCTCTCCATTTCTCTCCAAGAATTTTTACCTTTGAAGCATATGCTTTTCATAGATTGTGTATTGAATACTACTGGCTTTTCCGTCGATAATTGTAAAATTTCCAGTATTTTCCGCAGCGGACACAACTCGTTTGTAGTGATGGCTGTTCTTCGGAGATTCAACAGGTTTTCCCTTCTTAGCTACAAAAGATGGAAGTAACATTGCAAAATTTTTCTCTGGAAAACCCATAAGTAATCGTTTGAAAAAAAGGTGAAAATACCAAAGACTTTACCTAACGTAGACCTTGCTTCAAAAAGTTGCCCAATGAAGAAGGCAGGGTAACTTCAACGGGACAAAACTTACTCTCTTTCACTTCTTTCGTGGATCAAATAAGAAATGTTTTTTTTTTTTTTTTTTCTCAGACATATCTGTTCAGAAATTTCAAATAAATTATTTAGAAAAGAAAAATAAAAATTTAAGTAAAATTATCAATTTAATCTGGTTTGAAGCATAAAAGAGACCAGAAAGTTTTACAGCCACTTTCTTATCATCGATAAGATTGATTTGCTTTCTCTTCCAAGTGATAGGAATGATGAAGCCACTTTCCGGTTGCCACCTCTCCCAATAAATTTTATCTTCCTCAGCGATCGTTAACCTGGCAGTATCAGTTCATTCATGGTGTTTTAAATAAAAACTTAAATCGAAAATTAACTACAATTGCACTTCTCATGTCGATTTTTACTCATTCATTTTTTTTTTTTTTCCAATCTAAAATGGACAGAATAAGAGATGCTAACTTTCTATGCAAGTTCAAAGTTGAAAGGTTATTTTGTGACTGTAGTGCAATTGGCATTTCCATTGAATTACCCTTGGGTATCTTTCTCATCCAATACAAATTCAATCAAAACAAAAGTTTGAGAGTTAGAACTGGATTAAAGATTTTGCTACAGTTGCAAAAAGCAATGTGAAAAGCTACATGAATTGGACGGCACCAATATCTTTGTCAGTAGTCCATTCCAGTTGTACAATGAATTTCTGCGAATCATCGCTATGCGTCACTGAATCCTGCAAACCTGAACCATGCGGATCGCAGTTCTGAATCCGAATCCCGAATGTCTCCCAGCTTTCATTCTCGATGAAACGGCCCCCTTTCAAAGACCCGAGCAAAAAACCATTTTCGTTCGCTAGCCGCCCTTGCAGCAGTAAGCCACGAAAATGTGCAAAGCCAATCAGACGAACTGCAATGGAAATAATTTCTGACTATTTGCTTATTTTCGATTCAATTCGTTTGCTCTTTGACCTTTGGATTAAATTGACACGCAAATTTCATTTACACTACTTACTGGTATAAATCTTTCCTGGCTCATAGTACCGTGCTTCACGTCCTTTGGCATCCATAAAGTGAAATTCGAATGGTGGCGACGTTTCCTGCGGTTTACCGTGCACTATCCGATTCATTCGCATTGAGTGACGCATCATGCAGTGAAAACCACTGAATTCAGTAAGAGCTGCTTGAAGGGAAGTCCAAACACCTGTGGTGACCAAAATGAATAATAGCATTGCCCCTTAAAAATAACTACAAATTTGAAAATATCCAGAAAGTATTCGGTCAGAGCAAAGTAGTGAACAACGCTGGACTCAATTATCCGGTAAACAGGATTTGCCATAAGTACATGACATGCAAAGTTAAGGTTCTGTCGGAATTTGTTAATACACTTTCCTCTTCCTTCTGCTTTTCATTTTCTTGCATACCAACCAATACGATCCGGAAGTTAAGCATAGACAAGACAGTTTAAGGCGAATTAATTTAAGGAAAGAGAGAGAGAGAGAGAGGACAGAGTTCCTATTGGGTCACCTGGATGAAAGTTGTCAATGTCAACCAGGTAGTGGAAAGGGAAGTAATGCTTATGCACATGAACTAGAATATCGTCTTGCTTCTTATTATTATAAGCTCGTTTTTATTTGCTCCGGAAAATTGCGGAATAGAACTGAGAGTAAAATAAACTAATAAATAAACATGACAGTAAACAACTCAACACTGATTGCAAAGCATGCAACAGAGTTCCTCCAGAAATTTAAAAGATCAAAGTTTTCTTGACAACATTTGTGTCTGTCTAGATGAATCTGAAGAAAGAATGACTCTTGAAATGTCACCATCATTTAATGAGTAAAACTATCTCAATCTTTTTTTAATTTCTTTTGTTAAAAAAATTGCACTGAAACTCAACAACGCGAATCATATTTCGTTTTTTTTTTTTTTTTTTTTTTTTTTTTTAAAGGTCAGAAAGGAGTAGATAACTGCAATAAAAGTGATCAATAGAGCGATATGTCAGAAAGGGTCGAATCAGATTGAGTCAGGTCAGGTTATCGCAGGGTTAGTTACGTCATCGGAAACATGTCGTAAAAGGAAAAAATCATTTTGAGATTTAAATGTTATTTTGAAAGTCCGTCCGTTTCTTTCTGAATATGTCGGATGTGTGAAAATGAGCAACTTCTTTGACAGCAGAAGAAGTCTAAATTGAAACAAAAAAAATTCCGCCTTTTTAATAAAAGGCGAAAGTGCCGCTGAAGGATGTACTCGAAAACCAGATTCTCGCATCATTGTAAAACCTGCAGAGTTTTGGGTGGGAAATGTCCGAAGAGATGGATGGACAAGAATCTTTAAAGGCCTGTTATTAGTGCACAGCAACGTGAATTGCTGACAACTATGATGAAGATGATTTATTTTAAATTAGATGAAATACATTTAAAAGACTGACTTTATTACCACCTCACTCTCACTCTTCTTTCACTTTCTTCATGGTCTCTTTCAGTTTTCTGAATTTCATTACGCATAATCTAATTTTGGCACTGCTATATATACTATTAGTTCTCTCTCTTACTTTTCTTATCAAACCAGTGACCAAGATTCGAGAATGAAAATGAACTGATCTATGCATGCAACTGCACTTTTCGGTGATAGTTACTCGATTGATAGGCGGTTTCAGTGGTTCTTACCAATTAGTCTGTTACAATTAAAATGTGATTAAATAGAACTGAAATGAAGAAAGAGAGAGATTGATTCCCTTATTAGGCCGAAATTTAGCAATTGCATTTGAGGAGAAAAACAAAGCAAATTGCAGATTAAAATTTGACACAATCTTTTCGACATTATTGCTAGTCGGAAGAGTGTGGAAGTGTTTCTTGAAGTTTAGCGGTGAATCTTCCGAATTATGATAAAGGATACTATTCCATACCAATTTCTTGCTAACTTGCCTTCTTCAATGGACTGAAGTAAAGAAGTAAGTGAATCAGAATAAGAGACTGCCGGATAATACTGGTAGCCGCTATAAATGGCACTCTTATAATTAATGAAAAATGTTATGAGCAAAAGTTTTAGGGCACTCTGCCGGATGTGATGTTTGCTGGTGAAATTCTGCTACTTAGATGAACAGAATTATAAAGTATGAGAAACAGTTGAAAAAAGTATTTGAATTTTCTTCAGATAAACATTCAAAGAGCCATTTATCTCCAAAGAAATGTTCAACAACAACAAATATTATAGCTCGAAAGTATATTTGCCTAAGAAGAGTCGAGAGTAACATCGAGACATCAACATATGAAAGTAAGTGAAAAGGAAAACGGTGAAAGTTCTACCAGGAGAGTGTCAACTGGTTGACAATGACTGTGTGATGTCCTGCTGCTGCTGGTCATTCCTTTTATAAAGGCGGAGAAATTTTCAGAGAAGTTCTAGTCTGATAATAGCCGGAAGAAGCATCGCTACGAGAAGCGCTTTTGTTGAAAGAAGAGCTGTCAGAACTGGTAAGTTAACTGGTTTAAAATATGTAGAGAGAAACGACTGAAAGGGACAGCTATTAGAAATGCTAATTTTGATAAACCGCTGCAAGGAAATCAGATCATGGAACGGTGATTGAATTGATTTCGAATAATTTGTGAATCAGTGCAGGAAGAAGAAGAGTAGGTAGGAGAAATTCACATCAGCGTGATTATTACTCTCCGCTGCAAAGAAATTTAAGCGGATTACCCGAAAAATAAACTTTGAATCAGACACAAAGAGTTGAGAAGGAGGAGCTATTCTGATATCGAAAGTGATACTTGATTGCTACGCTACCACAGCCGTCATTCCACTACCGGCTAACAGATCTCTGACCACGAGCCCTCCGGGTGATGATCTACTGATGACCATCTGTGTTGTAAAACCTGATGCACTGATGGCACACCGGCACTTGGGATATACCCGGAGGGCATCTGCAAAGCTGCATACATGGGCATATTGCGTGCGAGTTTTCCCTGCATACTAATACTTTGCAAATTTTGAAAATGGAAATGTTGGCAATTCCAGAAGACAAAACTGCAACCTGTTTCCCAGCAAGGCTTATTGCTTGCTCTATTCCGGTTTCTCATTGCTTCTTTCCGTCTAACTGGAATGGATAAATCAATGGAAAGGCTGAAGTTTCAAAAGCAGTGATTGAACAGAGCAGTTGTGACACTCAAGTATCATCATTTTTTTATTTACTGATGCTCGGCTGCTTTGCTGCTATTGACATATTTTTCTCGAGAAATTTTGATTGTTTGATGAAAACAGTGCAAACAGGTTATTACTATCGAGAGAAGTAGACTAAGGCGACAGTGACCTTCACAGCAAAAGCATCTGCCCGTTTTCAATCTCCAATTAGGTGACCTCATTTTCCAAACACGAACAACAACGTTTGCTGCGGCTAAAAAGGTGTGACCAGGACATTGATTGTCTTTTTGGGTCAACTTCTGCCACATCAAAGGTATATCGCAAATCAGCGTTATTCCTATTCTCTGCCATGCTGTCCATTTACCTATCCAATCCACCTGATTCAGTTCAGTTACGTTGCCACCTGTTAGTTAAACCCACTTCAACTCTCTCCTTGCTTATTCTCGATGTCTTTATCGGGATCGGACTGCTTCATAGGTTCGTTATTTCGAATGAGTCTATCCAAACCTATTTTTCTAAGGAAGTGTTGCGAGCTGGTGATATAGTGATAGTACCCAAATGGCGAATACTTGCTTCAAAACAAGATCAAAAAATCAAAACTCCATCCTCAAAAAAGTTCACTCTCGTCCCTGCTTTAGCAGTAGTTTTTCCATCACAACGAGATGATATTCGAGTAGCACCGCAATATTTGCTTACTGTCAATGATTATAAATTTATTAAGAAAAGAACTTGGATCGTTGCTGTTGCATGTTGAAGTCAGCAATTGTTGTAATTGTCAGACTTTACTACTTCTCTTTCCCTCCTGGTTAACGAAATAGATCAGAAAATCTCATTTAACTTCCAATAATCAGCAAAGAATGTAATCATTAATTAGCTAAATTTAATTATGAATTTTAGAGCTTGGAGTCGAGACAACAAGAAACTGTGGCGAAAATTGCTATTTGAAGGTGTGTTGAGAGATTTCTCCTCGTCACACTTTAAATATTACATGTTTAATATGAAAGACTCCGGCGAAGTAATCTCAGCAACGTATTTTTATCCCTGAAAGAAATTGAAATTCGGTGTTACTTTATTATTATTCCAGCAATTTTTCTCCATTATTTCAAAGAATGCTCATTTTGCTATAAGTTTTTCTTCCTAGTGAAAGCTTTGCATATGAAGTACAGTACAGAGAGTTAAAATTTTATGCAAGATTTCATTTCATGAAAATATCTGGAACATGACTGGTTTTGTGTTGGAATACTAATCAACCGGTCAATCTGAAGTACACACAAACAGTAAACGAGGTGCAGTTAAGACAAGATTTGAATTAAATGCCATTGTTGAACAAGGTAGATATATCGAAAAGTAACGCTGTCAGTGTGACACCAACTTGCAAAGCTTCCAAGCAGTTCTTCACTTTTCCTCAGCGCAGCTGTCAACTTGATAATGTCATCAAAATGCCTGATAGTAACCGCAACCACTGACGTAAGTTTGGAGCAGAGGACGACGTTCATTTGATCTTACCGTCAATTTTGAAGATTTATTTGTTGAACTTCTGTCAAACTGCAATGCAAATGTTACAGTGCTTAGATGGATCAAATTTAGTGTAGCAATAAGTTAGTTCGAACTCGCTGGTCTAAATTCTGATAAAGGAGCGAAAGATGAAGTAAATAAATGAGGTGCACACCTCGTAGATCTAAGGTCTGATCAGTACGTGAGTGGTACTTAAGGGCTGCGTAGGCATCCAATCAGTCACACTGTGCTTGAGAGTATCAAATGGATAAGCCTTGAATAAAATTTATTAGAAAAACGAAAATGGAACGTCATTAACTTACAGAGTCAAAGTCATACTGAATGATTAGACTGAGCAGAAAAGATGTCGCCAGGAGTATGCAAAGAAGCTAAAATTTACGATATAATTCGTTCATGAAATCATAATAAATCAAAAATGTACTTTTTAGGTTTAATTTAACTGTACTGCATGAATTAGGAATGTATATATAAGCTTACCGCTAAGGCGATGTACAATGTGGACGAACTGTCATCCTCCGTCTCATACACAGTGCAATATGTAGAAATAGGGACACACACAGAGGCGCAAATGGTCATCAAAAAATCATATCTGTATAGCTGGAAATTTCAAAATACTGTCAATATTTTAAAACGACTATTTCAATTTTATGGAATGCTCAAATTGAGTTTGAAAATTTTCCGAGAAAGTTGAAAGCTTTTCAATATTTCCGATTGCTGAATTATGTAACTTCAGGAAAACTGCTTTTCTTCAATATATGTTTCGGACGCAAAATACTTTCAAACATACTATGAGGATTTCTTATCCTCTATGATACGAAAATGATATGAGTTATAAGTGTAATCAATTTGATCGATTGATCCAAAATTAAGAATTTTTTGATGAAAGATTTTCGGCAGTTATAGAATCCCAAATAATGAAGGCTTCGGTTTCCGTACAGCCACGAATGTGAATAGTGACAGTGAAGGTGAATAGAGGGAGAAATTAGAAATAAAAATATGTGACAGCGGTTTTTTAATCTTCATTATGCTATAAGATGACAAAAGTAAGTGAAGAAGTAAAGTTAACAAGATAATAGGGTCTGCTAGGCCAAGAAGGCAATTAAAAGCAGCCAGAATCAGAGATAGAAGGATGCAGGCCATATTGAATTCTGTCCTAGCAAACAATAAGTGCAAAAGAAAGAAAATCGCAGACGGCATTGACTGTCATCGAAATGATTTAGAGTTGACTGGTCTAGCAGTGTTGGCATTTCTTTGCTAAACTCACATATTCTGTTTGCACTACTCGCAATGAAGGAATGTGATAGGTCAATTGCGCAAGTATACTGCCACTGAGCGCCGCCAGAGCAATGAGCCATAGTAAGCCGTTAATTAGTAGCCAAGGCACAGAGGCCAAGGAAAGCAGTACGAGTACCGCCAGTCCCTGAAAAGAGTGAACAAATCAGAAATTGAGCCAAATTTTTAGAATTTCAAAACAAACTGTTAAAATCATAAAATGCTAAAAAGTTTTCTGCAATTTATGCAAGAACAGAAGATTGTAGAAGTCGAATCTATGCCCGACCTTCTCTACCTTTTGATGCTGAAAACCACTTTTCTAAGCAAACCAGAAATGCAGAATGCTGCAGAAAGCAACCAACCATCTGTAGAAACCTGCAATAAACAATCATCTTCAGTGAACAGCTTTCCCTTGTGGCGGTAAAGGAGCAGTAATCGGAGGCCATAATCTGAAAGTTGCACTTCTCTTCATGAAATTTACTCAACTAACCAATAAGTAAACTTTTTCAATCGCAATTGCTTACTTTTATATGAAACCTAAATTTTTTATTATTACTTTTGTTTTCAATTTTTTTTCGACTAAGTTTTTCAGCTTTACCTATAGTGGTCACACTTATATCTACAGTTTGCTTATCTTATTCTAGGGAAGGAGAAAAACGGATTTGTCTTTTAACTGAAGAAGTTAAGAGCGAATTTTCAGAATTCCTCAACAATTAGCTTACTCATACAATTAGCTCCCGACAGCTTTTTATTGTTATGAAGCAGCAGGTGACGAATGACTTAAATGTCTAACGACTCGTTTCTCAGCCGCTTTTCCTAAAACCGGAACTAAGGAAACAACAACAACAGAAACGGATGAGATGACGTACGTTTAACCAAAACCGCTAGTGATTTAACGTGAGAAATTCCAAACCAATTGCTAAAGAAATTATTACAAAACAGTGCAAACTTTGCTTAGAGTTTTATTTTAATATTTCCTTAACACACATTAAACTGATAAAGATGCTATATTAATAGATCCAACAGGAAAGCATGAAGCGCTATTGTCGCAAATCAGAGTGCAATTTCATCTTTTCTGACTGATAGTTAAGCATTCACAACATTTCTTCCAACAAAAATACTTTGTAGCGCAAAGTTGAACCCAGCAGGACCCAAAGTGTGATTAACCCTCTGAGAAGTTCTAAAGCACTCTTTTAAATGTGACAGTAAAAAGAAACGTCCTTAACAATCGCAATGCAAGTTTTAGCATGTGATGCAAGCACATGCAATTCGATGTCAAACAAGCAAACATTGGCATGTTATCAATTTTCTGCTATAATAAATTATCCTTTATATTAATTCTAATTCCGGAAATGCAACCAATCCAACATGTAATGGTAACATTTCCGGATTTCATCAATCGGTCTTCTGACTTAACTTGCTGTATTGGTTACAGAATAACAAGGAGTGTTATTTGACTTCAAGAGCGAACAAATTTTCTACATTAAATGCAACCATGCCACTAGCTTTATTGTTTTTATTCTCGTAACGATCAAAGACATTAATTAAAACATAAAAGTTAATTAAAATATGAAAAAGTCGACCATAAAATACAAAGAAATATCATCAGCTGAGCTAAATAAGTAAACGAAATCATAAATGAAAGAGTAAGCAACGTTGATAAGCAGATAGAGAGGCAATTACTCGACATTTCCTTATCAGTTGATAAACCTACGGTAAACACGACAAAAGTCTCTGTCACATCCTTCCATTCAGCTTATTTTTGAATGCTTTAGATAACGATGTGGAGGGAACCTCTGAATCAAAAGCTGTCCACTGAGCTGCTGAGCTGCTGAGCTATTCACTGAACTGGTGAACTGTCCTGTAAGCGATGATCTGTGCAACATTTCCTTCATTTGTGATTTGCTCTGCAAGAAGATTTTGAGGAAGGAACAACTCAAATTTTTGCATACGTATGTCAAATGTAAACGACTAGCAGATGTACCTACCTGCGTTTTCTTTAGCTCAGGTAAAAGAATTCGTTAGCAAAAGATATTTGAATTTTTCAGCTAACACTGCTTGAAAAGAGAGAATGAGCAATTCTTTAGAAGGTTGGAGCTTAGCTATCGAAAGAGAGGTTAGGAGTTGGTGTGATGGACGTTTACGTTGACACGTGAAACTTTGTGGTTTACTGAATGGAAACTACCGCAACGATTTCTACTCTCTCTCCGAGAATCTCTTCATCATTCAATTTCGAGTACACAGGTACGCGCTAAGCATTTGTTAAACCAATTTTAAAAGTTGACAAACACTAAAATTTGTGAGTGATGCGTCTTACCAACTTGTGCACTGTTTTGGGTGATTTGCAAAAGTAAACAATATAAGCATTTCCTTAGTAAATCTTAAGGGAACTTAAAAGAAACGCTTGTCGCTATGAAATTCCTATGAAAGAGTCACAATTAATCACTAAATTAATCTTTCGAAATGTTATCTAATTCTACTCACAGCTAATTAATCACCAAATAATCAACAAACTTATTTAATTTCTTTTCAGTTTACTTCCATAACTTTTATGTCAGAGTCCATTGATTATAAACTGAATGGTATTGGACAGTTGTCCTTGACTACTGTTTACTGTTAATTATATTTACCTTACCTTCTACACTTTTCTTCTAAGTGCACTAATTTGCAAACTTATTCAGTCTTGAAAATTCTTCTTTTCCTGTGCAGGTGATTTGCATCAATTCTAAATCATCGTCACATTTATGCATCCATCTAGAGTTGTTAGTTCATATTTTAAATAAAGGTCAGGAAATATTACAAAATTAATTAACTGCACTGCAATGCAGAAATTAAATAGAGGTGAAAGTTCAAATGTGAAACTTTGCAGTTTCTCTTAAGCTTCGAGTTTTCTTAGGAATGAAACGTAAGGAATAAAACAAAGTGAAAATAATGGGAAATTATGCCATTTAATTAATCTAGCTAATTAATTGCTAAATAGTTATAAATTCCATGAATTACATCGCAGTACAGATCATTGCTGAAACAATTATTGTAGTAGATCTAACGAAATTTATCAAACTAAGACTAATTTTCCAGATTTCCGGTTGTCAAATTAGTTCTTTATATAAACTAACCAACCTACTCCACTAACCATTACTCATTCTAAGTTTTTGGGTAGTTTTGGGGGTATTTTAATAATGTTTTATGATTTTATTATATTCTTTATAATTGTATTATATCTATGCGTTGTGCGTTGTTATAATGTTGATTTGTTTGATTTAATTACCCAAGTTTGAGCTCGACAAAATAAATTATCTAACAGTTACTAAATTCCACGACAGAAATTTTTGGTGCCGAAAGTGAAGTATGTCTGTCAGCATGATTGTCAGAGCGAAATCGTAAAAGCAAATCTCGAGGAACTCCTCGATGAAATACTCCGTTAGATCAAAAATCGACAATGGAAGTATTCTGCCAATAATATGAAACGATAGCAAGAATCATCAGGGAAAAATTGATGCATCTCGAAAAGTACGTTGTCCCTTGAATAGATGAAATATAATTATAAAGGATATAATACTATTATAAAAGACTAAAATATTATCAAACCCCCAAAAAACTATCCAAAAACGTAGAATGAATAATGGTTAGCAGGGAAGGTTGATTAGTTTATATACAGAAGTAATTTGACAACCGGAAATCCGGAAGAAAACATTCTCATGAATGTAAAACAAAGATTGGTAATAAGATTAGTTTTGTTGTGTTAGAAAAGAGGGCATAATTTAGCATGGTAAACATGGATTAATTACAAATACAACAATATTTGGTGATTGACTTATCACGAATGAGAAAAATGTTAGCATTTGTATGTAATTTTAAATGTTTTGTTTTTTACCGCCGACTAGGACCAGTTCATCGTGAACCAAACCCGAATGAACATTTGTTTCACTTCAAAATTTTCTCCAATTACTTTGTTAGCAAAACGAGCATTCGGGCCTACATTTTACCAGTAAGAAATAATTTTGTTTAACTGATGCTTTGAGCTTTGATTAACTCTTGGAAAGTATTCTCTTCGTCTCTGTGTACAGAGAGTTGTTCAGGTGATTGCAGAATAGTAATCAATTAGCTAAAGGTAAGATGAATACCGCGGTAAATTACTTGAAGCATTGATTTAATCAACGTCCAAATAGTAAATTAATGTTTGCCACTGCAAGCACTACGGTCATCTATTTGCTGAATGTACTTACCTTGGAGTAATTGGACTCGTCGGGATTCATTAGGCTCTAATTAATTGTTGGCCATCAGCTAAGAACCACCGTCATCCTTTGACGTGAGTTTTACAGCAACTTCTTCGTCAAATCCTCAATACCAGTTGTCATTTATGATCCATTACGGTTGTCAACTAATGGGACATTTTGCACTGCAAGTTTTCCCCATTTTTAATATTTATTTTTCCTCATATCTTTCCCAATACTTAATAAGTATCATTTGCTGATTATTTTCAACTGCTTGGCTCAACTTGCTGATAGTTATCAGACTCAAATCCTGTTGCAAAGAGAATTACGGATGGTTTTCAGGTTTGCCTGAACTTATGTCACAGGTAGACATCACACCTTGATTGGCTAGAATTTCTGCTCATTTTCAAATTACCTTACCACCATCTATTAAACGTTTTATATTTTTTTGCTAGCAGAAATCAATCGTTGAAACTGTATTTCTGAATAATAAACCCAAAAGCTACTTTAGTTGCACTCAACTCCAACCCTTTTCATTTGCAAATTTCTTTGCCTACCACAAAACTGCATGTGGCCATGTCGGCAGTTCCGGCCAAGTATATTGCGATGCTGTAAAGTGCCTCGATCAATAAGTTAGAGCCACAAACCTCTTTCTTGTCTAGCCTTATTCCTTCATTCCAAGATAAACAGTAATGAATTGATAACACATATTTATTCCAAAACATGTCGCAATATGAAGCATCCAACAGCACTCAACTATTTCTGATGCAGAAATTTTAATTCAAATCTTAAATACAAATTTAGATATTCGTGGACGGTACTCTTCGAATGATCACCGAAGTACAGCATCGATGATCAATTATTATAGCTGCAACAATTCAATCCTTAATCATCAAATTATTCATCAGCTTATAATTCAGGTGCCTAAAGCTTTAAACCATTTAAAAAGTAAGAATTCTTCGGTCCCTCCATTATTAGGATTGCTAAAAATACATTAAAGCACTTGAAAAGTACCAAAAGTTCCTTACAGCTTAAAACTAGCAATGTCGAAAATTTCCGAGATTTCCTGAAACTTTTCCCGCCCGTAAAACAATTAATCCGGATGATACCAAGCACTTTACCTCTTCTGGATATTATCATTACAAAAAGTTTAAAGGTAAAAGTTTCAGTTATCTGTTTTGTATAACTTTTTAAGAAATTCTCATTGTACTTTTCTTTTCCGTAACGTTCATTGCTTATTTAGTTATTCAATTAAACATTTCAACAATTTAAGTTTCACAAAACTAACAGCAGCAAAGGTGCGCTGCACTACAACGAGTTATTCAATAATTTGTTGTGGTGGATCGCATATAATGAACAAAAGAATGTCCCACAAGTTAGAATCTCAAAGGTGGAAATTACCAGAGTCACTCAATCGAGAAGCAATCTCTCTTCGACAACTTATGAGGTAGTGATAGACTTTAAATCAAAAAGAGAAGGAAGAAAGGTGAAGGCAACTTTTGGAAGATATATAATTCAGGACTGGGAAAAACACATCCGATCGATTTTGGCAGCAATTAAGATCGATAGTCCATCTATTTTGGAAGCAGCTCGAGATGTCGAACTTTGTTTAGCTGATAGTTTAGAAGCTCTGGGATGTCACGGTCTCATCAATTGCTCCGAGGGACTCATTCGGTAATTTGTAAAATGAGATTTCTTTAAAGGAAGAAATTCTACTGATATATATCTCATCTAATTGCTCATTCAGATTGCTGGATGCGATATGTCTCGAGGTGTCAAACCACCAGAAAAGGCTGAAACAGGTCGCAAAACAACTCCGCAATCTGAAGATTGATAAAAGCGAGTTCGGTACGTTCGTTGTATCTCGTAACAAATAAATCAACGGTTTTTAATTATCAACAATAATTACTTTCAAACTTTAATTCGTTTGGCTATAAATTTGAAGAAGTGAGTGAGTGAAGTGTTGACGTAATGAGAAGGGGATGACGAGGAGTCGAAGGAAGGATTACCTTGCCAGTTGCAGAAGCATCCAGTGCTGCAAGTCATCATCGTCACGTGAATTTGCACTTGTCACAGGTGTATCTCCGAATAAGCAACAATAACAGAATCAAGAATTTCCTTATCGAATCTCTCATCAATCCGAACGTATCTTTCGTTTCCTTTTATTTCAAACTTTCTAGTCTTTTCTGAAAATATCACACAACAAAATAGCATCACAAATGATCCATTTTGATATATATAGTTAAGCAGCTTATTGCGCATTGTTTGTCGAAGAGTAATTTGTGATCAAACGCTGATCAAATTGTACAAAGTGCTGGTGAACTCGGCTCCATCCGATTATGCTATTTCGGAAACGGATCCGATAGTAGCTGATGTGATAGCAACATTCAACATGGCATATCATAGGGTAGGTGAATGAAGACCTTTTCTAGCTGGAAGCTAAAGTATATGCTATCAAATTTGCTATCAGTTATCACCGCCCAGCTTAGCTCTAAAGCTTTTAATCCATTTGCAAGGAAAGAAGAAATTCTTTTAGCTCATTTCACTGAGAGATGTAAATTAACTTTTCGCTTTGCTTATCACACACAATATATTGAATACTTTTAAAGTGACTCATCAATTTTCAGCTTTTAAGCTTAAGCTCAATGAATCATTATCAGTTCAATGAATGTCCAAATAGCAACAAATACATCAGTGAAACGAGTCACGAAGAGGGTTTGTTTTCTTTTGTAATTTGCATTTCTGGATAAATCGCATTTCCTTAATTCTTATCTTTACTGTCAACAATAGCTAAAACTTTACTGAGAACCATTTCTCGACTGACCAGCTGTGCTATCAGCATTGACCCCCCGAAAGACTCATTTTATCAACTTTTTAGATTTAGCACAATATCGCTTGCTTCTGTCCACTTCAGACACTGACACCGAAACAGATCCTTCGTGCTCTGACTTAGCCTCGTCCAACTCACAAATTGCTATTGCATCATCCTTTGGAAAAGTATTACACATTTCTTATCGAAATCTCATCTACTTTGTCTAATTTTACATTGAGTCATTTGAAATAAACAAATTAATTCAATTAATAAGTGGAAAAGATGAAAAGTGAGATAAGAAGAAAGGTGGTGGTGAATAATTTTAAAAGAACACAGTTTCATTTATCTTTGTAGGGTATTCAACGAAACAATCGGAAAAGAAGTGGTCGAATGAAGAAAGGTAAATTCCGTTTGTTCCTGAATTTTCCTGAAAGCGTACTACTAGTAGTGGCATGTAGTGATGAGTTTTCATTTATTCACATTTTTCTGTAAATTTCAACTTCATCTTTCTTAAGGTTATTCAACAAAGATTCATCCTCGGAATAATTCAACATCAACGGGAAACAACGGTGTTTCACGCCATCACTCGTTGATTGATCTCCGCTACAGCAGCTGCAGCTGCAACAATCGCTGTATTGCGCGCAGCGGAATGCGATCTGCAAGAAGTATGAATAGTTTGAAACACAACGGTAATTAATTGCATTTTAATTTTATTGCGATGACGATTACAATGCAAAATTAAATAATTTGTTGTGTCGTGCTTTTAAAGATGAAAATCATTGATGACGTGAGTCACGCAAAAATCAGACTTGTCTTTCTGAAACCTGCGTAAAATGTTCAGCTTCAACGTGTAGATCAAAATTGACGAATTCTTTTTCTACAGTCAAAGTATATCAAAAGATCCCTCCACATTATTTTAAAGTGACATCATCAAAATCAAAAGAGTTTTAATCGTCTCTACTTCATATGTATTTTCACATGTATTCCAAGTTATCTTCGTAACTTATCTCAGTTACATTCGTGCTATGTTTACTTAAACAGGTCAACTAATGTCAAAAATGAAGAAATGGAAGTTATGAATAAAGATAAGCTTGGAATTGCTCAGCTCACCTTGTAGCATTGCCCTTTCTGATCTCTTCCACTTTGCAAATATTTGAAAGTTGCGAAGATTTATTTCAGAAAGTTGTGCATTTTGGTATCATTAATTTAAAAAAAATTGCAAAGAATGAAGCGAGGATATCTGTATCAGTGATAAAGCTAACCAAATTTACTTGCCACAATTTTTGAAAAAAAAGTGAATTGATTATAATTTCATATTTAGCTAAATAAATGTCAAAAAAAAATGACAGCGATCGTTTCAATCTGTAGAAATCTTGCATGAAGTAAAATATTTCATGATCCGATGCACTTTTCTGATAAGTCTCTGTTGAGTGAAGTGAAAGCTCATGTTAGTTACATTTTTACTTGATCAAATAGATTTTTCGATCTGAAATATATTTTAGATTCTACTGCGCAATCACATCATCATTATCAGATGCTCGTGGATCAATGTTCGCTTGCTAAAGATGATGCGAAAGTCAAAAGCTTCAAATCAAATTCACTTTTTTTCTTTTTTAATGGGACTTTTTGACTGACAGAAATTAATTAAATGTCTTTTTCTTTTCGCTTTAGATTTGGAGTGGAAAAATGGCAAACATTGAAATTGAAACGCTGTCTTTCAGCATGTGAAGTTGTCCAAAAATTCATTTAAATACTTTAAACAGAGAGTCCTACACATAGCAATGAATAATTATAGCGATTCTATCTAATATCATCGAAATTTTTAATTACAGATAGAGCGATTGTACAGTGAATGCTATGAGACCAAAAGCCAAGTTCAATTAATGGCTGAGCAAGAAAATGAAAGAGCAATTGATCGGTTGGATTAACTGCTGAATTTTTTGATTAACTGCAAAGGTGTCGAAACATTAGAATTGCTCTAAATTTTTAGATTCTCAAAAAAGGAACATTCGTTTGGTGTTGCGAAAAACAAAGACAAAAATAGCTGTCGTGCTACATGCGAGGAAACATTAGAACTGGTCAAGAAATTTAGAAATCTGTACTACAAGGACGGAAAGGAAATCCTGAAAATACTGGAGGGATTGCCAGAGTTCCGCGGTTCCAAGGATTTACAGCATAAAATACTTATGTTAACCGTTGTGGTAGGACTCTTTCAAACTTTATCAACAATACGGGTACACAAGTGATCATCAGGTATCTTCAGCATAGGAGGTGCATTAGTTCAGTCAGATTTGCGCTCATTCTTGAAATGGTTGCTGGGCTTTTTTTTTTTTTTTCAGCTCTCTTATCGCTCAGTGCAGCAAAATGTGGAACGACGACGTCGAATGATTTTTAAAATTCTCGGCGATCTACCATCTGAGAACGAAGAGAGTGAGAATCTTGAAGATGCAATTTACAAATACATGAGTCGAAAAGCTGTCGACGACCATGGAAAAAATAGCATCACCAAGGCATGACGAATGAAATTTTTATAAGTTGCAAGAATTAAATGCAATGCTTCATATGTAACATACTTCAACGTCATACTTTTATACGTGAAACATAGATGTGTCAGTCGTCTGGTAACAGTACATAAAAGTTAACATACACTTGACGTGTGACATTAGCAAGAAGAAAGAAATGAACCGATTCAGCCCTCTTTTCAACATGATTACTTTTGCTTTCATCTATGCTAACTAGCATTACTTTGCTAGAAAAGTTTCAGTTTCAGCAAATAATGTCACAGATCCGAAATGCATTGTGTAACTTTCCATCTTTGAGAAGTTGCACCTTTTTCAATAAATTTATTTTGGACTGCGTGACAACAACATGGAGTCTTGTGGTTGGATTGAACGGAAAGCCGCCAAGGTGCTGAATTTTGATTTTTGCATTCTGCAAATTGCGCACAACAATAATGCTCGGAGCTTTATCCTCTGATTGAAACTGCATGTAAAAGAAGAGTAAAGAGATGTATTCTCTGAGAAAGAAAACAATTTTGTATATTTCTCCTCGGAATTGCACACCATTTGCCACTATTTAACTTCTCCTGCATTTTCAGAGAATGAAAGTTATTTTGAAGCTGTCTGCTTGTAGGATGTATATCGAATATCAGGGTCGACGGTTCGACGCCAACAGACATCAGCGACACATCGTCTCCTCCAACATTCGAAGCAGCACAGTTCGACAATACCTGTGGCCTGCCATTGTTGACAAAAGCACCGGCACGTGTGTGCACAAAGCTGTTGTAATCACTTAGACTTAATGACGTGTTATCATTGCGTGATAACAGTAATCATATCAGCAGTGCAGTCTGACAAGCTATATAGAGAGAGCAAATATAAACTTTACCTTCACCCCAACCTCATATTTTAATACTGCTTCTTCTTGCCTTTTGCTTTTCTTTTCTCTACGTCCAGTTGATCACACTAATTCTGTCCAGAAAATACTAACTGACCTAATGATTTCAAATTGTCCAACTTCCATTAACATAGTCCCAGCGGGAACGGAATTTTTAAGCTTAATCGCAAACAGTTTAATGCAAATGATAATTGTTAAAATAGTGAATAAAAATTGGACGAATTTCGTTATGTGCAACTGCTCGAGACAATACATGAATTTAGAGCATTCTCGAGGAATAAATCTTTGCAAACAAATCTCTACAGATCTATCAGTGGTTGCAACCATACATTCAGAGTGTCTGTCGCTTTGTCGGAATTGTAAAAGACTTGAAAGTGAGCTTAAGTTGGGATTACTAAAACTAACAATGCAAACTAGCAAAGAGGAAAATACTAGAAAATGTACTTAATGTGATGTCGTTGCTTAAAGTGGAAAGGATAGAAGTTGAGGCGCTTGCGGTGATGTCCGAGTGAAAAGTTATACAAAGGTCATCAGTTACACAAAGGTCATCCACACTATTAAGGTCCAATACGTCACGGACGACGGATTTCTCTTCTGCAGGAATGGGTTTTGAAGAGAAGCGTGAAGCAGTGCCACCAGCGATTGATGAGGTTGAAGCATTTGAGATCGATATTTTATCTTTCATGAGTTATCCACACTTATATCAGAAGGATGAATGATTGATTGATTGATTGACTGACTGAATGTTCATCAGTGCAGTTCAGGATGCATTTGCTTATCTAATTTGATCAATGTTTACGATTGGTTTTCTGCATTCCGTGAATCATTTTACAATCCGGTCTTTACCCTTTGATGGGAAGGTGGTTCCGGAGAGAATGTCTTTATAGCACAGACAAGCGCTTTCCAGTTGATCAGCTTCCGGCAAGCAGTCCTCCTGACCTCTAAACTAGTCTAAACCTTCCATATCTTCAGAGTTCTCTCTATGTCACAAAATTTATGTATGATAACAATTTGAAATCAGATTTGCCGCGCGCGCGTCATTACCGCACCATATTACGACGGAGATACCTTTATCACATTGCTGCGGCATCTTTCTCTTTCTTCTAATGTCCTCATAGTTTGACCTTTCTTGATGTCACTTCCATTTCGCTAAAGTCGGTTTTCATGACTGGTGGCTGTCACCAGAAAACTGAAGAGCGAAAAGAGGCGCGCAGCCTTTATCGATTGATCGTGTTTCCTTTCAGTTGCATTTTTTTCTTTTTTCATTGTAATTTTCAGATTAGACTTATATATTCATTCCTCAGAAGAGACAGACTCGTTTGGAATGAATCCGGAAGGTGAGGAGTCTCAGGTATCCACGAATGAGGCTGTAGATGATATAATGGATGTTGGTTCAAGCTCAAAGATTGTCAGATCTCAGCCATTTCAAAGACGAACCCGAGACTGTGACCTGGATGAATCAGCGGTCAAGGTCGAGTTAAGCGAAACTGTTGTTAGCAAAACATCAAAAAGTGTTAGTTAGAGTTCTCATTCTTATTTTAACACTATCATTTGTTATCACTGCTTTATTATTAAATCAATGGTAACAACCAGTCGTAGTGTGTTAGTCAATAAAAAGAAAATATGGTGAACATTTGTATTGTTGTTTCAGATGATTAAGCTTCCTGCTGCTAAATTCTCTGCAAAGATAATATTCTTTGAATTATTCCTTTTAAATCTCGCATTCATGCCAATGAAACTTTTGTTGATTTTTGTAGTTGAAAGCTCTTTTTGAGCAGCAAGAATACGAAGAGATGCGAAATACCTCATGGGCTGATCTGATGGAAGAAGAAGTAACAAAATCAAGAAGTGGCTCACAATCACAGAGTAGAGAAGAGGTTATAGCACCGAAAACACGATCAATAGAGAATGATTGTATCGTTTTAAGTTCTGACGAGGAGTGTTCAAGCCTGTCATCTACTATTAAGCAGTCAGATATGGATTGGAATAAAACCACTGCATCGAAGAAAAAACGAAAGACGAAATATAGGTAAGGATGAATGACTTTTTTAAGAAAGAATCTCATTCCCATGTCTTAATTCATCTCCTAAGTTTATTGTGTAACAAAAGGGAATAAGAATACCATTCAACTCATAACTATTAAAGAATAACATAAAGGTGAACATTAAGAGAAATTTCTACTGTGTTCAAGAAAGCATTTTAGGACGATCTTTGTTTGCAATTTCCACTTTATCATTCTTTGTTGTCTTCCTTTCATGGGCACAGGGTTTTGCACTGCTACATGATTTCAGATTTAAACGCAATGTGGAGCTTACAGAAGCGTTGGCTAGTCAGGCATTAAAAAGTGATGTTCAAGTTTCCGGAAGACTGGTAATTCTGAACTTATATCACGCCAACTGCAATTTTTCATCGGAGAGTAGTTCATAGCAAAAGACATTTTGAAAAACTGCTGTGACGACAAAACATTCAGGAAAAATCCCAATGTATTTTTGTCTTTTTAGCGTCGTGCTATTAAGCGAGATAAAGTGCAAGGAGTTCAAGCGTTATCTGCGACGAGTACTGATGATGACGATGGTCTAACATCTTCGAAATGTCAGAAAAAAAGAAGAAAAGATGTACATAAGGAAAAGACTGTTTATGAAGCTAGTAGTTCGAAATTTGACTCTAAAGACTTGCCTCTCAGTGGTGTTAAACGTTCTAGTAGAGAAAGGTTCGTTATTTGCTATCAAATCTTGTTTTTTGTTCATTTCTAAAGATTAGTGTTTCTTGTCAACAAACGATGATAGATTCTAGTGGTATGATAATTACAGTTCGCCTGGAAGTATTTCTAGTATTGCTTCCACGTTACACATTAAGCAGGGTTGGTCAGAACCAAAACTTGGTTGGTGCAGAGATGAAATTACTCTTCTGAGGCGTTCAAAGGTATCGTTTTCGTAGTCATTTTTCTAGCAATTGCTACACTTTTTATATTGTTGGAGTTAAACTGCTCTAAATATAAAAATGTGATATTGAAAACAGGAAAGTAATTTTTATTTTATTAAGGAAATCGAAAAAGCAAAGGGAAAGCCAGTATACGCGAAATATCTTGCGAAAGTACCGCGACATGCTCGGACGAAAGATATGCCAAAAACTCCTAACAAATATATCTCGTACTCACGTAGATCGTGGGATAAACAGGTTATTTTTAAAATTTACTTTGTATTTTTACTGGAGCTCTTTTTCTTTATGGAATCTTCGAAGTTCGTATATCTTGCGCCTTGTAGGTACGTGTATGGAAGCGGAGATTATATGAATGGGCTGATGAGGAGCCGACTCAAAGCTGCTTAAGCTTAAATGAATCTACAAGTGATGACATCTCGGATAGTGAAATAGTTTCTTCGTCTCCTTGTACTTTGATGTCAGATGAAAACAAATTGTCTTTGGATGAAATCAAGGTATGCAATATTATTCTGATGGTATAAGTTTTTTTAGGGTGATTAACCCCTGTTACTGTTCATGCAGTCACTTCATCTATGCACCTTGTTAATTAAAGCATATTTGGTGATGCATTGCACATGGAATTTTGGTTGAAAACCTGTTGATTTATCCAGACTATCCCTATCTGTATTTATCAATATTTTTATTTAATATCAGGTGGAACAGGATGTAGCAGCTTCCCTTCTTGGTTATCTTGATATCGATACACGAACCAATACACTAACAATTATGAAGACTGATGATGAATCAACGCTCAAAGGACCATCTCGCAATGTTCTTGGACCTCGTGATTTTAGTCAGCTTTAGCTCATATCAATTTATCAGCTGGCACTTCTGTGTGAGACTAAATATTCCAGTGATATTTCGAAATTATTAGTGTTGCATTGTATAAGGAGAAATACTTGCCTTTGATCAATACGTGGAAAGAATCTCGTGTAATTGCATTAGATGTATGTGCTCATGAGGTATTCATTTACCACATCTACGAGTGACTTATTGACGTGAATAGATTTCTTCTTGTTAATTTTGGATGAATTCTTCATTCTCTGTGATTGACCTTCTCGTTGTTAGATTTTACCAATGACAATAATTTTTTTCTGAGTTACTACTTTATACTCGAAACTCGTGAATGAATTATATGATTGTTGTTTTAAAGTTTATAGTATATTATTTATTCTCATCATCCTTTTGTCTTTTATTTTCTCCACGTTTTGTTACTTATCATCTCTCCTGTTATGCATCCTCTCTATTTGTATAATTTAAATGGAATAAAATTCCAGCGAAGAAACGAAACCGAATAATTTTTTTCTCTCAGCTTTAACTGTGCCAGCATGCACTTAACCTTTCACCTTACTTCAGTAAACCGTGTTAGTATCAAACGCTGTAGAACTGGGTGTCTTAGATGTGCATTCATCTTGTCATTTGCAAATTTAAATTAAAAACCATCTTCATACTCGATATGACTTTCTCAGTTACTACTTCTTTCCTCTGTCTGTCCAATTTGTATGCCAATGTCACTACTATTACTATTTTGCATTTTGCAACCGTTAAATCTTTCTAAAATGACTACATGTGACAGATTTTAGGAACAACTTTTTGCTATTTCAGTTCATCCTATTTAGCCATCTTTCAAGGTACTCTTGGCAACTACAACTGGATGGATTGATCGGTCAGCAAAATGATATGTCCTCTCGGTTTGCTGAAGGTTTCGTAGAAGCGTTCTCTTCGATACTCACCCATCCCTACGCTGCCCAGAAGTGTCTACACTATCCACGTGTCTACAGTGTGTGTTCACGTGTTCACACTGTCCACCGTTACTGCACATGAGTAGATGGATGTATTTCCGGTCATTGTTCTTTCGACGAGTCAACTTAATGACCGTTGCGTTGATGACTAACGTCTGTCCAATTACTAAAATTGGCCTGGTGTTTACGATATGTGTCCTAGCATATTTCTAGACGAACATTCTTTGCTCCTTGGCGGTATGCAGCAAATGAGATTTCTCATTGGTTGTTCGAGAATTATCTCAGGAAGTGACAGGAAATATGCGAATAGTCGCAGCATCAGGAGAATACGTTGGCCGACTCACTTGGATCAGATCTCGAACCCTTGCGAGCATTCAAATTAACAAATCACGCTGAAACACCAAGATCGTTTCATATTGCTGAATGATTGAAAATTGTTGAAAGTCTGTTTACTTACTTTCATTTGCTGATTCTATCAGTCTAGTCAAAGAACATTAATTCATGACTAAGCTCAAATATGCTCCCTTAAGTTTAGGTAACTTTTACATTCCCGAGGAGCAGCTTTGCTAGGTTAATTCGATTTCATAATCAATTCGACAACTCCTTGCAGTTGTGACGGTCACAAGGTATACTTTTCAGTGGTCACACGATTGACCAACCAGCTCTCTCCCACTCTCTAAGGAAGGATGAATGGATAGATGGACAGATGAATTTTCCACAAGTTATTTCGGAACACTTATTGAAGTTTAACTATGATTTTAGAATTAATAGCACATTTATTCGGATGAAAGTAGAAAAAATCATGAGATTTATGACACTAACAGTGAACTCACTTAGGATCAGATCAGATCAGATCATTTCAGAAAATGTCTTGAAAAGAAGCTGGCATTAAAACTGATCTCATATTTATCATACTTTAAGGATTTATTACTTGGTTTTTTATCAGTTTACTTTCATCTTGAAATGTAGCTGAAGGAATAAAATTCAAAGAAGCTAAGAATTAGTTCTGATTTAGTAGGTCTCAAAGAAATTGCATTTAATTAATGAATGAATACGTTCGTACTGCTAAATTCGCAGGACAAATGTCGTTCCGTGTTGGTTGACATTAATATAGCAGAACTTATCAATGTACAACTAGTAATACCGGTTCCGTAATGCTTATAATATTCTTTGTTCATGATCCGGTTTCTTGTCCCTAAAAGGTGCTCATCGTTACACTGACTCTTTTTTCCTATTCCTTTTAAATCCTAGCAACTCTTGTCTTGCAAAAGGCATCTTCCACCTGGATCAGGAAATCATTCGAGCACATCGATTTCCAGACAAGATTGCCGGAATAGTGAGATGATTGCTGATATAGGAGACAAATCTGATTTCGTTTATAAAATACAAAATTATGCAGTCGATTACTTTGTAGTAGCAGGGATATTTCAGTATTGATAAGATAATGAAACTTAAAAAGAATTTGGATAATTTCACAGCTACCACACATATTGAGGTTATTTACAGTGTTTCATTTTTTTTATCTTCAAATATCTATCCCCGAGGAATTTCAAATGCTTTTTATTTTATTCCGTCTCGCCGAGATTGCATCCAAGACTGGTTCTCGACATTTTGCTCGATAAAACTTTGCTTTCTTCTCCTGTACTGTAATGCTAAGTATGAGCATCACTGCATTTCTCTTCTCATTAATACTTCCCACACACTGACTTACTTGCATTAGAATACTGCAAACAGTGACATAATACTAGGAAAAGATTTAAGCTTCTCTTATATTTCTCATTTTCATTTTATTTGTTACAATTCCTAGTTCACTCCAGAGGTCAAATGGCAGAGGTCAAGGTACAGATTCACATTTGCCCATCCTTACCTCCTCTTCATTTTGAACATTGACCTGACATGCATCCCTGTTGTGCGTTGCTGATCTTTCTCTCCTAACTGCAGCTTGTTCATTTTGGATTTTCAAATCAAACACAGAAGAATAAGACTCTTCTCGCTTTCTCTCTCTTTTTACAGAGAAGAGCCACTGTCCATGCTTCATAGTCAAGTGACATCTGACCTTGGCTGACCAACTTACCAGTAAATATAACTTGATCAGTTCAGTCTCACACTAGCTTTCTCTAGCAAAACCAGTTTACAAGTTAAGAAGACACTTAACTCTTTACAGCAAGCAGAGTTCAACGTTCTCAAGTACGACTTGACAGCTGACATATAATATTTGGTGATTTGTTCTAAGATTTCATTCTTTTGTGCTGCACAAAAACTTCTTCTTTATTAAGGCCGCATTCCGCACAACCTTACGGCTTCCGTTCTTCTCAGCTTTTTTTCGCTTTTGTTTCGCGTCAACGGCGAATGTACACTTTTCAGTGGTTTTGTATCCATCCCTCAACAGTGATGGTTGTAGCAAATAGTAGTTAGAATTCGTTCCGCCATTTATTACGGAAGTGACGAATCACTGATGACAAAAAGATATGAAGTGCTATGGTGAGAATACTGTCAAGGCGAAATGAAATGAAGGAAGCGCTGCTGGCGCTTCAAGAAAGCGCACACCGAGTTGACAACTTGACAACAGCGCCATCTTCATTTCTGCTTCACGGCTGCGTGGTGTACGAAGGATCTCGTCTGACCCGCCAACTGCTCTCCTGAGAGCAACGAAGGCATTAGGCAATAAGAAGGGGCGATGCAATATTTAATGTACTTTTCCAAAAGTGGTGGGCAAAGCCAGCCCAGCCCTGCTAGGTCTCGAACTGCAGTCCTCGCTTTAGAAGAACGACGCCTTGTCCATTAGGCCATAGAGCCATGATCCAGTTTTTGGGCTAATCGGTTAATTTGATGTCATTGAGTTGTGAACTGGAAATGTGAGGGTAAACTGGAAAAAAACTGTGGTAGTCAGCGAGCGGTTTCAATTTCAAGAAGTGATGCCATAGTGTGGGCTGCTCTCTTCGGTGTGCTAATAGAGAGCAGTTCTGCCCTCGCAGTACCCACTCTGGGAAGAAGCCTGATGCTTGTTGCCCGAGCAGAGAGAGGTTTGGGAGATGGATTAGTTTTTGGGAAAGATGGTGGTGTAGAAAGGAAGGACAGAGGGAGAGTGTGGGACAAAATTCAGGTCATTCGAAGGGTACTATCGCGAGTTGTTCAACTATACATCCCCAAAAATGGTTTATCCATGAACGCTCCCTGCAAAATTCTTCATTTTTTCCTCTATATATTATTATGATGATTGTCATTATTATCATTATTGTCATTATTATTACTATTATTATTTTTATCATTATCATTCTTATTGTTGTTATTATTATCAATTTTGTTAAATTTTTTTGTTTATTATTAATAATGCCGATGACAAGCAAATAATTTAGGAAATAATAGTAGTTCAAAGGTTATTGATTAATAGTGATAAATGAGAGTATGGAGTAGAGTGGTGACATAACCGATCACTGAGAAGCGCTCTTCCTAAACTGCAAAGGGCAATTTTGACCTTAACTGATTGAGTGCTTTTGTTTTAAAAGTAAGTTGCTTCTGTATGTGAATTCATTCATATTCCAATAGACGACATTAAATTCCGATGTTGGGAAGAACCGGTTTGGAGTGCTGCACAAGATGGAATCAGCTAATTAAATTCAACGGGTATAACTGAAGTCGAATTTTCTCACTTTTAATTCTGTCATTTCAATTACACTATTCATTCGTTTACTTTGCTTGAAACCACACAAAAGGATTTATGCAATCATTTAGACTTACTTTCATCGCATTTAATAATTGTTGGCATATGGCGGGAATAAGGAACCTCTTTGGATTGTTTGGATTTTTAAAGTTATCGCATGTTTCAGTAACTGATTTCTTTTCCGGCATTTGCTGTAATCTTCGCTGTTATTTATTTCTTCTGACATTACATCTTGTCATGAAGTGAAGAACAGGGATGGTTCTGAGAAGAGTTCAGAGTTACCTGAGGATAGGGTAGGGTAGTCATATTGCACTGGCATTAATATTTTGAAGTTGCGAATATTCCAGGAGAAGTGCAACTGTATTACTTATTTAGGAGTTTACATAAGCTTTTGCCCGCTATAATCGGACCATTTACTTCGTGCAAGTGATCAGTGATCATTCAACGATCGTAAAAATGATCGCAATTTGAAATTTAACTTTTTAAACATCAAAAACTAATAAAGAAATTGTCACTAACTTTGTATTTAATTGCAGCAGTGTCATCAACTGAAACCGATTTCATGAGATGTCTTTGCCGTAATATCCGTTTTGATATCACAGATTCAAGTACTTTTGTATTGTAGTGTCACAAGATCTCATTAGCAAACTTTTCTTTCGGTTCGCGCACTTGTCGTTCCGTTCATCCTTTCATTTCTCATCCGTTATCGGACTGTTTTATTATTCTTGTAACTCTCCCTCCCGGTATCCTCTGTTCACTGGTGGAGCAAACGTAGTGTGATAACCTACCTGTCTACCTTTTGATATCTGTTCACCTTCTGTGCATTTGTTAATCACCATTTCGTTCCCTTCTCATTTTCCGATTCGCTCGCTCCTGCTCGTTCTGGTGTAACAGTTTGAGTATTTCTCGAATGACTTTGAGAAAAATAACTCGGTGGAAATTTCTGATGACATTCATTTATTTTAGCTGACATGTGGCAATCAGTGGTGTCATCAGTACTGTTTATCATATCATTTCATGCAGAGAGAAGCACTGGCGAGTTAAATAATTACAACGAAAAGATCGTGTTCACTTTCATTAATACCGTAGCAAAACGTAGTAATGTCAGCCGACTTTGCGGTGATAGCCTTACAAAGGTAAATACTACTAATTGTGGTGCAGCAGCGATGATTAGCTCTGATTAAGTGGCGGATTATCTAAATGTCAACAATTATATAGCATATGAGGGAATTCTTTCCCGACCTCTGTCAATTTCATCATCAGCTGCAGGAATAGAGAAATTTATAGAAATAAAAATTTTCAAATCTTAAGATTCTTAGAATTTTAGATTGGTCCATATCTATTCGATTACAATACGATCCCAGCTCAGAAGGATTTCTTTATTACAGCCTATACATCTGGTGATGCAGAGCAATTTTTCAGCAGGGATCAAGATCGCTGGGTACTTTCTATTGCTAGTAGATGAGTGGATCGGTGGACTGTGGTAATATCTATTCAACTGTTCCAGAATAGGAAACATGGATAAGTTCTTTGGACTTGTAAAGAAGACTTTGCAGGTGTTTCGAGCATACAAGTGTATTCAAGCAGCCGGAGAGGCACCCTATTCAAAATCCGAGCATCCTCTGCATTACTGCTTTGGTTATAATGAAAACAATGAGAAAAGTAATGGAGTGGCATATGGGATTTGTATTCCATCCACTTGTTATAATGACCGAAACAAGGTATAGCAGTAAGACCTGTACCAAAACTTTGCATTATGCCAGTTTATTTACTTTCTTTATTTTGCTGCATTACTCGCAATGATTCATTTTGCACTGTGTGCAGTTGCTGGATGAATGGCGATCAATGGTATCTGCCGATACTTTGGCAGTCGATTACACCTCATGCACCAAATCACGTCATGACCAGCAGTGGTATCAGAAGCCAGTAGCCATGGCGGAATTTATTCTGCATCAGAACTTCATGCTGCTTGTTGTAGTTGCCACTGTTTATCATATCAAAAAGGGGAAGCAAACCAGGTTTGTGGTACATCAATCAAATTGCTTAGATGCATTAGAAATCCTTGAATTCCAGTCGAAATTATTTTGTTGATTTTGTTGTCAGGAATAAATGGACAGAAATCTTGTTGGCCTTTTCCGCAAAAAAGAATTTGCTGAAATTGATCCGAATGCCAAAAGATTCACAATCAACGATCACTTGTATGTTCGGTATGCGTTTCCTGTCAATGGTCTGGACCGTTATCGGTCACTCATTCATTTTTGTGCAGGTATCAAATTTTTAAGTCAGATGTTAGTTTGAAAAGAAATGACCAGTACAGATTTAATTTTAATGTCGAATCTTTTTCGGTCTGCAGGCATATTTGGATAACGTTGAAGAATACAAGGATGATATGGTCGATCATTTCTACAATCAGTGGATTACAAATTTTACACTCGGCGTTGATACTTTTTTGGTTCTCAGTGCTACGCTGACCGCTTTCACTTGGTTTACAAAAATTCATAGGAATTTATCAGGTGTGCTACTATCTGTGTCAAATTCTAAAAAATTTATTAAACAAAAATACTGTCAGAAATGAGCATTCAGAAATATGTTTGAGATAATGAAGTTAATGATGTTCTGCCTTCAAATTGTTGTAATCAGATGTTGTGTAATAATGACAATTAATGATAATAATTAATAATAATAATAACCAACAATAATAATACCAAACACTATAGCAAATAATTGTAGTATTAGCAAAGATAATAATAGTAGTAATAATTTTTAATAGCTTTTAAGTTCCTTTTGCAGAAACGGTGCCAACGTGGACATCGTACGGTTATTGGTTACGTTATTATCGTCATCGAATCATCCGTCTATGGCCAGCTTATATATATGTGTTGGTGGATGTTGGAATGCGTGCATCAATCCAACATTTCCATCCGATGTGGCCTCCCACTGATCCGGCTGTCCAGTGTCCCAAACACTGGTGGGAAAATGTCCTCTTTGTAAACAGTTTGTTTGAAAATCGCTGTATGCCGTGGACATGGTCAGTTGTATAAATTTCATCACTTCTTCAGTTCATTGAAGCCAAAAGATTAATTAATGCTGCTCCGTAGTTTGAGAGAAAAGTAGAGAACGGACGAAGGTGTTGAGGCCTTGCTATCGATGGCGCTGGACTCTATTGCAGACATTTAACAAAATCATTGAGATGGGAAATTAGTGCGCTAAATATTGATATTATATTTTACCGGACATTTTATTATATTATATTTTACTGGATACGGGACAGTTTATTCGAAATATTCTTCGCAGCACATTGCACATGTGATATTATTCATTGTTGAGAGAAGATTTGATTTTACATACACAAAGCCTTCCATAAAAAAAGTAGCAGTGGTATTGACTGTAATGTTCATCGATCAGTGATGATAGCACAAACTTAATCGGGTAGATAAAATCAAACAGAAGTCATTTTGTTTAACGAGTGTAATAGTGTGATATAAATTGAAGTTAATTTCAGGTACATTGGTACCGAATTCATTTACTACCTCTTGTCACCGATATTCTTGCTACTCTTACATAAAGTGCCAGGAATCGGGTTGGCTGTCTCAGTGATAACTATAATGTCATCTGGTTTTCTAAATATGTTTGGCATGATACATTGGAACTTTCCGCCAACTCAGTTGCTCTGGAGGCAACCGGAGATTTTTAGTGCTGACTTTATTAAGGTAATTTACAGTCTTAATTAAATATTGAAGACAAAATCTTGATAGAAATATTGGCAGTCAATTTTAAGTATCATCTTCCTGATTTTTTTCTGAAGAAATCGTCAAAGACGGGAAGCAAACAGTGATGTTCAACTAAAATTCGAAATAAATTTGAGTGAAATGTCAAAATATATTTCTCCTTGCAGCACCATGTGTTAATGTACATAAAGCCGCAATACCGAATAGGACCGTATATTGTCGGTTTACTGCTAGGCTATTATTTAGTGATTGTTCAAAAGTGTACGAAAAAAACGCTCCAACAAAGTATGAGGTTACAAGCAATCGGTTGGATTTTTGCATCTATTGCTTGCTTCTGGGCCATTTTTGGCTTATACCCTGCTTTACAGGTATTTTCTACCAATAATTCTACTTGGATTTTCTATCAATAATTCTATTGCATACAGAAGTAGTATTTACATTTGGCTTAAACTATTCTATCGAATATTTCTTGATATTTACGAAGATTCACAAAGATAGAACATTAATCATTCAATTTCTGATTCACTGCTCCTTAGTCATAATCTAACTGGTGCATTCATTCCATGTTCCTATTCCGAAAAAACTCAAAGTTCATTTTTATTTAGGGTTGGGATTGGCGCATATATAATCTTTTCTATGGCGGTTTCCACCGAACAATATTTGCTCTGTCTATGGCTTGGCTTATTTATGCTTGCCATACTGGTAGTGGAGGAATCATCAACAGAATGCTTAGCATGAAATTGTTCATACCATTATCATCGCTTTGCTATTCGGTAATTATTCTAGTTTATTCGTTGTCTTTCATTTTATTAAAATTTTCAACTATGATTGGAAGATATTTTCCATGTCTCACAGTTTCACAGCCGAGTACAACATTAAATCTTTTTTTGTTAAGATGGTTGGTTATACGAAAGAAGGTTTTAGTTGAATTAGTAAATCGCTGATATTCACTTTCCCCACTCATTAATTTCAGGTATATTTGGTGCACATGGTGTTAGTAGTATTCACGTATCTGCTAGTACCATTTCCCATCATTTATACAACAAAATGGCCAATTTTTGGGCACTGTGCGGTTCAACTTACATTATCTTACGTTTTTGGTATCATTTGTGCGTTGCTTGCCGAACTACCAGCACTGAATCTAGAAAGGATCATCTTTCATCATGGTCATAAAAATACTGCTGTGCAACTGGCTAAAGATTGTGGACTGCAGCAATCTAAAATAGCCGATATTGGATAAAATCAATATCTTATCACCATACGAGGAGGATTCTAATTGCTTCTTTTGACATTTTTTTCTTTGTATATAAATTATGTCGGTTGTCTGTTATTAGAAATAATTCCAGTCAAGTTTACATTATGTAATTCACATATAAAATGCAGAGAGGAAACGAGGTGGTTTATTTCTAACTCAACAAATAAATGCTTGTGAGCGCACACAGATTCTGCTAAGGTTTGAAAATGGATAATTCACGATACATATTTCTCCACTACTTACTACTGTATGCTTCAACATAGTACTATTTTATTACTCATTATCATTATACTTCACTATGTGGGATAGCATTCTATTAGTCAAGATTTAGCTTACAATGAATATTCAGCTCAGTCCACCAAAAGAGCAAGTAGCAAATTTACTCTTGTATTGTAAATGAGTGTAATGTTCTTTTACTGTTGATTTATTGTGTCAATTTTGAATAAATTATTTCATAACTATCAATTTGCAACTGAGTAACTTTTGAGTAGATGAATTAGACCTCATAACCTTTGACCATTACGGTTATCAAACGTCAATGGTTTTATCAATCAATTAGATCCTTATGTTTTGTCGTACACCATGCAGAAGTGCGTCCCACAAACGGATATCCTTCGGTGGACGATGCACTTCCACACGACTCCAGCAATACACTACCTCCTTGACAACCCGTTTCCTCTGCCCTAAGCGTCACTGTCCTTCAGTACCTACCATCACGATTTAACTAGAACAAACCCGTCTGCAAACACCAGCTGTAGCAAATTACTACCAAAAGGGGAGGGAGCTTAAAGCCCGGTTACATAGCTCTTGGGACGTTCTCCGAATTCTAGAAAAGGCCTTAAAACCCAAGCCAAAACACTCACACAGCGCCAATCTCAGTAACAGAGAACTGTTGCGAAAAGCAAGTCCTACCAGAATTGAAAGGACATAAAATTCAAATATTCACCTTTACAAAACAATAGCCTTTAGGAGAAATCTTGTTCGGAATTTAAAAAACATAGCAGAACGTCAGTACAGTTGTACCACAAACTCATTCCTTGTACAGCCATATAATTAGAACTTGAATCTTTAGATTTATCTAGAGTTATGCAAACTCTACGATACAACTGAAAAAAGGCTGTATCAGAATATGTTCAGATCCCTTCACTTTTATACAAATTTAAAATGCCATGTTGCTAAGCGATTTTTAATAACTGCTATTTGAATACATAAAAAATATCGAAGTAGGTCACAAAATATCACTGCAGGTATTTGTACAAAGCATCATATAATCAATAACGAGGGTGCATGCAAATCTTTTAAGATCTTCTGGAATAAACATGATCTACATGGTGCAACATTCAGTGTAGCAGAGAGAGAACAATGGAAGAAAATCATAATAAGCCTAGAACGACGTAACCTTAATTGAATAACTAGGAAAGGGCAGTTTCCCCCGGAAGCATGTATAAATTATTCGAAAAAGAATATTTTGAGAGTCAGTTTACCGATAACAACTAGTTCAAAATGATAGTAAATTCAAAGAAACCCTCTTTATGATGTAAAAGGAATGTGACTCCAACGGATCAGAAAACTGTGCCCTCAACAGTGAGAAGTCATTTCAGTTGTTTTTGACACTTTCCTCCTTAGCTGCATTTGCGTCCGGAATCCATAAACCACTATCAATACATCGCTGCAAATGATATGTAAATACTTCACGATCCATCTTCTCAGCAACTTCCTGCAGGCGTGCCACTTCTTGACTATCAAAAGCGGCTCTCATGTCCTAGAAAAAAAAAAAAAAAAAAAACATCCACTTCTCTAAAAAGACGAGATGCGAAACAAATTCTGCGGAACTAACAAACAACAAAATCTGATTCACCCAAAAGAAAGAAAGAAAAACCTCAGGCAAACTTTCATACACTTCTTGAGGATCCATACCACCCGGTGATGCAGCAATACGTTTTGCCTTCTCCTCTGTTTCATATTCAGCAATCGCTGCATCGCGCTTGTCTTTGCCTCTCTTACGAAGCCTATCACAGAAAGCATCAACCTCCTGTCGAAACATCTTCGCATAGGAAGGGTCGGCAGCACGGAACCTGTACACTAACATCAAGTTATTTACTCGTCGCATTTATGTTTAAAATAGTAGTAGTTGATGAAGAAACATAAAAACTTTCCAACTATCTGAGAATCCAGAAAATGATATATATTCAAAACAAACATGGCACATAAATTCACTTTTTGAAAAAATTTTTGATGACATTTGTGTTGGTTGCAAGTGCATGAAGAGTTTTCGATAATTCAAGCAAGTACTGTATAATAATACACTGTTCTGCCATAACGCACATCTCTTTATCCTGAATCATACAGCAATTAGAAGAAAGTACAAATACTTAAGTTCGAATAGTAAAAAACATCAAAAAGGACTTCACCAAGAAATGTTTTTCACCTTGAATTCCATCGCAAGATTTAGCGCTTGAATGGTAAGCCAGCTAGCAGTAAAATCGGAAGCCAAATGAGGGTACTCTAATAAATACTTCTCGGATTCTTCCAAGCCATGAATTGCACCATATGCTTTCAGCAACTCGTCGTTTTTCGTGAAAAAATCAGACTGCAAAATGATGTGTTAAGGAAAAAAAAAGAAGGAAAGAAAGTAAGAATAAAAAAATGAAATACATATGTGACATTTATTTATATAGTTAAGGCTTAAATAACAAACCATGCGTTTGCTTTCCTCTTCCTCTGATAATTTCGGTGGTTCGGTTTTCTTATCCACTATTTTATTGATACGCTGAAAACTAGAACAAAAATTAGTGGAGGAAAGGTATTAAATGAGAGAGGTATTAAAATTGAAAGAATGAAAACTAAGTAACAACCGATTTACTAAAGGCTTCATGACCAATGGTATCAACATTCCACGGTTCGTTCTTCTCTTTCTCATTCAATTCTTTCTCTTTTCTTTGGTATTCCTCTTCCTGCTTCTTAACTTCCTCAATCTCAAGTTCCAACTTGATTCTTTCTTTGTCGTCCAAATCACTATTTTTTAACTTCTCTTGTACTTCCTGCAAAAGTGGAAAATAATTGGTTTAGCAAGAAAAACAAAAATAGGAAGAAGAGTTTTTGGCGCTAACCAGTATTCGTTTTTCCACAATTGACTTTCCCTCCATTAATTTCTCCTTTTCCTGTTTACGCTCAGCCATTCGTTCCAAGCGTGCCTGATGTCGCCATCGAAACAGCGAAGGTGTATCGATGTTCGGATGTGTGTCATCCTCATCATCTGATACTTCGATCGTTTTCCACTTGGAATAATCCAATGGCATCCTTTAAATGAAACTATTAGAAAAGAACGATTAATGAACACCCAACGACCACTCTCCAGTGAAACAGAGAAGATAAGGATGAGGTAAGAGTTACTATGTCACCCTGAACTCGACAACAACCTCCCCACCCATCAACTCACTCTCATTAAACTACTACTGCCGCCATCACAGCACCATGTCACCACTGGTTTATAGACAAGTTGCGAAACTTCTCGAATGTTTCGACGCATTGCACTGCAGCTCAATTGTCCATCCATCTTGCTTCTTGTTTTGCAGAAGGGATTTTTGGGGGGAGGGGTGTTCCGTAATGTTTACATTTGAAAGATGAGGTAGTGTACTATAGCGGGAAAAGTACTGCTTAGAGCAAGTCTTCCAGCCATCTGTCTCGTTACTTTTGTGACATGTCACACAGTGGCAAGGCATCTCTCCTAGGGCAAAGTGTAAGAAAAATAAAAGTCATAAGAGGTAAAGATGAAGTGATAAGCGACCTTGATGGATGAAGTAGGCCTTGGCAGGAAACCACCGCTCGCTGAGATATTTAAAGAATTGCATAACTCAATACTCATTGTTCGATAAGATATACCACCGAATGAAATTAAATGCAAATTTATGGAACGATCTGGTGATATATATATGAATAACATAGAAAAACACGATATGAGAGTAGTTCGAAATGCAGCTACCAAGATTTAATCTGTACAAGTATAATCGTTTCTCTCCTTCTTTCGAAACCCTCCATTACATTTCTCCAAATTTTATGCTTTTATAACAACCAAACCAAAGAAAATTTATGTTTATTTTTATTTAAAGAAAATTTATGGGATGAAAATATTCTTCTTGTACCAATTCAGTTCTTGAATACTCTCATAAATATCATTAAGCGCCCGGTGGGTATTTTCTTTTTGTGGTTTTCTTGCATATACATCTGGGTACCATCGCTTCACCAACTAAAATACACTGACCGAACAAATCAATAAGAGATGGCATAATATGTATATGAACAATTGATGAAATAGTTAACTTGGCAAACAGAAATTTTTCCTTGTTTAGAGAATGATTCTACCTCTTTTATACTGGATACATCGATGTTACGATAGTGTAAATGCTTTTCAAGTGTAGGCATGTATTTCTGTAGAAAAATTCGATCACTGCCAACAGAATTACCACCAAGAGGGCACATACCAGAATCAGTATGTTGCCGGACATATTTTAAGATCTGCAACTATTCAGTTTTTTTTTTTTTTTTTTTTTTAAATCCTAATAAGGAAATACAAAGGTGTTGAGGAACATTAAGCAGGAATATGTACTATTTTTGCTCATTGGCAAATCTCATTTATACATTTTTCCTTGTTTTCGTCTCTTCCACTTTAATTTTTTCTTCTTATCGGTAAAATTTCACAAAAAGTAGAGGAATTTCTTTTCGGGACAAAATTACTGCTTCCCGAAATCTATACTTTATCCCTTTGTTCACTTCCCTACTCAAAACAACTTACTAAAGTGATATGACTACCTCATTCTCAGCTTCCTTCATAGTTATTTTACTAGATAGTATTTCCTGCAGAAGGCCATTGGATGCGAATGTTGCTTTACACCAATTATCCATTCCTTCAAGAACTTCTTTTGGTTGTGATATGACCAAATTAAGTCCTTCTTCGACAACCTGCCAACCCATATTTCTTTGTCAACAGTTCAAATCAAACTTTAAAGTCACATCAGTCCCACGTGTACATGTATGTTCATGTATCAATCATACAAATGACTGAAATGATGAATGCTAATTTTAAAATAAGTTAACATTAGAGATCTCTTTCGGAAAGCGATTATCGGTTTCAGATTTTCTTACCTGAGCTTAAAAGAAAAAAATCAGTGATAGTTACCATCAAATCAGCTTCAGTAATGGCACATGCAATTTCAACGATTGTTTTACTGCTAACATCCAGACCTGTCATTTCGCAGTCCACCCAAACGATACGCCGGACTCGATTAGCTTTACTCATAGTAGTAATGCTTTTACTCAACAGACGATGGAAAATACTGACAAATGCCGTTTTAAAGAGATATTTCGAAAATTGAAGAAAAAGGCAACGTCTCCTGAAAATGAAGTCCACATTTGCACTTCATCTAACAATATTGTCAGTTTCACCACTACATTTTAAACAATAATAACTGCTAACACCGTGAATACTGCCCCAAGCTGCCGTGGATTCACACAAAATATAGCTAATCTGGATAAAGGATATATGCACGTAATTAGCCATGAAATATGAGTAGCTGATATAAATAAATATTCCTTTATTATAATGTGACTTATTCGTCTATTACACTATACAATTATACATGATTCAAGATAACACACGTTATTTCAGCTTCTTGCAATTTTTTCTTGACTGTTTATCCCAAAGTAGGTCAGTATCTTTCCGGAATTCTATCGCATCTTTAAAACCATTTGATAGGAGTAAAAATAATTAGCTGGCCCATACTTGTCCAAAAATACATATAGAATGCAACAAATCTTATGCAAACATGACTTTAAAAAGAACAAAACGGTGAAGAATAAAGATGCAGGGTAGGCATTTGAGAGTAGAGGAAATAAATATATACGTGAAGACAACACAAAATGCAGAGAAAAAGAACCCTCTCGCATATGCACTGGATAATCTAGCACTATATGCAACAACCTAAGTTTGATTTTAGAATTTTATAGCAAAATAAAATAAAAAGCAATAACAAAGAAGAATATATAAAATAACTTTGGGAAAAGTGAGAGAAAGCCGGAATATGTTCTCTCGCTTCTAATTTAAACAACCTGAAAGATAATGTTCATGTAACTATAACGGTCTAAATGATTTTTTAGGACAACAAAGAGAAAATATACCCAAGATCCTATTAATGATACTACCATTTGGAATTTCAATATTTGCATTGCACAATAATGTTGCCATTATTTAGAATCAAACTGCATCTGCTGCGAGAGCCTAGAATTATCAAGCCAGTTCTGAATCTGAGCCTTCGCGATTGCCCTAGCATGTTCCGGAAGTGCAAGCATATCAGCTGTTACACTTAATGCAAATGCTTTGTCACCATCAACAGCATTCATATCACGTTGCTGCAGTGATAAATTTCGTGTGACCATTGTTGCCCGCTCTGCTTCTCTGTGAGTACCTGAAATTCATTTTGAGACTTCTAACCAAGTTTATTCTTTATTAGCAACACCTCGATCTCTCATTTATTGTTTCGTAACATCTTGTCACTGTGAAGCAAAAAATGTAACAAATAACTAATGTTTGAGTTACTCAGTTCCTTACGATTAACAAATATAGATTTTATTATCATTTCTCACCCTGCACCGTTTTAACAGTAGTCATTCCTCCCGGGAACAGTACTGAAGAATATAGTGGCTGGTTCTGCGAGACACTGTGCTGACCGTGCGCACTATCTGCTAAGTCATCCAAAAAGCCATCTTCGGACAACTCTTCACTATCATGTTTTCGTTTGACACTTCTTGAATAATGCCTAAAAGATTTCAGTTGCTTATGAGTGCAAAGTATTTATTCAACCCAGCTTGTTGCCCAATGAATTTTTCCAACTCTTCAATAAATTTTTTCACTTATAAAATGGTCATTGCCAAGACATTATAAAATGCATATTTCGAACAATAAAAAAAATCTTTTTGGATAGAGAAATAAAAATTAAAGTTGTTTCGTAAACACATAACTTAACTTACGTGGCTCGGTCATCTAAAAATGGATCAATCCACATCATTTGAGGAAACAGATCCCACTGCGACTCCTCTACTTCACCACCATTTGCACTTGACATCCGTATCTTTCGTTTCTCTCTTACATAGCGATCACGCACTTTCTTCCATTGCTTATAGATAGAATTAATGTCTCCTATAAAAAGTCTTAATTGAGGATGATAGCACAAAAAAAAAAATCAATAAAAGTTTGAAACCAGCCAGAAGTGGAAAAGAATCTGAACCTGGAAAATCCAAATTCTTGATAATTTCAGCCCATGCTTGATTTCGACATTCGGAATGCCTATATTTGGGATCTCTGATATCATAAAGACATGGATGTTGTTGCACTTCTTGAATTAACGATAGCGAGAAGGTCGGATCATTGATCACGATATGATGCGGAGTCTAGAATTGGCCAGTGACCGGTTTCAAATAATTTACTTTCCAACTTAACTATGTTAATTTATCGAACAAGCCCATTCCAAATCTTTCCTATCCTTTCTTCCTAGCGCAAATTAAATACAAACTCCTCCAGGTGAAAGCATAACTCCTTTGCCGTCTTTAGCACGGGCAAACTGTTGCTGCTGTCGGTCAATCATATGTGGGTCCAAAAAGGTCAAGTGTTTAAAGTATTGCCATCCAGTATGTTCCGCACCGTACTTTAATTTCTTTTTCTCTTTTCCATATTTATCACGCAGCTGCTTCCAACGATTATATAATGTACGAGCATCACCTGGAAAATCATTCACCATTCAATTTTCTTAATTTCTCAAACTCATCGATTAAATTCATTAAACATCTCAATATCCATCGGTAAGTTCTTTGCTCCCACAAAGTTAAAGGATAACAACGATTACAGTTATATTTCGAGTGAACCATGATAACATAATGAGGTCGAAAATTATAATGATCATGATATTCTATCACGACTACCATTACAAACTGATGAAAAGCTGTGTCATACCAATGCGGGTGAGATTCACTATTTGTCTCACGCTCTCACATCATATAAAATATAAAATTATTCAAGCTTTATGGCTATCTTATCCATCGCATTGATATGGTAATATTTGCAAGAGAAATAAGTAATATGATGATAATAAGAGAAACAGTATGAAAAATTAATAATACCATCAAATTGCAATATCTGTACAAGCCGATTCCACACTTTGATCTTATGATCCGCTGAGCGATACAAACGATCCTTGGCATCATAAAGGCAGCGACTGCTACGAACAGCCTCGATAAGACGTAAGTTGAATGAACATGGTTCTGGCTCTTCCATCGAGTGACCCAGCACTCTCCTGAAAACAGAACAGTCTTCCTGTCTGATGACCAAGAATGAACCCATAAAAATGTAAGGACTCACAAGGACAAATCCGCCTCACTCTCCTGCTCGTACACTGGTGACGGGGACTGACCACTCTCCATGCTGCACTCCACGTTCAGCAACCAAATCACCACGTCCACTCCAACACCACTCACTTCCCAAGCACATCGCAAATTCACGCGGCCCCTCACTGGCAACAGCTAATCGGCACCAAACCTGCTGTTGATGTTAAGTCCGGCAGCTGTGGATGTAGAATTGGGGGGCTATTCCTGACTTGTTTGGTCAAGGCAGGATGAGGTCAAGTGGGGTCAACTTTCTGCGTCGTGTCATCAATAGTCCATATCATCCGTTCTACGTCAAAGTCAAACCAGATGTATGGCAGAAACGTGAACAACTTAGAAGATTTGTTGCCGTACGTGTTATTTTTAACAATTTTGCTAATAATAGTAATGTTGGAGCACTCTCAGTTTATAGTAATATTAAAGAATATTGTAGTCAGTATTGGAATATGTAATTATGATATTACAGTCTTCCGTTTACTAACGGTACACAATGATACTGTATGTTTCAGTGGCAGTACGGTTTCCAACGGACTACCGTACGAAGAGGCTTACGAAAATTGAATAAACTGTATACATATTTGAATATGCAACGTGAAGATGCACCGAAATTGGAGAAATTTGTAAGTTTTCTTCGAACAATTGACAGAACGCTGTTTCACTTTTTTATATCTAAAATATTACAACTGTATACATATACTTAAAAGATTATGTATTGTAATTGTGAAGATTGCAGTATGCGGAAGAACGAATAAAGGCAGCTCTCGCCGAGTACCATTTCGACTATGCACCTTTCCGAAATATGCTTGCAAAAGCGCATGTCCTGTTAGACAACGTTGTCATTTCGCAGCTTGCAGTCTACGAACCTGAGTCTTTCAAGGTTATACCGCTGTTTGTTGTAAATGTTGGGTGCTTAAGCCATATTGCAATAAGTTCGTTCTAAATCATAATATGAACTAAGTTCGTTCTATATGATTTGCATCTCGACTAAACGTGATTACATCAGAGTTTGGTTATGTTGACAAAGCAAATGGCAGTCGAGGATGGACGTCCGGTAGTCACAGATGAAGAGCAAATGAACGTGCATACTGACCAATCATTATTTGGTACTCCATTCGAACACTCCAAAGTGTTTCCTCGGGGAGCTGCAGAGAATCACCAAAAACCTCCGAGACCACTCAAAATTACGGAATATTAAGTTACGAAATATAAATTCGATGTTTTGTTCCAACCATTTCTTTTTTTGTAAAAATGATATATGTCCAATATAGATTATGACTTAATCGACACATGACACATTCATGCCACTGATATCGAATGAAAGTTTCAGTTGGTGCTTATGATCCTTGTAAGCTGGATATTCATTTATTATTTTATGTGTTGAATGAAAAAAGCAGCACAAATTCACCATATAACCAAGTAGATAGTGCAGAACACAACAGAACAACAAGAAGGAAAAAGCAATGAGTTCCATAATGTATAAATAAAAAAAGTAACATGAAATACAGCTTACATACTTCAAAATTTTCATATATATATTGAAGATCCAAAACAACAATGCAAAATTGTCGTAAAGTAATCCATATTTCTGGATAACAGATATGATTTGGTTGCTAAAGGAGTCAGTTTAGTTACCAAATGAACTGGATGAGGTTAGCGATTGGGATTTTAACGCAAATATCAGCAATTAATAAGCTCCTCTACGAATTCGATTTCTGCTCGCCCCTCGCCGTACTAACCCACCTCCGGTATGCTGATGTAAATAGGGCGGATACTGTTGTTGATGTTGAAGGCGATCATCAAAATCACTGACGGGACAGTTAAATTCATAACGCATTGGGACTGACTGGCCGAGTCCAATTCTACCATCTCCGGCTTCGTTCATATTTGGCATCCAGACACGCCGTCGAACTTGACTACCTTCGAAACGACCATCAAAGTCTTCGTCCTGAAGATAATTTTTGCATTCTTCCGATATAAAAGCCAAATTCTAAAATGGTGTTGAATAAACAACAGACCTGTTTAGATGCAGTTGGGGCACGTAGCTGAGGCCTTCTGCGAGGGTCACGTACTTGAGTTCCAGATATAGATCCTCCTGATCTTTCGTCATCTCCATTCCTAGCCATATTTCCTCGAGACCCACCTCTTCTTATACGAGGATCATGTATTCTTAATTCGCCTGAACACATAAACATATGTGATATGACAGCCATAAAGACAAATCCAGTGTCATTATTTTTCAAATCCAAATTATCATGTTAAACGGGAACAATCCATACAATTCATAATTCCATACCTGTAGAAGGAGTAGTTCTTGAGGTTTCATCATTATTTATTGATTTACTGTCTAGTTGTGCACTAGAGCGCCAGCTTTGTGACTGTGAAGATGACGAAGGTTGCTGATTTCTTAGATCCACATCATTGGATGTGCAGGTGCTATTACCTTGTAAAAGTGGTGGCATTGAGAGAGAAGAAGGTGCAGTACGATAGTCCACATCCTAAAACCAAAAAATAGTTTAGAAGTAACAATAGCAGCAACTACTAAAAGATGCTGAACTTGTTTTGTTCGACTTATGAAAAATATTCCTGCAAATATCAAGTTTCCGAAATGTACCCTGTTCTGAATGGATGACGACGATGCAGGAGGCACAGATGTAAGGCTAGCCGGAATTGGTGGTGGCCAAATAAGTGGACCAATAGCTGGTGGCATGGGTAAGGCGGGTAAAGGTATACCAGCTGCTCCCATCTGGGCCACTGCCGTCAGTGCTGCAAAGGAAGATAAAAACAATATTCATCGACAAAGCACTAGAAGCCGACAAGTTGCAAATAAAACAAAACTATTCAGAGCTTCAAGTTAAGAAAAACAGTCGTAGTATTGAGCTAACGTCAATAACGACTGATGATGTGAAGTTAAGAGAGTGAAAATTCGAATACCAGTGGAAGAAAAATACAAACGAGGAGACACATTAAGAGATTATTTTCAGGATTCTACACTAAGACACTAGGAGAACTTGAAATTATATAAAATTGCCTTTACTTCTCAGCGATATGAGGCAGGATGTTCAGCACCACAGCAAAAACATTCTAATGTTATACCACTAGTTATGGTACCCTAGTCTGTATCAGTGAAAAACTATGCCAGTTCAAAATTGTGGAAATAAGTAAAAAAGTTTTCGAAAAAAAGAAAAAAAAAAGATGGAGGAACATACTCTGCACAGCTGGTACCAAAATACCTTGTTGCGGGGTAATCTGTTGTATCACTGGTGGTTGAGATGCTGTTGAATTTGGCCACTGTTGTACAACCGCCGGTGCAGATGACAGAGATGGCGGCATTTGTAGGGATACCGAACCAATTTCCTGATCTGATCCAGTGAGATTTTTCTGGGAACGTCTATTTCTGTCCTGACTAGGGCTGGGAGATCGGCCTTCTGAAAATTTGATCACAAAAAAAAGCTATTATTCGAGGACGTAGCATAGCACCGAATAATTCCAAATAAACATATATTTGAAAATGGCGAAAGTTAAGATTAAAATAAATGGAAAAGCACCATCGAAAAGTTTCAAAGAATCTACAGCTTCTTCACGTTTCGAAGATAGCAATGAGCGTGGCGGTGGCCCAAGCAAGGAGGCCTTGGATCTACGGAATGTCCCTTCGTCCAGCACTTCATCAACATAATCATCGCTTCCGGAAGCTCCAGGCTTCGCAACATTCCACATCCGTTCAAATTGTCGTTGAGCTTTCTTTGGTGGAGGTTGTTTAATCAAAGTCCTTTTTGCACCGATATTCAGTGTCTAACGAAAAATAACATAAATAATTCATTTGCTATACTTCTAATATTCAAAGGCATTTGAACAATATCTAATAATAACGCTGTTATTGCGACCAAGCAAAATCTACGTTCTCATCAAACTTGCCAGTCCAATTTCTAAAATATTATTATCAGGTTTTAAGTATTTCTTCAATGGAAGTAATACTTATTAACTTACCTGTTGACGTGCGTTTGGATCTTCTGGAAATAGCAAAGGTCCTCCAACCGGTGGACCACCAACAGTTGTTCGCGCTTCTTTCTTCTGCATTCCTTGAAACACGTCATCATCCAAGCCCATACCTAAAAAACATACCTCCAACATACAGCGAACAAAACTTGAACTTGAATTCTGTTACATCTTCGCTTCAACATATTTTTGCTCAAAAAGATCTTATTTAATAATGTAATTTTCGAGGTTGTTAAGTTCAACAGCACCTGGAATAACAGCGACAAAAGTTTTTTCCTCATCAGTTTCAGTTTTCGTTTCTTTTGCTGCCGCTGGTATCGAACCAGAACATGATGCTAAACCATAGATGTCATCCTGTGTGTCACCTGGACGATTTCGCGCCCAGAACTTAGTGTTGTTATCATTAGAACCTGGAAGATATCAGCATAAAATAAGAATTTTGAAATTGGATTATATCGGTGTCGAATTTTTAAGTAAAACGAAGTTTTATCAATAGATTGACAATACCTGAACCACAATGTTACTTCAAAAGTCTCATTTATCATAATTTCAGCTTAAAACTCGAAATACCTGATGCCAGAATATGGCCCAAAGGATGCCACTCAAGTGTCCATATAGCTTGGTCATGAGCATGCTCCAAAAATCCAAGTTCTTTGTCATTATTTACAAGCCAATATGCCAATGATCCATCACCGCCACCACTTACAAACATACCTTCATGAACCGGATGCCAAGCTAATGCTGCAAAATAACATAATGTGAAAGTGTGAAAAATAATGAGTTTAAATAAAATAGAAGATTACAAAAGCAAAAAAACTCAAAAAAAAAAATCAATTTTGCAAAGTGAAAGAAAAAAAAAAACTACTGCAGTTGGAAACTAACCTGTTACTTCTTTTTTGTGTCCCTTGTAAGTGTGCATTTCACGCATCATTCTGATATCATACATTTTAATCAAATGATCACGGGATCCAGTCAACAGCCAATTTCCATTTTTATTCCACTGCACGGCCATTACCGAATTTTTATGATCATGTCTCAAAATTAATGATTACAAGAATTTATTTTCAAATTAAAAATTATTAACAGCCATATATGAGTTATCAACAGAGAACTTGATGCAAGCCCTTACAATAATTTTTTTTTTTTAATCATTAGAATCCAGAAAAGTTTTAAAAAAACTCACAAAGTTGACAGACATTGGCCTGTTTTTGGATCCCATAATTTCACCGGTTGTTGTGAGTCACGTGATCCAGTGCATATCAAACCTTTTTGAGGATGCCAATCAACACTACGCACATCCGATCCATGGCCGCGAAGTACTTTTTCTTCAGCACATCGAGCAAAATCCCAAATTCGCGCGGTAGCATCATCCGAACCAGTTACCAATTTCACATCTGTGGGCGCAAAACTGAAAAGTAATAATAGGAACTAATAACTAAGTTTGAACTTCATAGTACAATCTCAAACTTCCTGCAATTTAAATGAAAAAAAAAAAAAAAACAACAAACATAATTAACCTGATAGATCGGATAGCTTCATCTTTATGCGCTTGATACATGTGTACATTGTTCATATTTGGTTGCCAATATTTTACGAAACCGTCGTGATCCGCTGAGACAAGCCATTGATCGTTGTGTGACCATTTCAAAGCACGGATCGCTGTATCATGAGCCTGGAACACCATTTCAACAATTACTCTGTTTTTCACTGCACGTAACTAACTTCAGGTGGCATAAATTAACTGGGAATATTAAAAATATAAGAATTCTCAAAAAAGATATTGATATGTTATCAATTTAGCAGTTCGCATCAAGTCAATTTTTCTTTTTAGAACAGATTCTGCGACCTCGTGGAGTGAACTATAATATGATTTGTTGCTTTCATATAATCAAAGAATCCCAAATTTTATACCTTATTTCCTTACCTAAATGGATTAGAGTGTTTAAGAAAGCTTCTTTTCATGTCTTAATTAATAAGCAATTCCTCTCAGACTTGCAGAATGCATAGCAATCAGTTAGTTTCATATTCCAATTATATCATCTTTATCAGATGCTAGAAGACATTAGAGAACACTACCTGGAATTTTCTACTCATGTGAACTGCAAGTTTAATCCCAAATACTGATTAACACGAACAATCTTACCAAAGGAATAAGAAGCTAGATGTAAACGAAGAACATATCGATGTTAACTGTATGAAAGTTGACTTGTTGTTGATTAAAAGGTAAAACTGATTCACGTAAAAACGCAATAAAAAAAAAACCAAAGCACACCCCTACAATTGCAGTACAGCTTCTTTTCTGGAACAAAGCCTCCTTCCATTTAAGTATAACGGAATTATTTATTACATAGGCGATTGCTGCAATAACATGCAAATCGATGGCATTCTTAACCTGTATTCATCTCAAAAGATCAAGCAACAAAATAAAACTAAAACATATAACTGACTTCGTACGTCCTCGTTTTCTGTAATATCCGATCTTTTAACTATTTCACTCGTTCACAGTGACACCTTATTCCTTAGTTATACTTTTCAGGACAGTTTATCTGTCACTTGTCGTCAGTGACACCTTAATTTGTTAGCTACTAGCTTGCTAAGTATTTTTTACTTGTTACAAGTGGAAGTCGGTACATTTGAACCAGATGTTCTAACCCTTTCATGGAATATATCAAGACACCCAAGCGTTGTACAAGAAATCAAGTCACTGGAACGTTTTCGTTGTACGATTGTCCTTAAAAAATGCGAGGTCTGCTATCATTACGTGTAAAGATCAAACAGCATTAAAGAGTAAATTGATAGCTATCATAAGTGTCCAGTAGAAAAACACAATGTTTTGAAGAATTATAAGCAAGTCATCTTTAAATGACTTCAATAATCTCAGAAAACGTCGTCGCAATGTTCTTCAAATGGGACCCTTTTTAATAAGATATCTAAACATAAGTTGAAGGTAGCATCATTTACACCAAATAAAAACTGCATTACAGTTTCTCCATCCACCTACCCAGACTTCAGCAAATTATTGAATGCAACCAAGAATACTAATTCGATCTCACCGAAGTTCACGAATAATGAAAAATACTTGCTTAGCACTTCATCCTTTACAGTGATGGAAAATAATCCATTCCTAAGGAAATTTCATTCAAAAAGTCAACAGTACTTTTTGATCAACAAAGCAGGCCAAAACGAAAAAATTTTTAATGACCTACTTTTACTGATAACTGATTTCAACATCCCATGAAATTTTAACAAGACCACCGACTGGTCCCTAACTTTTTGAGGAAGTTAAATCATTTGATACATTAGCCAATTTTGAATTGATTTGAAAAATGCAGAAATAACGTAGGCAGTGGAGGATGAGTCCAACACTCGCTGATAATCGCGATGCAAACTGTCAACAAGTAGGCCTTATAAACTATTTATCTGCTTCATAATTATACAAAGCAGGAAAATATCGGCATATTTGTAAAAAAGGCAGTGCCGACTGGATCATCCTTTATTTTCATTTATGTTATATATAAAAATAATTCTACTCACAAACTCTTTTCAGCCTTTTCTTTATTTCATTTTATTTGAGGCCGAATTAGTGACTTACGACGTAAAACAAGGAGTAATGGATAACATACGGTGACGCATGGAAATGAATGAATGAGACAAAACTGAATAAACGCGATCCACTGAGAAATGGACGATAAAAGCTGCCACAAATACCTGAAGAATTGTCTCGAAATTGAAAGCTGTACCATTCCATAAAGTGAATTCGCCCGTTGATGCACCCGTTATCAACCGTTTACCCTCTGGTGTCCACTGAAATTTATAAACCACTAACTTCCTATTATACTATTAAAATGTTGTCTTGTATTTCATAGTATAAAGCGACAGAATTTTGACTGTAGCAATTCATAAGGACATTAATAACTTACACAAATACTGTAAATAGGACATTTAACTTTATTCATCGCAGCTCGCACAAATTTATTTAAAACACAGTCAATAGTCTTGTCTACAGTAGTGGTTGGAGGAACCGCAGAATTCTGATATAATATATCTGGCTGAACGGCCTCACGAGCACGCAAATCATGCTGCCATAATCGAGCCTGAAAATTCTTTCACGTACCAGATTTCTGCTTCTGATTTCTAAAATCAACTATAAAAATTTATTTATATTTATATTCCCCGCCTACCTCCATTCCTGTGCTATGTGATATACATGCAATCCTTTAAAATCTTTTAACCCAATGAAATGTGTGCTATCGATAGACATTTCGTAGAATATATAAGTCAGCAATTATTTCAGCTCCAAAATTTTTCAAATACCGATATCATTAATTGAGCATAATGAGTTGTAGATGTTGGAAAAAAAATTATTAAAACACAAATAAAAAAAATTTGATTCACAATGAACGATACAGATTACAGTTCATCTAGCAGTTGTGAAAAAAATACCTGTTACCTCATAATAAAATTATCGATAAGAGGCCGAAGAAATAAACTAGAATTGAAAAACGGTACAGGGCAAAAGGTATGATATTGAAGATTGGTAGTCAGTATAAACATACCTCGAAATGATTTAGTACATTGGCAATATAATCGATGTGACGCCGGACGTTTGCAACATTCTTGCGCAATCGCCTACCCGGACCGTCAGCAACATCCAATACCGGTTGCTGTAATGACAGCACAAACTAATTTAATAAGAAATTCTGGACTTGAAAAAATATGTTTAGATACTACTTATAAATGTCACTATTTGAGGGATCAAATAGCCGTCGGCTTTAACTATTAAAGTATTAACAGATAGATGATGAACACGCATGTATGATTGTTAACGAACCAAATTTGTTTTGAATCGATAACCCGGCCGCAGGTAATATGGTTGAAATTGGTTGTTTGTTATAATTTGTTGTTGACTGGAGATATTAGAACTTGTCTGCAAGGAAATTTTTGGAACGAAATATCCTTGAAAAGATAACTTATGTACTACGCAATGTTTGGAAGAAATTAACAACCTGCGGAAACTGTGAAGAGCTTGCGGCGGGCTGCAGCGGTGCTGATGAGCTCAGGGCATCTATATCCGATGCTGGGTACTGCAGCAAAGGTGACGCTGCAGCCATAATGATTCAAAATTTTATATACCACTGAAAGATACATTTAAAGAAAAGATGAATATGAAATTAAAAATGAGAATGCTGAACAAGCGATGCGGATTATCTGCATACACTAATAAACCATAAGGTGTGGAGTGAAAATAGTGGAATGTTTTTGCATGCCGAATAGGAATATGCACGTATAATAAATGTTGAATATACGATGCTAGAGCGTTACGCACGTGGAACGAATTGATATGCTCATGAACTGAATGGGTAGATTTTGGTGAAGAAGTAAGTGAAAAATATCGTAAGGGTAAAGTGATATAATATCTACACCTCGTGACCTTTGACACCCAAAGGGAACACACAGACCTATAACTGATTCCCTGGCCTGCAAACCCTAGCAGCAGCGATGCGTGCATACAACGGCACGACGCGTCCGAACCCACAATGCAATATTAAAGACCACTGGAAGATAGGATCCGGTTGAAATGCACAAAGAACGGAACGAGTTGGCAGCGATTTATTTATTGAGTGGTGTAGTGGTGATAGGATGTGGTAGAAGAGAGGGAGAGATGAACGGATGGATATTCACACCGCACGGATCTGATCGCATCGAGTCGAATGAGATCAGATCAGATCGCATCATCGAGTTGAGTGAGATCAGATCAGATCGCTCGAGCGATAAGTAAGGGTAACATGGCCATCTTTTGGCTGTCCTTTGAACGTTTGAATAATGGCTTGGGAAAAATGTCATCCTTATTGGCCTGAAATATAAAATGTGTAATTCAGATTTTGTGAAAAGGAATAAAGACTACAAATGAAATTATGGAAAGGAGAAGAATGATCACAGATCAGAATGGGCGATCACTTACCCGAACACTAACGAAAATCATCTTGTCCACTTTTGGTACAGCTTTCCGCCGCATAATATCCACCTTTAATTGTTCTCCCGGATCAATGAAGCCGAATACGGGATTTACCCGGTACAGCTGGTTGTCCGAACATTTGGCCTGAAGATGGATCCTTTCTCGAAATGTCTGTTGAGCTTTGAATTACTACTGAGACCATTTATTCACTTATTAATTATTCATCTTCCTGAACTAAATGAAATTTGATGTGGTTTACTGGATGAACTAACGAAAATCAATCCGTATTGCTGGTTACCGTACAGGTAAATTTCTCTCAGATGTCTTACCTAATTGCCATTGTAAGAATCAAATGACAGTGTCATACTTTGACAGCCAAACGGTCCTTTGTTATATTTCGCAGTTGTACTGTTTGATAGCCTCCCTCACCACTCCATCGGAGATTTCTCGGTTCAAGTATCAGCTCTTGTTCCTCTGTATCAGACATTTAGTGGCTGATAGATTGTTGATCTCTCTCACTTTCTCTCTCAGTGAGAGTTTCTCTCTTAGTACTTGTAAATGACCAACCTTAGTGATGAAAAAAACGAAACTTCGGTTTGTAAAAAATTCGAAAAAATCTTAAAAGAGATAATCACCTTTTTCATCAATTAAACCGATATTTTCCTGAGTGTTTTGCTGAAATAAATAATTATTTCAAGTAATGAAATGTTTTTGATAACAAGAGAAAATGGCTTGAGGAACGTTTCATATTTTTTTAATGAAACTGGAATTCAACTAACCTCTTGTTCTTTGAAGGTGGCTTCCTTCCTTTCTTCATTAGAGATCGATTTTGTCTGAAATTTTAAATCACTCTATTTTCCTCAATTGTTGAATCCTCCTTTTTCTCCGAAAAATTTTAACTGATTCGGTTATTTGAACAACTCGAAGGTTTTGACGATAAAAATGATTCATTCGATTTAGCAAAATTTCTATGAATTATTTTTGTGATAGTTAGCGATTTGTTTGTCTTACTGGTTTAAGGGTAACGAATTTCTACAAAACGAATTTTAAGAAATCATATGATTTGAATAGGTCAAAAAATTTAACAATACAGATTATTTGCCGCTATCAGAAAAAAATTTGATAGTATTTTGGGAGTTGTGTAAAGATAGCAGTAAACGCTTAAACGGCTTTTCTTCTTTAGAAATGGTTGTAGTCAAAAAGACTGAATGACCCATATTTTCTCTTTTCTGACAATCCCTTCAGAAAATGAATATCTGTATTTACTGTAACATTTAATTAATTCAAAATTTAAATAGTTTAAAGCATTTTTCAAAATGATGGCTTACATCCTCAACCTTAGCAACTTTTATATTTTTTAGTGTCCCGGTAGTTACCATAGGTATCACAGCTGACGACTTTCCAGGTATATTAGCAGATGTATCACCACTCATTTCTTTCTCGCATAGCCCATTCCATCGATGTGAACCCTTCGACGGAAGGATTGCATCATTTTGGCTTCGTATGCTAACTGATCTTTTCTAAATTAAACAATATGAAACATTTTCATGCCCAAAAATGCTTCTTTATCGAACTGCTTTCAGGTACTTTAAAGCTAGACTATTTTGGCTTGTCAATCTATCGGGACAAAACTTTTGCTGATTACTTCTATTGCTCTTTTTTTCTGAGATGATAGTCGCGATGATTCTTGCACACTTCTCCTTAGTTTGTTTTTTTGCACTTTGTTCCTTTCCTTCACAGACTTGTTTGAGGATGCGGAACTTTGTGTCACTTTTGATTTGGTATTTGACTGAAACATATTTAACTAACCGTGCAACGACGAATGATTCAAATCATTAAATCATAGATAACAAAGATCAGTTCATGATCGAGAGCAGAAGAGAGCGACCTAGTCTTGCCTGCCTTTTCGTGGCTCTCTACATCTTTCCCTACCACTCATCCCGAATATTTGGAGAGGAGAGACAAACGGTATCACTAGGCATCACTAAACCAAATTCATCTTTTTTGTCCGTCTCCCACTCGCACACTGCACGAGAACGATGATCGCCAGTGGTACCACTCCAACCATCAACAAAACGACATCCTTTGGCTGCGCGTACATTTCACTACTGTACGGAACAAACGGTTCTAATTGCCACAGTCGTATTTCTCTCGACAGCCGCAATAAATAATCCCAAAATTAAAGAATAAGAGTTCTAGTGTTGAACCCATATTTATATGTTACAATGAAATGAAATGCATAAAGTGCGCGTGACACGTACCGTCGTCGTCATACTCACTCACACGTTGTCATACTTACGCGCCATAAAGTGGGAAGAAGAAAGTATATGCGACAGAGAGGAAGGTGGAAATGAACTGTGACAAGATTATGTTTATTTCGATGAAATGAAATTTATTGCAATTAAATTACATAGTTTAATCTCAATTAACTGAATGATGAATTGGTTTCCTCAAAACTAGCCAAAGACCCAAGTGTCGCGAATTGCCATTCATTTTGCGGTACATACAGTTGCATCACAGGGACTTGCCCATGCCCCATATCTTCTTCTATGTCACCTCGAGAGCATGCATAATGACCACAGGATAGCATACAATCCGTAATCGGATTTATCGCTACTTTTTCATCCTGAAGATATACGGGGAATCTGTGCAGCACGAATTCGCAGAGCAAGAAATGTTTCCTCACTAGATACTATCTCTCATCTTCTTGTTCATACTGCTATTATTGAACTAGCACAAGGTTTGCTAATCAAATACTCATTCAATCAAAAACTTTGTTTCGCTCTGTCAAATCATAGAGCAGTAGTTCGATACCAGTAATTACTCAGCATAATATTTCAAACGAAACTTTTTGAAAATTGCAAAAGAGTGGCCAAATATTAATCTCTTGCAAGAAGAGAGAAAATAAAAAGGGTACCGCCTCGCATTTCCTATTGGAGATGGCTCGAATGTACTGACAGCGATAATTGTAATTCGGATGGTCGTACAAATATTCTGCATTTACAGCCGTTACCTATTATATAACTAATTTAATTTAATAATACATTACTAATGCGGCATATGACACTTGTTTGTGTAAGACAATTGTATTTCCTTGCAATGATTGTCGGAAAACTTACAAATTCGCAATCAACTCGACTTTGTTCTGGACAATAGCCACAACTTCTGCGGCACTTTTCCCGAAATCTGGGAAGCAAGCAATTATGCAAATTTGTATGACTACATGTTCCGTTTAGAACAGCCTGAAGATCATCGGTACATATTGGCAACTGATGTTCTGTCTTTTCCTGAAATTATTGATTTCTTTCTTTATTTTTCCATTATTATAAATTTTATTTCCGTATTATTTTCAGCTTATTTTAGATGGAAAAAGTTACATTTTCATAATTCATCGCTATTTCCATAATAAGTAAGAGATTTCTGCGGTAGAATCACAACGATTGGAAAAAGATATGAGAGAAAGGAGGGAGGGAGAAAGAAGAGATATTCAACTATTATATCATTAACAAGTTTTAATACTTCAGTACTGGCAATAAGTTGATAATTGTACAAAGCAGAAGTCAGACAGAGGACATCAAAATAAAACCGGTTTGAAGGAGAAATCCGGAAAGTTAACCTGGATGTACAAGAAAGGATGATGTGTACTAATGTAGTACAGTCGTAAGCTTATACCGCACATTCCACAGGTCCGAGCACATAATATGTACCTGCAACGGGATCTTCTCAAAAGAAAAAGAAAACAATTTCTTCCATAAATACTTTTTCAGCAAATTTACATTTCTTGCAAAGCAGTCCACATGAGAAATGTTTCTAAGCAAGATGAAATCCACCTGAACTCTTGAAATGAATTGCAATGGCCACGAGATTTGTGTAGAAAGTCACAGTCAACGAGACTATCCTCACAATACAAATCAGCCAGTCCAATGATAACATTAGGCATTTTCTGGAAATCTTCAGCCCTATACATTGAAGGATTCGCGAAATCATGCAATCGGTAACTCGAATCCTTGTTGGCCTAAATTTGGGAACTGCTGATAAAGGCAAGAAGGGAAGAATCAAAAGAGAATGTAGGGATAACGAAGACAAGGACAAGTGCAAATGGTGACAAGTAAAAACACTTTGCTCCTCCAGTGAAACTGTAACACTGATCTAGACTTATTGTGACAGTGCAAATGGTGCTAACACAGTAATCATTACCAACTTAGTAAGTTGCTTTCCTAACAGTAGATATCATTAGAAAATTCAGTAAGCAGTAGGCTAGGACAAAATAATTTTCATAACAAGTCTGGACCAGTCTCAGGAATTGATGGGTCATTTGAGCCCCGGTTGAGTAAAGGGGGATAAGTGGAGGTACTGTGATGTCTTTGTGACCCGCAAAAGGATCTTTCATAGATGTGTTTGTGACGTATATGATTACCTGTTTGTAAATTCTGTTCACGTGGAAGATGTCATGGTTGCTTATATTTCTGGTCCTTCTGTACACACGTCCAAAGAGTGGGTCATCTACGTAGGGGTAGGAGTGGATAAGATTCTCGTATACTTTGCTCCAGTAAAACTGTAATTGAAACTTTGAACCGTTCTCGTCGAGACAATATCGAGAGGCTTCAGTGAGTGTGAGACATTGTACTGTCATTCAGAGATAGAAAGAGATGATGCGCTTACAAATTCCATATTTGGTTGATGACACATCATACTTGTCGCAGTTTCCATTCCAATGCATTCTTCTTCGTTGGTCTCTTCGGTCAGCTTTTTTGAATCCACAATAAATTTGTCCTTCCATACCACAAATTTAAGGTACTGTAACTTTACTGCATTAGAAGCAGAAGACAATAAAAAGGCTTAAAGAGTTCGTCTCGTAGTGATAACACAGAATGACTTTTACTTTTACGGTGACACGGTGGGCTTTCTCACTTTGAATTCCTCTGGTTTTCTGCCTTTTCGAGGCTACTTTTATTTTGGTGGTACCGCATAATGCGGATGCTTTCGAGCATTCCATTATCTGCATACTGTATGTCTCTCGGTACGCAGAGGAAGAATTCGTTAGAAAATTTGCTAAGTATTAGGCAACTTACACCAATCTCGCTGTCAGCACCGAAATACAATATGTTTCCTTCCGGCTCCTTCATTGCGATCATTTGAAAACCAAGAATTTGATATATTGATCGCAAGACAATGTGACTGTACTCTATACATTCATCGTAGATATTGATCCACTGAAGAAGACGGCGTTTTAAGTGACGTGTGAGAGTTGAGCACGTGGAATGGTTTCTGACCAAGAACTGTACAGAGGTAGGACGGGAAAGTTTAGGATCAGATACCGTGACGGAGTATGAAATTTGCGAATGGAAATCTTTATGTCATTTTGCAGTTTGCAGTATTCAGTTGCATGCATCCCACTGAATTGAAAGCGTAATTCTAAATGAATTCCACAGTTAAATATAATAATTTAGGTGTAACTTACTCTTTCTCCACCCTTCCCATATCCAAGAAGTCCGTAACAGCCATAAGTAGTTGTCTTCACAGATATGTAATCGTTATCTCTCTCTTTGATAAAAGATCGAAATTTAATATTTGTTCTGTTTTGTACCTGAAACAATAGATCCGCCAGTTGTTCCCATCGGCGTCTCGAGTAAGCCGGTGCTGAAAAGGAAATAAATCAGTCTTGATTTCGTATTCTTTTCCTGGAATTAAAGAAATATTACTAAACTCTATTTCAAATTTGTTTTAATATTTAGGATTTAAACAGAGCTGAGACTTTTCATAAAAGTAGCCTCTGTGCAGTAAAGTAAATATATTGCTTATTTACAAATCCACAAAGGTATTGTTTGTTGCTTCCATTGGTTTTCTTTTTTGGCATCCATTACAAACATCCATTTTCCTAGTGTACTGCACTGCAATTTATTGATACAATGTCGAAACCGAGTTAGAATTATATGAAATCATGAAAATATTGAAATATTATTTCGTATTTGTTTGTAAAATATAAATCTTAAGTGTTTATTATGAACCTATGCGTTTCCAGTCATTTCAATCCTCAAGATCAACAGAAAAGATTGTATATATCTCATGATAGTTGATGTAATTGCATGTGAGATACCGCCTTCTTTGCTTACGGAGGAGTGCTTTCTTATGGTAACCTCCCAAATTCTTATTTAATTTCCTATTTAATCTCGTCAAATCATCGATCAGTTATAAAGAAAACTTAAAAACTTTTCTCGGGTATTATCTTACTGAGATAAGAGAATTTGGTTTTTTTTCCTTGACAAAGTAAGACAAATCTCTTCAGTGACACCTAGTCGAGAAAATTGATGAAACTTTGTAACACTTTAGATAACAGAAACCTCTTGTATATTTTAAAGAATGCTGATTTAATACACTCGCGTTCGATACCTATACGCAGTTTTATTTGAATTACACAAATTACAGATTACCATTAAGCTGAGAAAGATAAGTTTGAAGAACATCCATCTGTAGGAATTCATGATATGTGCTGGTGAAAGGGAAAAGAGAGGAATGGAAGGTGCACGGACACTGCTTGTTGACTGAATTAGTTTCCCAGCTTGGTTATTCATCATATTCATGGCTGGCATGAGAAGATGGTAGAGTAATGGTAACTGGAGAAAAGTGTGATTCGGTAGCTCTCCGTAGTTCATTTCGTATTTCACAGATCATGACAGAGTAACAGAGATCATAGTGGGAAGCTTTCCTATCACTTTCATTTTGTTGGCACCCAAATTTTCAGATGGAGGAACTATCGGTTGATAAATTTCGAAATGAACGATGGCGTGACTTAAGACGTCTTACCGACGGGAAATCGGCTTTTGCCCATCCAGCCTTCGAACCAGGAGTGCAGGTTATCGTCTCTAACTTAAGCTGTTTCCTTAATTTAGTGCAGTGAAATGATGTTTTCTATTTTTCGTATTAACATATCCGTGTGTGATTGAAAAAACTTACTTTTTTAGAACTTGGAAACAGTACAAAACTGCCGTGTATTAGTGGTCGGAGCCGGTGGATTAGGATGTGAATTATTGAAAGATTTGGTATGTTTTTCTTTCGGTAGCTTTAGTAGTCGTATCACATTGGTGAGATTTTACTGATCAGACAGAAACTTTCCATTTATTTTAATTAGATATGCTTAGGCATTATCTGGTTTTCGAAGGATCGAAGTGATCGATATGGATACGATTGAATTGTCCAATCTGAATAGGCAGTTCCTTTTTCGGTTCGTTCCGTTATCTTTGAAACCTAAACCAAAATTGATAGATGATTCAAGTTCTAGTAAACACGTTGGTTTCATTACGTTTCTCAGTCTCTCATCTTTTATCTTATTTCTTCATTCCCGTTATTTTCAGTGAAACTGATGTGGGTAAATCAAAAGCCGAGGTAGCGGCAGCATTCATCCGGAAACGAATCCCAGATTGCTCTGTAGTCGCGTGTGTTTTTATATTGAAACCAAGGAGATGTTACATTGAATAATAGTACATTGACATCAAGCATATAGGATTTCGCTTGTGAAATATATTAGTATAATTTCATTATCTGCTGATATTCAAGAAAGTTATTTGCAGTCATAACTGTAAGATACAGGATAAGGATGACCAGTTTTATCGATCGTTCGACATCATTATTTGTGGTTTGGATTCTGTGGTTGCAAGAAGATGGCTTAATGCTAAATTGGTTAATTTTTTTTATTTATTTCACCTAATTAATTAATGTTGAATTTGTAATGCAATAGCTGAAATTATAAAGCTTTCTGTCCGAATAACAGTTAACCTTTATGGCGTAACTAAATATTTCGTAATTAAATCAAAAATAGGTAAGCATAGTGGAATTCGATCCGGATGGTAATCCAACAGGCATTATACCTTTAATTGATGGTGGCACAGAAGGATTTAAGGGGAATTCTCGAATAATACTGCCTACGATGACTGCTTGTGTCGAATGTACTGTTGATCTGTACCCACCACAGGTTACACTTTACCTTTATTCAAATTCATTGCAGTCGAATTTGATTTAATTTAAATTTGAGCCCATTTATGACTGTCAGTCAGCTTGCATTTACAGATCACTTTTCCTATGTGCACGATAGCAAATACTCCTCGACTTCCTGAACATTGCATTGAATATGTGAAAGTAATACAGTGGCATAAGGACAAACCATTTAATGGTTCGCTTTGATATTTCATTTATTTGTAATTTGAATATAACACTTCATAACATGTACCACACTGATGCTACCGCTATCTCAAAAATTGCTATAAGTTAAAAGTATTATTCAGGTGAAGCGATGGACACTGATAACATGGAACACGTGCAATGGGTGTTTAAAGCTGCTTTAAAAAGGGCTAACAAATACAATATCAAAGGAGTTGATTTAAGACTTACAAAAGGTGTTCTGAAGCGAATAATTCCGGCTGTGGCATCTACCAATGCTGTTATTGCAGGTAGTATCTAATTGTTATCGTTCTCGACCTTGACTTTTGGAATATATGTACGAATACTTTATACAATTGATTACTAGTACACAACAATATTCATATAAACACTCGTTATTTGTAAACATGATATTCATAAGGATAGTGAGATATGATATATAGGATAGTGAACTTTAGATATTTCAGCATCATGCGCACTGGAGGCTTTGAAACTAGCTTCAAAGTAAGTTTCCTGATTTAACATTTTTTTAACTGATATTTTTGACTTCTGGCGGTTTTTCTTTGTTAATTGTTACTTTTTTTTACAGCATTTCATGCCCAATGCAAAACTATCTCAATTTTACAAATATTGAGGGAGCTTTCGTGGGAGTTGTCGAATTGGAAAAAAGAGTAAGTCAGTAATTCGCGCATACATTCATTGATAATAAATTCTTTCGTAAAATAGGTTTTTTATACACTTTGCGTCTTTAATTAAAATTAATTAAAAACTCGATACAAAAGTGCACTTTATTCGATATATTTTTGATGTTTATTCTTTCCTCGATAAAAATAGAAATTTTTTTCAGCTGGACTGTTTAGTATGTGGTGAACAGGCACAGTACGTAGATATACCCGCCAAAGAAACACTGCGCCACTTGCTAGATGAAATTATAAAAAGATAGTAAGTGTTTCCATGTGATTCACATTTTTGTTTCTGTTGACAAAAGAGATACACAGTGATACACTTCATGATCAGTGCTTTAGTTCAAGAAAAATTTGCCCCTTCCTTTCCTCTTTTCTAACATTTAAAGGAAATTACTGGTTAGAGTAGGAAAAAAAGACGAAAAAAACTTTAATCTTATGAAAAAAACTATTGTTTTATAGTCAGCTTTGTAATCCATCAATACAAACAGCAAAGGAAAAATTATATATGAAAAGCGATCTGATACCTGAATTGAATGAAATCAGCACTGCCAATTTATCCAGAACTTTGGAAGGCCAGTTTTCCGGTTTGATTGGAATGAATTTAAAGTTTATACCTTGCATAAATTTGGGATCGAATAATGTTACGGATGTCTATTTAAGAGATATACATGTAAAGCTGGATTTATTATAGAAAATGTTCTTTAACAGGTTACCAAATCACAAGGCGATTATTTGTAGATCTCGGCCTGGCAAATGGTGACGAACTTCTTATTGCTGATGAAACTCGGGCTCGACCAATTTCCTTACGTATTCGTTACCAAGGAGATTAGAAATTCACTGGAACTTGTTAAACCTATTTTAGAAGGTGCCTATACTATACTAACTGATCAAAAACACTGAAGTACATTATGAGAACAAAACTTGCGCTTTTCTGCATACGTAATTTTTTCTGTGTATTTCAGAGCTAACTCGCTTAAGAGAAATATGTCTAGTGAGGTGCTTTGCTGGAATTGTTTGTTCGAAAAAAACTTTGGCCCTGTCAGAATTTCACTGAATTAGGTAGCTCAGTAGTTGGTTTCCGGATTTTGTCCTTGTGATTTATATAAATATATTCGTACTATAGATATATAGTCAAAGAAAAGAATACCCGCTTCAATGTTAAATTGATTTAATGAATATAAGATGTCTCTAAAAAACATCAAAAGAAAAATTCTAAACAATTAGAAAGGAAAACAAGTTTTCCAGTGTGAAATTAGTATTTACGTCTAAAGGATGTTGAATTACAAAATTTTAAGTCTCGTCAGTTATAAAATATTAATCTTCGAGCAGTCGTTATCATTCATCCCTGAATGGTATTCCCATAATTTTTTCCCTTAAGAAAATGCAGGCCAAGTAGGTAAGTTTAAACACGTAATGCATGCACCTAAAATGACTTGTTGGTAACACATCATTCTGGCGTGATCTTTGATTGACCAGTATTTTTTGTTCTTTTCAAGTTTACCTGACATCATTGCAGATAAAACATATGTAATACAGAAGCATCGAACATGACTATTCTAAAAGAATTTATGAAAATCATACATTTGCAAAGGCTTGCTTTGGATATATAATAGATTATAATTAGGCATTTGCAACGGTGAAACTGCAGCTAAATTTTAGAGTTTTGCAAGAGGCGCAACTTGTACTCTTCAGTGACGGTTTCATAGTCTTGCTCTGGATCGAAAAATTTCTCGGAATTGCTCCCCAAATAACGAACAAATGACTGGACAAAAACAGTTAAAATCTCTTTCGAATCGTTGTCGCACAGCATACATCTAAAAATGAATTATGACCAGCCAGAAAGGAGGCATTCGAGGTTGCCATTTGCAGTTTTTTCCTATTTTAAGAAATGAGGATTTACATCAAATAGTTCCAACTCACTCGATCATTTCTGGAAACCTAATAAGTAGTCGAAGCAAATAAATAAAACCATAGTATTCCGATGCCCGAAGTCCTTTTTTTGGTTCATTCAACAGATCTGAAATCCACTGAAAGCATCAAACTTTCTTTGAAACATAATGCTCTTTAAATAAAAAAATACTTTATATGTAATAAATGCTTGCTCCAACCTGATATATTGTACAGATGAATAACTCCTGAAGTCTCCTCAGTCAGGTCCTTATGACGCAACTTCTCGTTTGCGTACAATATGTCAGATGCTATAATCAGATCGAAAAAACTCTGCAACAACAAGTTTCGGAGGTGTAAAAAGTATAACTGGTAAAGAGTTATATTTTCTAGAGCAAAACATACATTACAGGACTCAAGAAAACATGCCACTTTTCCAGTTGACATCTCGGACAAAGTACTCTACATCAAACCAGACAGATTGATCTTAGAGAAAGATTTTCACATGCAATAATGCCAATTAACACCTTTTTATCTTTTTATCAGTCTTAATATTTCAAATTTAACCTACAATTTAATTCAGTTCTAAAAAGAGACCTATAAGGAGTTACTTTCATATTATCTGCACATTCGTCTAACGCGGCCACAACACCTTTCCAGTATCGTGCTCGTCCTTTATGCACTTTAACTTCTGAGCATACTGCATCCAGTTTTCGCACGTGCATGACATACTGCAGTGGATGGACCGTTGCACAGAAATTGATAGAAATTCCTGCTCAATCTTCAACCCGTCTAATTTTCCAATTTCCTTATAAATTCTGCTCAGTGTAAAAGAAATTTGCCAAAATATAAACAACCGAAACATGCAAATTGCTAGGTATTTGGAAGCAAATTTTAACTTAGCTTTGTCAACAAAATGATTTTAATTTCGAATTTAATTTCTATTGGTCTCTTCAGAAAAACGGTTCTTGACTAGATTAGTAAACTAGTAATCCCTAATACCTCACCTCTTCCATAATATTTGAAACAGTCAAGCGGCATGGCAGGCGCGGTAATTTCAGCTCGCTTTCAATCAAACGACGGTCATTTTCTAGCAGAGCTTTCAGCTTTTCAGGAATTGATACTGTCTAAAGAACTTTCTAAAGAAGATATTTCATCAGGAAATTGGCTGATGCTCAGCTGATTAAGAATGTCCAAAGAGGATGCTGCTATAATTGAAAAGTTCGTTTGTTTCCTGACCTCATTTGTGGATGAGCTTCTCGATATACTATCCGTTGAACTATCCCCAAAGACACTGTAACTGACTAGCAGTTTTGCATCTCGAGAAGCATCTAGAAAACAACGTAATTTATGTATATTAGTGATCTTCTAAAGATATCTAAAGCATGATTTATAAAAATAAACTGAAAAAATATCATCCTTTAAAAAATACATTTTTATGATCTACTACAACTGTAACAAATATCAACAGAAAAGAGAAATTTTCAACACATCTAAAGGCGGCAATATTTAACAAGTTCTCTTACTGGAAGAAGACTCTGACAATTGTACAGCCGAGCGCCCACGCCGAATTTCTGCCTTTTGTGGCTTCTTTTTTTTAACTAGCTCAGCAGCTCGAGCCTTCGCCTCCCTCATTTCAATCTAAACATGCCAATATATTTAAACATGACATCACTATTCTGCCTACTACACATTCAGTCCATTGATATGGAGCAATAGCTAATTACCTGACTTCTATCATCCTAACTTCATAAAATCAGTTTACAAAGATTCAGTGCAATATTTTTAGGTCAATTAAAATCATTCATAATATAAGCTGCATAAATCAGTTTTTTTTTTTTTTTTTTTTTAAGAAATTAAATTCGTAATACTCGAATTATGAAAATAACAACAAAACAAAACAAAAAATATCGACATTACCCCCACAACAAAAATACCGACATTACCTTTGCAAGTTCAATATTTTCCGGTGTAAACGGACGGAATCGTATTGCAGACCTGCTGTGCGGAATGTTTTCATCGTATCGTTTACTCCATCCCTAATAATAGATGCACGTGTTTCAACAATGTTTTTCACTACTTTGTCTACAATTCTTTTCCTTCTCCTAATGAAGTATACTTCTCTCTTTTACTGTAAAACTACAAAAGCAGTGCAATGCTCAACAACACACTTTCTTCCACCTATTTCTACTCGTAAAGGTTATACAGGTAAGAACTAGAAGACAACCTGATAGTGAACAGTATACAAATATTCTCCATTTGTTTGTATTTTTACAGCGATTATCTTAGCCTCATAAAAAAGATTGTCGGTATGGCTACAAAGTATCATCGAGTTCACTTCATAAGGTGTTATCGGTGGCACAGGCTGCAATCAAAAAAGCTATGGAAATGTTAGTCTCAACGGCAATTCAGTAATATTTCATATGGTTTTTCTAAGAAAACTTACACTTGTTACTGAGCCATCAGAACTACTTGCTTCCGCTTCCATATCTGAAAAAAGGAAAAAAGAATTTTAACTGCTCAGTCATTTCGCATCACACTCCTCACCATTCCTCTTCAGGGACAAAAATTTGAATCAAACAGTCGTAAAGCGATGATCTCTGCTCCAAAGATAGTGTCCCTCTGGTCGATCGTCCCATTAAACTTAATCTAATGAATATTCCCAGAAGAAGTGAACTAATGCTATGACAAGCCGACAACACATCCGTGAAGTAAGAAAACACTGGAATCAGTGGACAAGCGACAATAAGCGCTGCATAAATGAGAGAAGCACTTGCTGACTTAAGCTCCAATCGTTGTCATCTCGAGAAAAACTGACTTAAGCTCCCCTCGTTCTCATCTCGAGAAACGGATGAGTCGGATATCTCTCGAGAAACGGATGATTCAGTTACCGCCAACCAATATCGCAGTCCTATCACTTCTCCGCCACACCTTCTCAGCCCATCTCCTTATCAAATCGGGAAGGCAAAAAGCAGGAGCCGTTCTCGCTAGATAACAATGACGACACGGTTTTCTCGCTAGATCGAGTTGGATTCCTGCGTGGATGACGTGGTATCCGAGCAGGCAGTTTCTTAACACGTGAGGACGAGTGTGTGTATGTGTGTGTGCTACTTTTGGAATACAGTGATGCCACTGTGACTCCTGCCATGTATCATCGCATGCAATTTCAATTTCATAGAACAATTCATTTGCGTATTTCTTGTCGCATATCTATTCCATCCGGAAATCTGTAGTTTCCGGATGCATTCATCAAAATCTTCTGGAAACATGTGAAGTAGCAGCACAGGATGTAAAGAATGATATCATGCCTACACAAGAAAAGGCATACAGGGGATTTGTGTAAATTTGTTGCTGTTGGTGACAGTCACAGTTTGCAAGCGTTACAAATAGATGTCGAATGACTTGAAAATATTTGGCTTAAAAATTTTTCAAGGAAAGTTGGATAATACTAATACAAATGTCTGAAGACCGAAAGAGATGAACGTTTACCGTATTGCAGGTGTTTACCGTGAGTGATACCTCACACCTCACTTCACAGCAGTCGTCCATCGATTTTACAGAAGAAATAGTAGCAAGCTGATTTACATAAGATTAGCTGAAAGCAAGAACGGAATTCGTCTTTAAAGATGAAGTAAACAGTCGGTTCACGTAGAATAATCGTAATATTGTTGGCGATGGCCGATGCTAAGAAAAGTCATGTAAATTTCATCAGCGCCACGGATGTTTTTGATCAGTGAATGGTACTTACTGGTGAATTAGTAAGTTTATGCTAATCTCGAAATTGTTGGCTTATCCCTAAAGTTGTGCAGCATATTGTGAGAGGGGAAGAGGAATCATTTTCTCATTTTCCAGACGTGTACTATTTCCGGAGAAACTGATGCATTTTCTGAAACGGAAAAACGATGGTATATCATCATCATCTGTTCTTTTGGTTTCTTTTCCGTATAAAAATTTCTTTTCCATGCTTATCAACTTTTAAATTTGACTTGATTTTCGGATGTTCTCTTTTAGATGTAAACAGAGCTGAAGTAGGCCTTTCTACTGGCACTTATCAAATATAGATAGCATCACAATAGTTTTTCTCAGTACTAAAGGCAATTCCCTAATATTAAAATAATCGATCACAAAATAATTGTTGGTTAGTCGAAAAGATTTTTAGTGGGAAGAACGAATCAATCGTACAGGTATGCTTTTTATATTTTCTCACCAACGAACGACAGTGATCAATGATAGTTAGGCTTGGAGTCACGGTATTGACGTATAAGTCTAGGTTAGCAACATGAGAAGACGTACAAACATTCTTAACGAGCACCAGCCCTTGGCCGAAGTTCTGATTTCTTTAATATATCGTACACTTCTTCGACATTATTCGCGGCAGACCAGAAATGACATTTCCTGTATTGTTCTTTTAGATATTCACTTACTAACATGCTTTTAAAACTCTTTCCTTCTTGTTATCACTGTTCAGGAAATGCTGAATGACACCGAGGACTTTGCAGTTCTTCATGACGAAGCTAACAGTTCCAGTGCTCCCTATATCAAGTTGAATCCAGAAAATACAAGTTTAATTTCAATGTAGTCGATAAGGAAATATAGGGAAAGTTAATTGCATTGCTTTTGCACAGTACTTCTAAGTGCAGTAATGTTTCGGAAAGTTTCTTTCAGATTTATGTCTTTGCTTAATAAAACACCGTTCCCAACGAAGTCACTCAAAAGCCGTGATTGGTATTTCATGCCCTCACGGCCCTAAAAGCTAGGCTGAACTCATCATATACATCATATGCACCTCTGTTCAGCTATATGTGGGCGTAAGCATTTCAGAATTCAGGAAAAAGGTGGAGTAAAAAGGCATTTCTGACTTGCTTTTCAGAAACAAAGACATTTCGACTAATAGCAAATTTCACTAATGCGGCAGACTTCATTCGTGACAAAACCACTGCACGTATTATAGCCATTTTTGAATTTTTATTCACTCAATGCTGAGCGAGACAGAAGACTAATTTAATTAATGAAACGAAAAAATGCTTTAAATAGTTTATTCAACAAAACAACTTTTTAAAATACTGCCAAGTAAGTCATATAGATTGAAAGCAGAAAAGAAGACGCAAGGGAAAGGTCTGTCCGCGCACCTCAGTTGAAATTAATCAAAAAATTTAAGAACGTCACAAAGGAATTGTGCAACGATTGTTGCAAATATAATAATAATACATATAACCCCAACAGTAAGCACGACCAATTAATTAATCATAAATGATTACAATAACAGAAAAATATAGTTTTATGATGGTATATGACGTATGACCAAGTATGACGGACTGACACTACAAAAAGTAGCCAACGACAGGTAATGGGAACAAGTCGATGTGATGATATATTCTCCTTCCCACAAAAAAAAAAAAAAAAAAAAGCGAAACGTAACATTCGATAAGTGTCCTCAAACCAAACAATGACATGGACAATTCTGAGCACCGATCACCAAAGGCTTCATTTTTCTTCCTTGTTCGGCATATTCTTATAACCGAGTATCGCTTCCTCACCGCAAGCAGCAACAACGAGACACTTAAAATTCATAAGCGTCACATACAAAATACTTTTTTAAACTGCTATTACTACTACAAGGCATTAAATAAATGAATTTCTTTGTAGTGCGCATACAAGAATACTATGGGCTTTCTTTCTTAGTCAAATGGTCAAACGCTTACCAATATTCCATTCTCGTCTTTTTCATATGCCTGTTTGATTTGATCTCCCAAGTCACCCTCAGGTAACTTCAAGTCATCTTTTGTTTCACACGTATCTAGATCCATCAAGCTAACATAACCATCATCATTTATTGATAGGAGCTGCAAATGTAGTTAGCATAAATAAGAATAAACTTATTCAGTTTGAACACCGTCACTCCTAAATGTTATTTTCACATTTTGCATTGAAACTAATCATTTATTAGCTATGCAAATGTTCTACCCTGATGCAACAGAAAGTTATCGATCCTATTATATTGAAAAAAAGAAAAAAAACTGTGAATGAACCTGATATTCTTTACGCTTCACTACAGGAACATCCATATTATGAGTAGATGGACAAATATCTTCCAATTTCTTGCCAGTGAAGATATCCAAGCCAACAAGATGAACTTTGGCATGTCCGTGCTTACCAGTTTTTGAAGTGCTCATTTCAACAACCTGAATACATATTAGCTTTATCTAAGTAAACATCAAAGATTATAAATTAATATCACCAATAATAATCGTATCTCCGTTAAGAAATCCCATACTGAAGTTATTTATTGACAAAAGAGCTAGAGAGAAGATTCTTAAAACACCCTACTCTAACAATTCGAACCACCCTCCCTTCATCTCTTTTTCTCTGCAAAGAAACCAATTCATGAAAACGGCATAAAGTTTATCGTAAATAAAACTAAAAAGGAAGAAAATTCCGAAGTTTTAACCAACTATAGTTTACTGGTGTCGGAAATTCTGAAATTATTCACGTATACTAGAACACTCCTATTCTATTTATTTGATTGGATTAACATTACCAACCGACATGACTAACTCCTTCCATAAATTGAAAAATTATAATTACCTTGCACGGACGGCCTTTGAGCATAACGTTTTCATTTTTGCGAAGAGCAGAGCACTGCTTCGGATATGTTGTAGCAGCACCAGCATCGCCCGTATGAAAATCGTGATCGTGTTCGTGTTCTGCCATAGCCTACAGGAGATGGCGCACTGAAAAATGTTTTGAACCATAATTTGGCGACAATCACTAATATAAAACAACAAATTCTTAGGAAAAACATATAAACGAATCTCTGGTTGGCAAAAAAATACCTATTCTGTCTATCCACACAAATACCATCCGACAGATAATTTTTTAGAGCATACTTTAAGTTTTATTTTTAGAGCATACTTTAAGAGCATACTACAAGGATTAGCATATAATAAAGTAGATATGACATGAGTCAAAAAAAGTGGACGATGTCTGATGAATAGAACTTCCATTCCTCATATACCTCACTTGTAAAAAACACTAAAAATACTCCACCAAATAGTTCTGAGCATGCTAATTATCAAGTTAACTTATAGAGTCAATTATGATTAGCGGCAAAAATAATTTTCTTTACATATTTACACTGTTGCAATGTCTGACAGACAATACTGTAACCTAAATAACATTACCCATTACATGGCAATTTTATTCTTACCAGATATATTGAATTTAAGTTCATAAGTCACGATCCCACAAATTTAACTACTTTCTAATAAGAATGATGTAACGTCAATTGTTTACGAAACTGTGTTTGGTGGTTGAAATATATGATTCATTCCATTCACCGCAATTCACCATGACAAACAACGCACTGTCCCACTTAACCACTTTATCCATTCAAAAGGTCAAGCTTTCAGTTCTATTTATCGAATCAAGCATGACCCCAGTCAGTTCTAGCTGACACATTCACGCTAACCACGTGTTACCTTATGTTTGCTTTGCACTAGCTCAACAACTTAACAACATGAAATTCGTGTAACGAAACCATTAGGCTCACTAACACTTGAACTAAAGTCAAGAAAAAAGAGATTACTGCACAAAATAACTAGAAGTACTTACATATCTAATAAACGCGCAATGCACAGTTCTGCGTATTTATGTACGTGTGCGTGTAACTGACACAATCACGGGAAAAGCAGAGGTGGCACGTTGATCGAAGTAACGAGTTAACTCTTAGGAAGAACACGCAGTCTCAGACGATTGCTGCTCTGTTTGCATCGATTTCAGGGCCACGTCGATTTCAGGTCACGTGTCAGAGCAACACACTAGTACCAGCAGAAGCAAGGACAACAGACCCAACTGTCAGATCGAAAGAATGAAAACGAACCTCCGTCAAGCAGCCCTCCTTCTGATCCTAAACACGCTACCGTATCCCGAGGGGAATATCGCCACACTATAATGAGCCGATGTGAAGTTTGGCAGTGTTCTGCGGAAGGCGCGCTGTTTGAAGGTGGGTGGACGACGCTGTGACCTTTGCTTGGATTAGAGGACAAATCGATTGGTTGACCCGAGATATGGAGTGGTCAACGGTGAAGTACGACTGTGAGTTGAAATTTGATGAAGGAGTGGACAGTTCTATCAAGTTTGGTGTGAAAATATTGTTATTAGTTACTTGTTGCAAACTAAATTTGTAATAAATTCATAAACAGAAGATTGCGAATCGCAAATTTTCAATTCAAACTTTGACTCTGATCAATAAAGAAGGTAGAAATTTTTTGCAAATTCATGTGAAAAAACTTTAGGAAGTATGAGAAAGTGAAGAAAATTTACTAAAATTAAAAGTTGCTTTATTTGGATTTATCAAGATGACGGCATAGCATAGTAAACAATCGTAAGAGGTGAGAGGTCAGAGGGAAGAGTAATGAACAGGAAGAGAATCGGAAAGAGCAAGGTCTCTTTAGATTCGCATTACTAGAAAAGGTCAAGGAAGAGTTGCGTCGACTTCTATTTTCTCGTCTCATTTCTTCGCTGATTACTTTCGTGCTTCACTCTCGACTCATCTACCTAAGCAAGCAGTCCACCGCGACCTGTTTTCTGTTATCTGGCCAATTCTTAGCTCACTACCGCTGGAAGCAATGGGCCTGTCCTGTCTTCTGGCTCTATTCTGCCTATCGGTGCTTTGCTTCCATGGCTGTGGCACCACTCCTTGTTCCGAACTGTGTCGCTGTTATTCTCGAGAAAATGTGCGTGTAATGGACTGTTCGCATTCCACGCTGCAAAGATTTGTTCCCTTCGAAACGATTCTCAACGATTCGCAGTCCTATAACTCGGCCAAACCCATCTCGAATAATTATGAATTTAGTCTTTCGGAAGTGGTAGAAGTAGACATTTCACACAGCAATTTGGAAAATGTCCCAAGTTTCGATGGTTTTTATCACCTAAAACGATTGAATTTGGCATATAATAAAATACGCAGTGTTTCGGATGAGGCATTGGCATCTCTAAGATATTTGGAAGAACTAAATTTATCGCACAATCAAATTTCTTACATTTCCGGAATTGCATTTAAAAGTTTGTTTTCTCTTCAAAAAATAGATCTTGGTTGGAACATGCTGAAAACTTTGTCATTTTCTCAGGACATTCCCAACCTGAAAGAGCTCTATTTAAATGATAACTTAATTGAAGATATTCTTCCGGAACTGCCGCTGAACTTTTCAAGTCTCAAAACACTTTCACTTGCTAATAACACAATATCCCACTTACAATCGAAATCACTGATGAAATGTTACAAACTAGAAAATTTGAATTTGGCTCGGAATCCTTTCCTAGAAGTACCGGCTCAAGCTCTACGTCATGTTGCATCAACATTGGTTAAGTTAAATCTCAGTTCGACACATATTACAACAATTAGAAGTGATGATTTCGCTAACCTTCTCGTTATTCAGGAGATTGATTTGTCCAGTAAGTTTATTTGATTGAAATTTCTTACTGCAGATAAGTCCTTGTTGTTTACCTGTGTTGAATGTGGTTATTCGTCAAACTTTGTCAAACACTTTTCTCAATTTGTTTGGAATTTCTATGCTCTCATCTAATCACATATTTTTGTGACAAGTTGTTTTGATAGTTTGCAGTACAACTCACTTTTTACCTCTTGCTATTGCAGATACGAAAATGGCAAAGATAGAAGAGAATTCGTTCCGAAATCTTCCCAAACTGCTGCAACTTCACCTGAATGATAATCAGGAACTGAAAGAGATTCATCATGCCGCATTCCGGTCTCTACCCTCACTGCTGCTCCTTCACCTTCACAACTGTAATTTATCGTGCTTGCATGACCTCAACCCACAACTGTTCCAATCTCTTCAGCGTTTGACCCTGCATGGCAATCCACTTCTTTTTAATTGCAATCTAACATGGCTTCAGCACTTCAGACATACTACTGTATTAGACAGACAAGGAATAAAATGTATTAGTAATAGCAAAAGATATCAGGATTTGCATACTTCCGGAAAATCTCCCCCAAGGATAGTTGGTTTGCCTGCTGCTACCGCTGTTATGGAGAGACAGAGATTAGTCCTGACTTGCAATGCGATCGGTAACCCAAGACCAACTGTCCAGTGGCGAGATCCAACGGATACTGAAACTCCAAAAGGGCAATTCTTAATTTTTGAAGAAATCAATCAGAATCAATCCGGTACCTATCACTGCTTAGCATACTCTGAAGCAGGTTCAGTTGAAGCAAAAATTTCTGTGGAGGTCATCCCTGATCTTAGATTGCAAGTATTTTCTATCAATTCAACAGTGGCATTAGTGACCTGGAACGGAAGACTTCCGGTTATTACATCCAGACTTCGTATTCGATTTCGAGACAATTCGACAGAATTCGTGAGAGATGCAGAAGTGGACGAGGAAAAGATAGCAGTTCGATTCTTTCGAGAAATATTTGCGGACAGTGTCGAAGTTTGCCTGCTGGATGGTGAAACGGAGTTGATTTGTGATTATTTTGATAATCGAGATGAGAAGCAAGGTAGCTTCTTGTACCTAAATCTTTTCATTATTTTATTTTGCTTCTTGCTTTGTATTTATAGTCTGAAATCTAAGCTTAAGCAAGTAGATCGGACAGTTAAAATGATGAGGATGACAATTAATCTGGATAGGGGTCCAGTATTTTACAATTCCAACGCTTTAGCAATCGAAATTGTGAGTAGGACAGAGTTATAAATTGTATTAACATATACAATTTAGTTGATCATTTGTATGCAATACTTTGTTGATTTTTCATTGAGTTGTTGTGGAATCCTTTGAAATAATGAATTTATGCAAAACATTCAGAATTAAACATATTTGACAAAGTTTAGCTTTTTTTTAAGCTGGCTGATTTTTCAAAAGCTCCATTTCAGTTGAAAAAGTCTTTGCTTGGGTAAGCAGTCCTTTTTACCTCTTTGGGAAAAGGAAAAAGTTCTCACTTATCATTGCTCGGAAGAAAGTGTTGAAACACGTTTTAGTTACGGACAATCCTGTTAGATACATCTGCAATCGTTTGTCGCTTGCACTCCAAAAGTGATAAATAAATTAAAAATAAGCTAATATATATATATATATATATATATATATTTAATATAAATTAATATATTTTTATTAATAGTTTGTTTAAAAAAAAAAAGCGAATCGAATTAAATTTCGCATTAACAAATTTTATTTTTCCTTCTTTTTATACTGACTTATAGTTTAATTTATCAATTATCTTTTATAATCACCAATTAGCAATCTTCGTTACATTATGAATAGACCGTGTGAAATGCATTGCATTCCCTGGCAATTATTAAAGATTAATGTTTGTGAGGTGAACAAATGATAGGTGTAGATGTTTTCGATAGATATTAAAATTAAATTATTATTATTATTATTACACAGTCTTATTCACTGAGCAACCTATAAATATAGAAATAAAATTTACAACACTAATAGATCTGATCAATATTTCGAAATTTTAACGAATCTCTTTTTCAAATGTTCTTGGTTTATGGTTTATGTAGTTTCAAAGTATCCGAATGGATTTATCCAGTTATTGTTATGAGGCTATGAAAATTAGAAAGATGAGTTAGAAAAGAATTAGAAAAAGGTTAGCTTTTAGCTACAATGCTAAATTGAAATATACAAAGAGAGAAATTGGATTTTTCTTCGAAAATTACTTGAGTATCTCATATAAATTGAGTTGAACACCTCATAACTGTTTTAGGATTGATCAATCAAGTCAATCAATTTCAATTACGTCCAATTTGCTCAGTAATTAATTGATTGAATATAATTAGTTTATTAATTTCACCCAGTGCAATGCTTTAGAAGACATATAGGACTGATTCCAGGTGTCTTTTGTTGAAGTTTCTGTTGAAACAAAACTCATTTCAAAACTGAAGCTTTATCCATTAAATTGAAAAGACAATTACAATGAATGTAATTTGCATATTTGACAGTAAATTTTAAGAATGATGTAATTTATGATGCCACCACTACTCTTGACTGACATTTTTTGGCGTGCTTTTGGAAGTGTATTCGACGTTGAAACATTTGTTTGCAAGTTGGACAGACATACTTGCACTCTGTATTATGGATATCCGAATGAATTCGTAAGTCATTCCGACGTACGAAGCGCTTCTCGCATTGTTCACATTTGTATCTAAAGTGATAATCAATTACGCATGCAAAACATCAACAGAAATACGATAACGTCACGGAATATCTGAATTGCTGCTCTTCAAGTTACGATAATAATAAGTGTTAATGAGATGAGGAATTGATGATTGAATTACTGATAAAGAAAATTAAGATGATAACGCTTACGTTTACGCCATGACAGAAAATAATGGATTGATTAATTAGCAAGAAGGAACGTCATCTCAATCTTACAAATGGCTAATTTTAAAACCGAATAAGGGAAAAGACATACGGTCGCACGTGAGTGTGAATAGAGCGAATATGCGCTGCCAAAGCCTGTAATGCACTTGGAAGGAGAAAACGTAGGAATCAGTCACGTTGGACTGACGTGCATTCATGTAAAGTCTGTTCACGTAGTATCCTTCAAGTATATCACTGGGAAGTGAACTACTTTTTTTATTAATAACCATTGTTAGAGAGTACTTTGTTTTGAAAGAGACCAAAAAAAGATGAAATCTTTGCAATTTTTACAAGTAAAACAACAATTTAGTCTGTATTACTTTGGAACACTTGAAACCCGCGTGTGTGCATTGTTTATAGGGACATACGTAAACGTAGTTCAAATGACACATCATATCGTGTCGGCGCAAACATCCCTGTCGACCAAACACTGCCGAACATTTGGTGCATTTAAATGGGCGCAAATTTCTAAACATATATTTGAATGTTTCTATGAACTAAATTGTTGTAAGTGGGATTGTGCTATCTTCTCGCTTTTCATCTTTACAGCGACCTACTCTATTTTATTACCCAAATTATGCCTAGGAGATGTCCTACGGGAAATTTCTTCCCAATAAGTAAGAAGTGAAACGAACAAATGTATGACAGCCACATGCTCACGAAGCAGCGAAGCAGTTGGAAATTCTCTCTGGCAAATTTCACATTTTGGTCGTATGCGCACTTCATGTTGTCGTCTTTGATGCTTTTGAACGGCAGCACAAGTTCGAAATAACTACAATATTCATAAACTTACAATCATATCAAATTGTCCCATAAAAGTATACAATTCCTGAAGTGTCTTTGTCATAAGGGAAAGTATAATTTGCGCTTCGTTTCATATCTTCTCGAAATGTGTGTGTGTGTGTGTGTGTGTGTGTGTGTGTGTGTGTGTGTGTGTGTGTGTGTGTGTGTGTGTGTGTGTGTGTGTGTGTGTGTGTGTGTGTGTGTGTGTGTGTGTGTGTGTGTGTGTGTGTGTGTACAAAATCCCATCATATGTTCAAGTTGCATGCAGTGAAATGTTGAATTCAAACAGATTGCAGCGCTGATAGGTGAAGCCAATGCGGAAGTGAACACGCATCAATCACGCTTGCAATTTGAGCAGTACAGATCTGATCAAATTTATTTTACGCACTATTACACTTTCTGAGGATGTCTTAGTGACATGCTTGTGATAAGCTGCTGCTAACTCAGTCTACACCTGTGACAAATTCAGCTTAGGGTGTCCTCATAGGGCATTATGAACTACGTACCGTGTTACACTTCAAACATCTATACCGCTTGCCACGTATACGTTTCGTGTAAACCTCATTATTTGGATGATAGAGCAACAAATGGGTTTGTATGTTGTGTTTCAGAGTGAAAGCACTGTCACATATGTCACAGAGATACTGTTTATTTCGAAAGCGTTGATATTTTTGTCGGTCATTTCTTGCAGGAGATAATGTCCTGTGTCGTCTTGAGACAATAAACACTTCCTGAAAACATGCATACTCTGCTTAACATGCTCACTGCAAGCTCGTCATGCATAACTGCATGTGGCATGCTTTTCACCTCTTTACGAACCTTCTTATTACTTACCTCGACATCTTTGCACATTATTTCCGACGCAACGTCAGCACTATTCTTTAGCACGTGCGTCGGATATCGATCCTTGTGACGTTCTGGCGTTATTAATTTTATATCTGTTTTTTTGCTAAATAGAATTATCAAATTAAACGCATTTCTAAATGACGAAAAGAAATGACTGACACTGTTCCTAACATATTATCCACTAACACGCACGTTTCGTATACGGAAACTAGATAAAGTAGCTTCTTGGAGAAAGGAATCATTGCTCAGCTTCTGACGAATTTGTCAAATTAAACAAACTACAATTTGTATAGTAATAAAAGGAGTACTCAATTTACAGCAATATGCTTAGATATACTTCACTGAATCATCTCATTACATAAATCCTCAGGTATTCAGGTACACATGCACTTGAGTGAAAGGATGTCACCATGAAATGCTTAGGATATTGCTTTCCAGTAAGTATCAGAGCAGTATTACATCAGAAATGTGAGGATGACATACCGCCGAGTGATATTTTGATCGATACAGACTGATCGCTTCTCAGCAAAATTTTGCTGAACTTTTGCTGCAACATTTTCTTGGCAATTTTCGATGATTTTTATTTGATAATTTGCGTACTTTGCACAGCAATCACTTTGCAAGCCGAAAATTTCGTCTAACACATAATCGACTGATATCGTCGGATTGGTTCCTTCTTTGTGCTGCATCCGTACCCGTGGTTGTGGGACTTCATGATGGGGACAGCATGCACCTGCATCACATATACAAGTAATTACCTTATTCAGTGACAATCTTGGTGACATCGCTGCTGAATTTCATTCTATTCATACTTAGATTAAATATATTTGTATATAATTATTTGTTTAGTTCATTATCTATCAAACATCAATCGCCATAAATTCCACTAATTAGTAATGTATGCTTTACAAGTTTTTTGTGAGAAAGTGCGTTACTGTCTAAGTAAATTATATGAGAAAGTAATGAAAGTAGAGAAAGTAATTCTAGTCTAGTAATGAAAGTAGAGAAAGTAATTCTAGTCTAGTAATGAAAGTAGAGAAAGTAATTCTAGTCTAGTAATGAAAGTAGAGAAAGTAATTCTAGTCTAGTAATGAAAGTAGAGAAAGTAATTCTAGTCTAGTAATGAAAGTAGAGAAAGTAATTCTAGTCTAGTAATGAAAGTAGAGAAAGTAATTCTAGTCTAGTAATGAAAGTAGAGAAAGTAATTCTAGTCTAGTAATGAAAGTAGAGAAAGTAATTCTAGTCTAGTAATGAAAGTAATATAAGCATATGCAAATGCAACTTTTCGAAGTAAAAGCTCAAGTTGATTAAAGTTCATTTGCAGAGCATAGAAAAGAAATAAAAGAGTGACCTATGTCATGACACGACTGCTCTGTCCCCAACTCATTCTCAGTGATAACTTTTCCACTAGTGATAAGAAGGAATACCGAACAGTCTTCCGAAAGTGATATACTACCTTCAACGCAGTAAAAGCAGAGTTCATCGTAGTCGGATGGCTCGTAGAAGAGATCAGCAATACACGGAGCAATTCGATGGGACAGCTTCTCTTCATAGATGCAACCGTGCCATGCGGATGACATTTCCAAAACTATCTCTCCTGTATGCTAATTTTCCTTTCACCTTCACATATTTGCATAAGGTGTAAATATCTATCTTCTTCTCTTCTTTTCAATCTCTTCTTCTTCTGTGACTTCTCG